ACCAAAGTCACCCTGGGAGTGGGAAGGGGGTGGCACTCCACTCTGAGATCCCACCCCCCACCACACACAGTCACAGTACAAACTTCCAGAGCATGGATGGCCACTTGGAGAGGGGCAGCTGAGGTGTCACAGAACATCCAGGTGCCAGTGGAAGAGGCTCTGCCTCCACGACGGGAGGTTGGCGGTCAGTTGCATGACATGAGCCTCAGGAGGAGGGATCCCTGCCTTCCCTCTCTCCCTGGGCTGCCATCTTGAATCACTCTAGCTCAGTGGCTCTCTCTCTCTCTCACACACACACACACACACAGAAACACACACCTTAAAGCCAAGTGTAGTGAACTGATACCAAGCCCACATCCACCTCAGCTATCTGGCCCACCCCACAGTCTGCTCCTTGCCCAGGGCACAAGCCCTAATTCCCCTCTCAGCCCCCTCTGCCTCCCCAGAGCCCTTTGCCTCCCAAGTTGTGTCTCTACATGTCATCCTTTGAGAAGACCCAGCAGCCCAGCTTCCACTCAAGCATATGGGGTGGAGGCTCCATGAGATTTTTCTGAGCCCCTCCCAACCCCCCCGTGAGCCCCGTTATAAGACCAAGCGAGCCTGGAGACCCGACAATCGATATCCCTCAAAGATGAAGACGCTAATAACTTTATCCCCTCTTGTCCTCCAACTCTTGCCTACATTAGCTCTGACCACAGGCCCCAGGCAGCTGGGACCTCCACTGGGCGGGCCTGGAGCTGAGTAACCCCTTCAGATCCAGGTGGGAAGCAGAAGGGTAGAGAGCAGGAAGGACTTCCTGCAGGAGGCCACTGGGGTAGAGGGTAGAAAGACCTGGAAGTATGTTTCCCACTCCTGGATGGCTCCAATGGAGACCTGACTCAGAGTCTTTAAGGATTTGTGACCTTAGAAGCACCCTATGAGGGCACCAAGGTCCACATCTAATCCCTGAGGGCTGCCCACAGGAGGTGAGCTGGGAGGAGTTCCCACTGGGAAAAATCAGGGAGTCGGGGGACTGGAGTGGATGGGGGCACTCTGGGCCTGTCCTCCCTGCAGACCCCCGAGCTGAGGTCTCTTCCTCCACCAGGGTGCATTGCGGCAGCACAGAGACCTGCAGCCCACGGGGTTTTAGAGGGAGGAAGCCCCGTCCTCACCTCACACGCTCCGCAGCTGCAGCCAGAGGGGGTGGTCTGGATCGGGGACAAGAGCTTCTCCTCTGTGAGCACTGTACCCCCAAACTACCCCCTGCCAACCCGTCCTGCCCCAGCCCCAAAGACCAGGGCCAGGGCCTGGGCTGAGGGCACTCAAAGCCTGTGGTAGGATAGCGAGGAAGAGAAAACAGGAGGAGGAGGAGTGGGAAAGAGAGGAATAAAAACAACACAGCAGCTCTGGGCCAGGCCCTGAGGGAAGAGCTCTACCCTTGAGACTTGTCTAAACCCCAGAAAAACCCTATGAGGTTAGCGTTGTTATTAAACCCATTTTGCAGAGGACTATACCAAGGCACAGGAAGGTGAATAACTTGCCCAACATCACACAGCTGCGAAGTGCAGAACCAAGCACTTTGCCTCCAGAGTCTAGAAGCTCAGCCTCCAGGGAGCCCAGCCCTGGAAGAAGAGGAAGGGACCCAGTTTAGCGGGAGGTGGGCTGAAGAGCCTCTTGGTCCCGGGGCTCCATCAGAGGCAGGGCTCAGAGTAAAACATGCTGCTCCGGGCATCTCGTGCTCCGTCCCTCTGCGTCTCGGGCTCTGCCTTTTTCTCCGTGCCCTCTGCACGCATGCCCTGTTTCTCCGCACTCTTCTGGGCTGTCCCCTCTCTCTGTCTCCGTGTCCTCTCTGCCTCTCTGTGGGCACCTCCTGCAGCTCCAGCCCTGTTCTGTCTCTGCCTTTTCTGGCTCCAGATCTCTCTCCTCCCCACCACCCCTGAGCCACAGCTCTCAAACTTTCCATCTTAGCACTGGAGTCTCTCAGAGCTGGGGTCGGGTGGGGGGACAAATAGAGACAGTCTGGGAGGGGACTGATGCTTGGAGCAATGGAGTCACCTCACTCCCTCCTGGGGGGCTGGACAGCCCTGTGGTCCAGCCCGGCAGTAGGCTGAAAATTGAGATCCTAGGTCCTGGCTGCTCCCAGGACTGTCATCCCCTCTCTCACTGGATAGCCTGTCCAAGGCCACTTTAGGAATTAGGCAAGACAGGCTCTCTCCAGCTGGTGCTTAGAGAGCCCAGGGCCCGTGGAGAATGGAATTTTTCTAGGATCTCTCTTCAATTTGGGGGTCCAAGGGGGTACAGGACAGGATATTTTCTACCCAGGCTGCCCCAGCGCTCTGCCCACACTGTTCCTGGAAACCCGAACAGATGCTCTGTTCTGTCGGGAATCCAGCCCCTGAGGGAGCAGGGCAGGAAGGAGGCAGAGGCTGCATAGGAAGGCTGAGGGGGTTGGGATGGCTTGGACCCCCGGGTTCTTTAGAGCACCCATCCCAGTGCCAGGGGCCCCTGGGGAGCCCCACTGGCTTCTGCACCACTGATTCCCCCTCTTCAGAGTCAACATAGAGGAGCTGGCAGAAGCTTCCTTAGAGAGGGGAGCTCTGGGTTCTTTCCTCCATGCTGGGTGTTCTTGCAGTGCCCACCACCCTATCTGAGCTTCTGTCTTCCAACCAAGACAGTCATTTCTGAGAGGGAGGGTGGAGGGAGGGGCCTATGCCAGGTCTGGGAGACTCAGATGTCTGATCCCCACAGCCTCAGGTTGCTGTCCCTGTCCCAGCTCCCCACGGGGCCCTCAGGGTCTCATTTCATTGATCCCCCTGCAGGCGTCCATCTCAGCTGGTGATCAGCCCCTGGTGTGTGTGTGGTGGGGGGAAGCTAATGGACTTGGCACAGCCAGGAGGTAATTAATGGGGAGCGGGCATGTGCTGCAGTGGGGGGGAGCACCATAATGACAATGGAATCCAACAGCTCTGAGTGATGGGGGGCTGTGTGTGTGGATGTGTTTGCACGTGTGCCTGGCTGTGTGTGGCAGGCAGGTGTGCCTGTCGATGTGCCCTCTTCATGTCTGTCAGCGAAGGGGAGGGTATTGGGGTGCTCTTAGACCATGAAGCTGGCAACGTGGGTGCGAGCCCCCTCCTCACCATCCAGGACAGGGTCCCAAGCCCAGATTGCCTGGAGTGGCTGGTCGGAGTGGCTGGCTTCAGTTTCTGTTCCCTGATGGATGAAAACTATCCAGTTCCCTCTCCCATGCTCTCCCGGAATTTCCCTTTCCTGTCCTAACCTTGTTCCCAGAACCCCTCACCTCACCTGCCCGGCTTTTCCAGCAATACCTCTAGCTGTGGTTTTAAGAGACTTTGATGCCCTAATGCTCTTGACCTTGGAAATGCTCCGCGTGCCCTCCCAGTTCCCTTCTGCTACCTGACCTCCATCCCCTCTGCTTCAGTGATGGCCCCATTCCTGTTCAATGTGGCCCGAACCTCAGACCCCCCCCCATGCCTCTACCCACAGAGTCTCCAAGGCTGGAAGTGTCCCACCCCCTCCATAGCCCTGAGGAGAGGCTCAGGGGCCAGAGCAGATGGGGCGGAAGGGAGTGGGGGTGAGATAGAAAGCGCCTCCCAGGAGTCCATGTTATTCTCCAGGACATTCTCTGATTCAGCTGCTTGTCTCACCTGTGTCTGTTTACCCCACTCACTTGCACCTCTGTCTGTCTCTCCATTTGTGTCCATCCATCTGTGTGAGTATGTCTCTCTCCTGTCTGTGTGTCTCCACATCTGCAGGTCCTGTCCCTGTCTCCGTCTGCACTGTCTCTCTCTTTGCACCTGTCCCTGGGCTCACCTGTTGGATCTGATCCCACAGCCTGTCTCTCCCACCATGTGCCCTCCCCTTTTCCCTCCAATTGCTCCACCTGCCCTCCTCACGGGGGTGGTGCAGCATCCACCCCACCCATCCCAGGGCAGGAGAGGAGGGCCTATGAACTTGGCCCTCAGGGACCAGCCCCCGCTATCAATCAGCCTGCAGCCCTGGGTCAGACCTCCATTAGCACTAACCAGCTTGGACAAGAGGCAGACACCAGCGGGCTAGGCCTAGGGGTGATAAGACCCAGATTGAATCACTGTGGGGCGGGGGGAGCTTGGCACCCAGGGACATGTGACGGCTACACCATTAGCCCTGAGGAGCCATGGGCAGCATGGGTTATTGCAGGAGCTGGCCAGGTGATTGGAAGTGATGGGGCTGCGGGGGTGGGGGGGCTGCTCCTCCTGGGCTCTGGGTTCCCGGCTCCTGGGTGAGAAAGACGGGGGCAAGGCCCAGGTCCTGGGGATAGGGGACCTGATCCAGCCTCCGTGCTGACAGAAGCCTCGGGCCACTCAGTAAGGCCAGTGGTGTCCCAAGGGGTAGAGGGGAAAGGAGACTCCACCTCCTCACTCAGGCAGAATGGGACCTGGAGATGGCTCTGTCCTTAGGAAACAGCCACCTTGTTCAGTCCCTGGTCTCCAGGTGCTGATCTCAAAGCACTTAAAGCCAAGAAGAGTGACAGAGGGGAAGGAATATGGGGTCCTGCCTCCCTCACCATTCCTTTCTCCTGCTCCTGTGTCCCTGCCACACACACACACTCCCTCTCTCTCATCCATTTGTTCTACTTTGTGCACACTCTGTTCTGGGCACCCCAGTACAGGAAAGACTCCCACCAATGCTTCCATCCTGTCCACCATGAAATCTAACTTCCATCCCTCCCACTGCAGCACCAGCCTTCCTGAACGTGAAGTACAGAGATAGGCAAGTGAGGTCTGAAGCTCTGGGAAGCCTGACTTGAGGCTGCCTCACCACCAGGTGAACAGGGTGACCACAGGACTGGGAGGCAAATAACAGCCACGAGGTGGAAGTGACAGCTGCATGGAGAGGGGTAGGCAGCTGAGGGGAACCAGAGAGAGGGCAGATCCCAGAGAGTCATCCCCCTACCTGAGTCCCCATACCCCTTCCCAGAACGACGTCATTCCAAGAATTGGCAAGAGACACGGCCAAGGGGTAATAAATATAATTGCTATGACGGAACCCTGCCTAGAGAAGCAGGACCATCCTCCACTCCCAGGCCCCACTTGTCCCCTCCGGCATGCTGAGGGTGAGTTGGATGCTTTGAGATCACCCTGGGGCTGCTGGGAGCTGTGGGGCTTGCTGAGGGCAGGCCCCATGTTCCAGCTACCCAACCCCAGCCCCCGCGCCAGCCCCCTAGCCCAGGACGTCCAGGTAGACGGGAGGTGCCTGGACCAGGGCTTGCAGCCGAGCATGCACGTCTTTGATGCTGTGTCGTTGCTGGGGCTCCCGCTGCCAGCAGCCCCGCATAATGGCGTAGACCTCGGGTGGGCAGGCACGCGGCCGCTCCAGCTCACGTCCCTGCGTGATGCACTCGATCGCCTGGGGCCACCGAGGGGAGAGAGGAGGGCAGCCTGGGTCGGGAGCAGCAGCATGAGGCCAGCCCCAGCACTGCCCCTACCTCACTGAGGTTCTCAGGGCAGGTCACACAACACGTCTGGGCCTCTTGGCTACTAACAATCTAAAAGGATGCAGCGAACTCCAAGATTCCTTTCCACTCTGACACTGAGCAGTGGGAGGGATGAAGGCTGGAGAGACTCTGAGAAGGTTGGGCTGAGGTAGGATTGCTCCTCCAAGGGCTGGAATCAGACCCTCAGAAGACTTGCCAGGTGGGGTGAGGAAGGGGTGGGCCTGAGGCATTTGCCAAATCCATCAGCACAGTGTTGAGGGCTGAATGGAGGAAGGGAAAGCCCTCTGCTTTCCGCTCCAGGGGACAAAAAGAAAACAGAGCTGGATTGCTGGTAAAGGCCTTGACAAATGGCTGGCTGGCATTTTAAGGGAGAGGGCAACCCCACTTTCTTTTCTCTTCTGTCGGTACCACTCTGCTGGGACCTAGGTCCTCTGAAAAGAAACTACAGCTGGAAAGATCAAAGTTAGACTCCAGGAAGGACCGCTAGAGCAGCTAAAAGAGCCAAAGAAGAAGAGATGGTGGCAGGGAGATGGTTGCAGGGACCTGGAGCCTCTTCCCCCTTTTTTCCTCCCTCCCCATTAGAAGACTTGGGTTATAGGCAGCACTAATTCCATTCCTTCTCTCAGTGCTTGAGAAAATTAAAATCTATAACCCTCTCCCCCACCCCACCAGCCTCCAGGGAGCAGACTGCATTAGGAGGAGAAATGGAAACTGACAGCTGCGAGCCAAGGAGGGGGTGGGGGAGCTGCTCTGGGAGACAGAACACCTGGGGCCTGCTCTGACTGTGTCCAGTCAGAAGTGCACGGGGAGGAGGCAGGACCGTCCTTCCTACAGTCTAATCTCCAGCCTTCCTGCTGCAGTCAGGTCCTCCTGTGCTGTGCTCCTCTTCTCACAACTCTCCCACCCTGATAATGCCTATTAGGTCTACAAAATGCAGCTGGGGGGGGGGGTCTGGGCTCCATTTATAAAGTGCTTTGAGGTTCCCCCAGGAGCCCGTTGGGCCTGGGCTTAGGACAGTAAACGGAGGCAAGAATAGGAGAGGGGAAGGACGCAAGGAAAGAACAGGGTTGGGGTGGAGGGAGCGCAGTGTCGGCAGGATGCTGGATGGGTGCCTGCTGGCAGTGGGATGAAAAGCAAAAGGGCGCTCAGTTCCCTGAAAAAGGGCTCTCGGAAGGAGCAGGGAAGGGGCGGCCAGCAGGGGGTGACCCGCAGGGCGAGGCTGACCTCTGTGTTGGAGAGCTGGTACCAGGGCTGCTTGCCGTAGGTGAAGATCTCCCAGAGCACCACACCGAAGCTCCACACGTCGCTCTCGGTGGTGAACTTGCGGTAGAGGATGCTCTCGGGCGGCATCCAGCGGATGGGCAGCATCGTGCGGCCTCCCACCTGCCGGTGGGCGGGCGCCGCGTCACCTCCAGGGGGCGCCCGCATCCACAGCCTTTCCCGGCGCAGACCCGGCCCCAGCCCCGTCATTAAAAATAAATAGAAGTGGCTCTCCCGCCCCCGGCTAAGAGGGAAAAACCGATGGTGCCCTTTCTGTCCGGAATAGCGGAGACAGACCCTCCTCCACTGGAGGCCGAGGAGGTAGGAGAGGGGTTAAAAACCAGAGCCAAAGAGTTCTGGCGTGCCCAGCAAGGGCAGGCTCTCCTAGGGGGACTCGGCATCCAGCGTGTGCGCAGTTTGGATGCTGCGGGAGGGTTTGGGACGAAAGACCCTTACGCGGTAATAGTCAGTGCTGTAGATATCCCTGCTCATGCCGAAATCGCCGATCTTGACCACTAGTCCCTGACCCACCAGACAGTTGCGCGTGGCCAGGTCCCGATGCACGAAGTGCAGACCCGCCAGGTACACCATCCCCGCAGCGACCTGGCTAGCCACGGCCAGCAGCTGCCCCAGGCCCAGGGGCCCTGGAGCCACGTCCTCCCCGCCAGCCAGCAGCTTGGCATCAGGCCCGTGGGACCTGCGAGAGAGTAAGGGAGAAGGGCGGGCTGGGAGGGGAGAACCCCCAGGAGCCTGAGGAAGGGGAGGCCGGGGAGCTGGGGTGGAATGGAGGAGGGGACTCAGCGGGAATGGAGAAAGCAAAGAACAGGGGAGCCAGCTGTCTAGAGGGGCTGGGATGAGGAGCCAGAGGTGTGTCCACCTCCAGGGCTTCCACCCAGGCCGACACTTTCCACATTCATGCCTTCCTCTCAAGCAGCCCCTTTGAACTCCAACCGCAGCATTCAGCTGTCCACTGGCCCCTACAACTCTTACCCATGGACACTTCCAGCTTAGCCCCTGTCTAAATGTTCAGCATCTTCCCTGAGCCTACCCCTGCCTCAATGAAGGGAACTGCCCCCCAGGCTCTGAGCCTGAAACCTGGGAGTCCTCCTTGATTCCTGTCTCTCTCACCTTTGCCCTCAATATCCAGCCATTCCTGTGGGGTCCTCCTTCATTCCAAAGGTTTCTTCCTTCACCCCACAGCCACCACTCCAGATCTGTCCCTGATCATTCATCTCCATTCCCCACAAGTTCCTTCTTCTGAACCTTTGCCTGAGCTGATGGCTTTGTCAGTACTGCCCTTTCCTACTAGTCAACTTTCTCCTCATCCGGTTATTTCTTCTTTATCCCAGGTATTCGTCACACATCTCCAGTGCGCCAAGTGCCACAGCTACAGTGGAGAGCAGGATGCAGATAAACGGGTCACAGCAGTGCAGTGTGAGGGGCACCTGATGGGCACTCAGGGTAGGGATGGAAGAAGTTAGGGAAGGCTTCCTGGAGGAAGAGGCATCTAAACTGAGATGCAAGCCGTAAGGAAGAGCAGTGGGTAAGCCATTGGAAGGGGTCAGGGACAGGGGTGGGTGAAGTGTCTGGGAGGGAGGCTCAGTGTGCTAGGCAGAGGGAACTGTAAGTACAAAGGCCCGGAGGCAAGAAGGAGCAGACGGCTTCTCCTAGGGCAAGTCTGCCAGACTCGTCTAGGAGCTTTCATGATTCCCTCCCTTGGCTCCCCGTGCTCCGTGCAGCATTTAGAGCCGTTTCTCCACAGCCTGGGCCCCAGATGGCGGCATGCCCCTGGCCCGCATCCCCAGCCCCCAGCGCCGAGCCCACACTGTGTCTGTGAACAAGGGGAAGGGCTCCTCCCTGGCCTTCTCTTGCCTCCAGTTTCTCGGTCACCTCCACACTCATCTCGGGTCTGGCATGGTCTCCCTCCTGCTCCGCACCCTCCATGGGCTCCTCCCCAGCCCCAGGATTAGCTCAGCCGCTGCACTGTCTCCCAGCTGAATTCTGCAGCCTGACTGCATGAACGACCTGTCACTCGTAAGGGAGTGTTTGGGGACCAAATCGTGACCATCACCTGGACAACCACACCATGCTTTCTCATTCAGAGCCACAGTCCCCTTGTTGTCCCTCTTACTGGTGGGGAAACTGAGGTCAGAGAGAAAAGCTACTTGGCAAAGAAGTCTCAGCTAATAAGTTGCAGCTGATTCCAAAGCCTGGCCCTCTTCCTCCTCACATGGCCCCATCCTCACAGGGGGTGATCTCTTGGGAGAAGGACTGACAAAGGGAATGTGTCACCACCCGTGAGTCAGAGGTTGAGAGCAGGGCTGTGCCTGGGGTCACATCCCCTCTGGGCCACTGACTACCTGTGTGCCCTTGGGCAAGTCACTTAAATTTTCTAAGTCTCATATGTGAAATGGGCATGTTTCTTGAAGTTATTAAAATTATCAGCACAGGGCCAGCCCCGGTGGCCTAGTGCCTAGGTTTGGCATGCTCTGCTTCAGTGGGCTGGGTTCCATTCCTGGGCATGGACGTACACCACTTGTGGCCATGTTGTGGTGGTGGCCCACATAAAAAGTGGAGGAAGACTGGCAACAGATGTTAGCTCAGGGCGAATCTTCCTCAGAAAAAAAAAAAAAAATATATATATATATATATATATATATATCAGCACCAAGCAGTAAACGTATCAGAGTTGTTCTGTCCAAAGCCAAATAAATGAATTTTTGGTAACTCTCTTCAAGTATAAATTGCCATATATGCTTGGAGACTTTGAAAAATAAATATATATTTATATTATTATACAATAGTCCCTCCTTATCAGCAGAGATCTGTTCCAAGACCCCCAGTGGATGCCTGAAACCGTGGATAGTACCGAACCCTATATAGACTGTGTTTTCTCCTGATACATACATACCTATCACAAAGTTTAATTTATAAATTAGGCACAGTAGGAGATTAACAACCATAACTAATAAGATAGAACAATTGTAACAATATACTGTAATAAAAGTTATGTGACTCTCTCTCACTCAAAATATCTTATCGTACTATCCTCATCCGTCTTCTTGTGATGATGTGAGACGGTACCATGCCTACGTGATGAGATCAAGTGAGGTGTAGGCATTGTGCCACGGTGTTATTTTTGGACCTCGGTTGACCACAGGGAACTGACACTGTGGATAAAGGGGGACTACTGTACAGATATATAGGTACAAGCATGTACCGCCATGATAAGAAAGAACTGTACAGTATATAACGTGGTGCCTGAACATAGAAAGTGCCTGACAAACGTTTGTTGTTGTTGCTGTTGTCTAGTTATCTTAACTGCCACCTCCTACAGGCCTGGCTTCTGCGTGCCACACACAAATGCACACGGACCCTCTGCAAAGCCCTCCCGTCCTGAAGTTTGAGCTCAGGACTTCCGCTAGCTCAGCCTCCCTGACTGCTGTGCTCCCTGTCTACCTCCCTGACACTCCGTCCTTCGCCCAGACTGTCACATTCACACATCTGCCTCAGAGCTCCTTGGGGACAGGAGCCATGCCTTCCTGCTTCTTCTTGGTGTCCCTCCTCAGTTCAAAAGACAAGCGGAGACGTCCCTGTAGGGAAGGGGGGACGGGGCTCAGAGCGCGGGGCCAGGGGCCAGCGCTGGGGCCAGGCGCTCGTACCGGAGGAAGCGGTTGAGGTCACCATGCCGCATGTACTCAAAGACCATGAGCAGCGGGCGGCCCTCGGTGCAGACGCCGAAGAAGCGCACGATGTGCTGGTGCTGCAGCATGGTGAGCAGCTCGGCCTCGCGCTGGAAGTCTTGCCGAGCGCTCTCCGACACCTCTTTCAGCGCCTGGGTGGTAGGGCCAGGGACAGGACTGAGTGGGGGCCCAGCCCTCACCTCCCCACATCCAAGGTGGCCTACCTTGTGAGCCCCAAGTTGTGAGCCATGCCAGACCCCAGCATGCCACCCCCCAGCCTGACCACCCTGTCCTGGAATGATGGTGCTCCAGGAGGTGGACCCAGGCCAGCCGTCCCTCACGGACAAGGTCCTACCTTGACGGCCACCAGCATCTTGTCCTGCTCAGGCAGCAGGTTGTGGCACTCGGCAAGGAAGACCTTCCCAAAGGCACCCTCCCCCAGCTCCCACTTGAGCACGATGTCTCGGCGCTTGATGTGATGAACACCTGCGGAGGGGCTGGCAGGATCACACAGGAGCCCAGTTTTGGGAAGGATGGGGTGGGGGCAAGGACGGGACTGTGTAGCAGGGCTGTATGCTGCGCAAGGGTGCCAGCCAGGGGATGGATGGGGACTGAAATTGAGCCTTTACTCCTTCACCACGCCCCGTGCTGTGGGGTGGATGGGGTGGGGGTAGGGTGGAAGGAAGGCTTGTTCAGACCTGGGGTGGGCAAAGGTGATGACACAGTAGCTTCCACACACACACACTCACGCGTATGCACGTATGCACCCAAACGTGTCTACAGGCTCGCCCCCACCCTTGACCCAGCACAGCCCCTCACAGGCATCACTGAAGTATTGTGGGTTCTCGATGATGTGGCCTTGGAGCCCAGAGCCTTTGCCCTCAGTAGGAGACAAGGAGCTACCACCCAATGTCATGAAGTGCAGGGACATGGCCAGTCCATCCTCTGGAGCCAGCACAGCGGGACCTGGGGAGGAGACAGAGCTACATGGAGGAGCTACCCTGCCAGGTTGCAGGGTGCCAAGTGACCCCATCTTGTGACTTGCAGGGGAGGAACAGAAGAGCTAGGGAGCAAGACAGCAGGCGGGGGAAGGGGAGGCACTGTGGCCTCTCTCTGTCTGGAGCCTCTCCAACCCCAGGCCCCATGGGCCGCCAAAGAACTCCCCCACCGCCCCCCCGCAGAGCTCAGCCCTCCCAGACCCACTTAGTGTTTGACTACAATCCAGCCGCCAATTAGCAGCTGCTCCCTCTGAAACTACCCCAGCAGCAGCCCCGACACACACGCTCTCGAGCCCGCAGCCAGGCCCTCACGTACCCCAAACACGCACTCGCTCAACTCCACGTGTGCACAGGCCCCTCGTGCAGAGGACAGAGTCAGAAAGAGCCAGGAGGAAACCAAGCCAGCAGGACAGACTGACAGTCCGCCCCTCTGCAGCCCCCCAACTCACGGTTGATGCCAAACTTGTTCCTCCGTCCACATTTGTTGAGCACAAGGAACAGCGTAGAAAGGAAGAGGCAGGCAAAGACAGCCAGGCCCACGGCCACAGAGACCTGGGGGTGGGGGGTTAGATCTGGGGCTTCTCCTGTGCTCTCAGAGCTCCCCGATAGCAAACTGTTTCTCCATCTTGCAGAGGAGCCCAGAGCCAGGCTCCCCACCTGCCTCCTCCCCGCCGTGCCCCAGGCCGTGGTTGTGACGGTGGCTGACCAAGCCCCCGCCAGACTGTAGTGATCCCCACACTCTGATCAGAAGTGACATGCAGATGAGCGCCCAGCCCAGCCTCCCAATCCCAATTCCTCGACAAGCTTCCACCCCGCAAGCTCACCCCAAAGTGTGTCTCATCCTTCTTCTCCACTGGGTCTCTGGATGTGCTGTTTGTGTCTGGGGGACACAGAGCAGGAAAGGTGGGCCTTGGCACACACCAAGTCTCCTCTAGCAATTCCCCACCCTGGCCCCAGCTGACCCCTCGGGGATCAGGTCAGCTGTGCCCTCTGCCCCAGCCTCAGCTCTAGGGGCCAGACAGACATGCCCTCCAGCCTGGGCTACTCACCCACTGGCGAGAAGGAGACTGCAGCGGGAGGGAGGAGAGAAAGCAGTCAGATGGGAGAGGAGAGCAGCAAGCCCCTTCCCCCTCTGGGATCATCCCTTCATGGGGTGGAGGTGAGATGGGGCAGTGGGGCTGCTGGACCTCAAGGGAGATGATGCACATGGCCCTTTTCCAGCTGGGCTGTGGATGCCCTGGGACACGGCTCTCTCTTCAGCCAGCTCAAGTGGATGGAATAGCTCAGGGGTTCAGGACTCCTGGGGCTTGGGGGAGGCAGGGGCAAGGAGGCCAGCACAGAGCTGGACACCAGAATTCCAGGCTCCTTTCTGTCCAGGACCAGGCACTCCAACTTCTGGGGTCAAGATCACAGCAGGAAGTGGGCCAGGCCTCCCTGGACACCTGGATCTGTACCCAGGTGGAGCCCAGGGAGCAGGGGCAGGGTTCAGGGTGGCCCTCGCACCAGGGATGGGGTCCTCAGGGTTGAACTCGAAAGGGTTGTCCATGAAGGCGACCATGACGGAGGCGGAGTCCTGGCCATAGGGGTTGGTAGCCAGCAGCGTGTAGTTGCCGTTGTTGACGTGGGTGGGCTGGTTGAGGCGCAGGCAGCCGTGCCGCATAGTCTCGTTGGCCGCTGACTCTAAGAACTCGGTGAAGATGAAGCTGGTCTCATTGAGCACAGAGCCGTTGAAGAGCCAGCGCAGAGTGGGTGCTGGCTGCCCGTCCACTGAGAAGGGGATGCACCAGTGGTGCTGCTCCACCGCCGTCTGCAGGTGCACGCTGGCTGGGACTGTGAGCCAGAGAGTCACAGTGAGAAGTCAGGGGGTATCTGAAGGGAACCCAGCCCGAACCTGACAGGTCCAGGGGAGGAAGCTGGGGAGAGCCAGAAATCAGATGGTGGGCCTAAGAGAAACTGGTCAGGAGGCCCTAAGACGTTCACAAGGAGAAACATTTTGAAGACAGTGGACAGTATATCTTAAATAAAGCAGGCAGCAGGTGTATGAAATTCAGAAGCTTAAAGAATTTAAGAGGAGGGCTTAAAGTATATAAGTAATAGCCTTAGAGACGTGGGGTACCAGTTTATAGAAATTAAACATGGAGTTTTTTGGATAAGGGTAAAATTAAGTGTCATCAAACTTAAGAAGATCGGGAGGAGGCCTAAACATCAAACAAGCAAAAAACCCAGTTAAAAACCTTTTTGAAAAAAGATATGGGTTTGAAATAGACCCAACCTGAAAAAAGGGAAATCCCCTCAATAATAGAAAATATATATATATAATCAACATCTACAGTTGATACTGGAATTCTAGCCAGCACTCCTGCAATGGAATACTATTCAGCAGTGAATTGAATGACCTATAGCTACTCCCATTAATATGGATGAATCTTACAAATAAAATGTTGAGTGAAAGAAACTAGACATAAAATGATACTTACAGTACGATTCCATTGATATATGTACAAGAACAAAACGAGACCATATCGATAGGGAAGGATATGTGTGTAAAATTATTTTTAAAAGCAAGGAAATGATTATCACAAAAGTCAGGATGGGGTGGAAGAGAAGGACGGGCTCTGAATGGGGAAAGGAAGGGAGTGTCTTCTGAAATGCTGGTAAGAATAATTGTTGTTTAAAGTGTTTATCTTTTATGTACATATCTATGTACGTTATATTTCAGAAGAAAAATTATATAACGTAGAAGATTTAAAATAATTTGTTGGCAGACCTAGAGAAATTAGGCAGCAAGCCTAAAGATGAACTTGGCAGAGGGATTTCTTCTTTTAAAACTAGGATGTAGGGTGAAAGTCCTACAAAGGGACGGGCATGAAGAAATACAGCAGAGCATTGAGAACAGCGGGGCAGCTGGCGTTGAGGGCCTCAGGTAGCAAGACTTGGGCAGGGGGCCAAAAAGAAATCCATCTGCGTCCCTCTGGCCTTGACAAGCCCCCAGGACTTCCCCCAAAGGATCAGGTTTTCATGGGAATCTGGAAACAGCTGGGAGGGAGCAGCTGTGGAGATATACATCCCACCCCCTTCCTCCAGCCCCCCACCCTCACATCCTCTTTTCAGGGGAGAAGGGATGGGGGTGGGTACAGGGGCAGACATTGGGACTCACAGGAGACGTTGACCTGAACAGAGACTTCAGCCCGGCCCACATCATTCTCTGCCCAGCATGTCACATTCTTCCTATTGAGATCACTGGTGACATTGGCCAAGGTCAGCCCCAGGGATGGTAGACCCCCAGATTGCTGAATCAGGGAAGAGAGAGGAAAACCAGGAAGAGTGTCAGCTGGCTTGGGGCTGGAGGCAGGGGACTGGAGCTGATGTCTTTGGGGGGCCCCTCTGGCTCCACATGGAAAAAGAGAGGGGGACTGGAAGGGGAGTAGGCTGAGGGTAGAGATATGGGAGAGAATATGGCAGGAAATAGCCCTCCTCCCTTAGAGCTTGTTCGAAGGCTATCTCCTGGATCATTTATTTAATGATCTGAAAAACCTAGACCATAACCAATGACCTCAAAATAGGCACAAATACCCTGAACCAAAACCACTCATCTAAGCAGATAAATAGAGTTCATGAATCCCAAATACCAAATATACACAACTCACTGAAGAGCCAACTAGCACCTCACCACCTACGCATTCTTGTTTTACACAGTTCTAACAAACTTAGTCTCAGCCCGAGGAAGATCAGAAACAAAGAGATGGCGCTGATAACAGGGCAGCAGGTACAAGCAACAGTAGCCTCGTGACCTCCTTTGGCAGATGAAGACAGAGAGTGAAGTTAGAGAGGCAAAGTGACTTGATTCTGAGTCATCAAAAGATTGAATCAGGTTCAGATTCTCTTCCTAAGAAACCATGGACATGTGGAAGTTATCTGACCTTAAGACAATTCTTAATCTTGCTGAACCATGGGGGTTTTTTTTGTTTTGTAAGCTGAAGAGGTAGACAGAATGATCTTTCATCATTTTAAATGATCTTTCATCATTTTAGAAAGCTATTTTCATAAAATGATGAAAATAAATGGAGTAGTGGACAAATCCCATTTATTTGGAAATTTCATAATTTCCAGATAAACGTGGAATCTTTTGAATAAATGCCAGAGGAGGTGAAGTTTCCCTTGGCTTCCATTGGAATATGTGAATTCAAAGATTCCAGAAGAGCTCTCCAGCCTCCCGGGCACGCTCTGGTTTCCAGCCACCTCTGGGGAAGCCTTCCCTAAGCTTCTCGGGGCTGCCCACTCCTCCAAGTCACCCTGGGGTATGGCGTCCCGTTAACTCTTCCCTTGGAGCTGCTCTGCCACCCTTTACTCTCCTGAGGGTGACCAGCCTCCCCTCCTCTCCATTTAACCCAGTTAGGGTGTGACTTTTCTATAAGAAGTTTCTAGAACACATGAGTGGTAGCAAATATGTAAATCTCCCAAAAAGCAAAGCAAAAACCTGGAATTTCTCAAAACACTCAGTTGATCAAAGGTCTCTCCACAGATGGCCATGGCCAACCTCTTGCCTCTGCCTTGTCCCTTTCCGTGATTCACTCTTGGTGGCTTTGATCTCCGGGAAGGGAAACCACTCCATGGCTAGTGGTCCCTCCGCCATGTCTGGACCCCCCTCCTCCAGTAGTTCCTCCTTCAATATTGTTCCTGGGGAGTCCAGCAATTCTGGGGTTGACTCTCCTCCCAAAGTGAGGGTCTCCAAACTGAAGTCACACCCCTGGTCCTGTTGGCCTGGCTCCTCCCATGAGGTGGACCCTGTGTGTCTACCCAGAAGGGGCCAGGTTTTTGGGTGGGTACAGCCTATTGGTGGCCTCTGCTCTTCTTGCCAACAAGGCCTCCTGCGTCAGCTGTGGCTGCTCTCAGCTTCCTGTCGCCAGCTGAGGACAAAGGGCAAGGCCTATGAAGGTGCCCAAAGACCATCTGGATAACAGAGGTAGAGGCCAGAGAGTGCCCAGAGGCAGGCAGGACATCAGAAAGCCATCACATCCACCTCTTCAGTTGACAGATAAGAAAAATGACATGCAGGCAGATTAAGGAATTTTTCCAAAAAGTCATTCCAAAAATGAATTAATCAGAAAGCTGAAACCAGACCTGTGCCTCCTTTACTATCATACACTCATCACACACATCAGAGGATGCTGCTTCCAGAATCTCCAGAAAAAAAACGGATTTCCCCCAAGAACTCGCCTGGTTGCAGGCTCACAAATATCGCACCGTCTCCCTGGGCCTCAGTTTCCTTATCTAGAAAGGGGCTGGGAGGGAGGGATGGTCTGTGGGGTCCCCCTCAGCTCCAATATGTGAAGGCTCTGTGACCCTCTGACATGCAGCCAGCATTGTTTTCCCAGAGAGGGGGCCGAAGTCTTGGTGGATCCAGCAGAGCCTGGGGTCCCTGCTGGGCCAGGGCCCATCCTGAGGGCATGCGTGTGCCTGTAGTTGCCCCACAGCATCAGCCCAAGCTCCATGGATCTAAACCATCTCTGTCCATCCCTCGCCCATGTGTGCTTCTTACTGGTTGCCTCTCTTTCCGGGTCTTTGTCCCCACAGCCCCGTCCAGGCCTCGCCCAGGGTGAGGGGGAGCGGGGGTGGGGAAGGGCTCCTCACCATCACTGTGGCTGACTCCTCCAGCTCCGTGAGGATCCAGCCGGCCTGCTCCAGGCCCTGCCCCTCCACCTGGCACTGCAGCCACACGTTGTCCCCCACGTCCACAGAGGCATTGGGCACCTGGACCTTCAGCAGGGGCACGCCTGGCCGCCCAGGATCCCCGAGGGGTGTTAGAGCAGGGAGTGGCCTCAGAACCTTACCCCAAGGCAGTGCTCCTCCCCCCACCCTCCTCAGTGACCCTGAGCCCCCCATTGGCCATGGGCCCCAACTTTCAGTTTCCCCCAGCTCTTGGCAATGCCCCAGGCCCCCTTCAGTGCCTGCTCCCCAAGCCCTGCTCCATGTCCTCTCCCCAAGCCCATAACTCTTTCCCAGCCCCTTACAACACGTCCAGCACCTACCACAGTTGGTGTTGGACATGAGGGCAAGGGGCCCCTGCTGGTGGCACTGCAGCTTCTGTTCACGTACTCCGCCCAGCCCCTCCTCCTCCCAGCGCTGCAGCCAGCGCAGGGCACAGGAACAGTCCAGAGGGTTCCCCAACAGGACTCTGGCGGGCGTGGGGGACACCAAGAGAGTCAGGGAAGGGACAGGTGGTGAGCCTGGAGCCCCAGAGAACGAAGTACTACAGTAAGAGGGAGCGCATTTAGTCAGTGGGGTGGACTGTCTAGAGGTGAAGGAGTGGGGACACAGGAGAAGTTCCTCTCAGGGACCCCAGTAACAAGACATTATTAAAAGAAATAGAATGCAGATCAAAGACGGCCGGCTGTGCGCCACACGGAATTCCCTTACCCTGGGCTCCCCAGGGTGACAAGCCAGGTGAGGGCTCTGAGCAGGGTGACAAGGAAGGAAGGGCACTGCCTTCCAGATGACCCAGAGACCTTAGGTGTCCACCAAGCACACGTGGACCACTGCTGTCGCCCATCCCATGCGCATGATGTGCTGGGAATGTGGGCGAACGTGCCCGTGTGCACAGGCGGTGGGCCTGTGGGTCTGCTCAGCACAGGCCCAGAGAATTGTGCCAGCCCCCAGCCTCCTGAGCACGTACAGATCAGTCGTCCAGGCCAGCTCTCCATGCCACCCCCCGCCCTGCATGCCCCCAGAGCAGTAACCCCTCAGCAGCTGGGCCTGCAGCCTCCCCTTTGATGGGGGGTTCACAGGCATGCACAGAGTCCCCAGTCTCAGCTCACAGCCAAACACGCAGTCCCCAAAGGGAGCCACCCCCTCCAGTTCCACGTAGACACAGCCACATACCTTACACAGAGACACAAGTGCCCACGGACACACACATCTCACACACACACCCCTGCACACTTGCTGCTCTTGTCCCTGGGAGCCCCCACACTCACAGTTGCTGTAAGGAGAGGCCCTGGACAGTTTTCCAGGAGAGAGACTTCAGAGCATTGAAGGAGAGATTCCTGCAGGAGTCGAGACAGAACGAGACAGACCCTATGAGCACCTGCCACCCACCCTCAGCTCTGACCCAGAGGGAGAGAGGGGAGGGGAGGAGCCAAGGATGAAGTTGACATCTCGCTTCCCCCTCCCAACCCTGGCCACTAGAACCAGCCAGAGAGGCAATGAGGGTGAATCCCACTCTTCTCCCTGGGACAACAAGGGTTAACCCCACTTAACCCCCTCCCCAGACCCCAGGGAGCAGGTTCTGAGAGAAGAGCCGCTCCGCCCTCCCCCACCCTTGGCCCCAGCTGGCAAAGTGCTGAGGCCCCAGCTGGGGGAAGGGGCTCCATCTGTGCTCCCCTGCCCACAGAGCCCAGGACAGGGCCCAAGGAGGAGGCAAGACCGCGGCTCCCACAATGCCTTGCCCCCTACTGGATGACAAGGATCTCAGAGTGCTTCCTCAGGTCCCTTCCCCACTCCTCCTTCCTTCCCCTCCTCAGAGACTAATGAAAGACTCTGGAAGGGACCCCAGGCCCCAAGCCCCCTAGCTGTAGAGATGGAGATAGTGAGCTCAGCAGGGGGCCAGCTCCAAGCCACACAGGAAGCTGGTTTAGGAACCCCAGTACTCTGTGACTTGCACCAGGCTGCCATTCCCGGGACCCTCTGCCTCTGAGGGCCTGCCCTGACACCTCTCCTTGCCTGGCTGTCCTATAGTTTGTGGGGGCTGAGTTGAAGAGACACCACCACACAGGGATCAGAAAGACCACCCACTTTAGCCCCAGACAGATCTGGGTGTGGTTCTGTCCTGCCACTTACAGCTGTGTGGCCTCAGCCCAGAGACTTAACCTCTCTGATTCTCAGAACCTTCATCTATAAGATGGGGATAACCCTATCTCTCTCACCAGATTGACTGTGAAGATTCACTGGCAGAGGCATTGTGAGGGGTCACGAAGTACACATTTTTAACTGAAGTTTTATTGTTGCTAAATCACTGGACACAACAGAGAGTTTAGAGTGCCCAGCACAACTCTGAGAATGACAGGCCCCAAGGCCCCTCTCATCTCTCATATGCCCGTCGTGCAAAGGGGGAGCTGAACTCCTGCCCTCAGAAGGCCACGGAGGGGCTGCCAGGGACTCCAAGGGTCTCTCCTTTGGAGGGCTCTCCTGCCCACCCCTGCCCCTCCCTGTCCCCTGCAGGAGGGGTGGCCATGACTCCCAGGAAAGGGGAGGGTGATGAGTGGCAGATCTGAGACCCCAGCTCCCGGGCCACCCCAGGGGCCAGGGAGGGAGTGGCAGATGGAGTCCCAGCTAGTACCTGGTGTGTATCTGAAACCTGGGAAGAAAAATGGGGCGTGAACCTATGAGAAGTGTCCCTGTAGCATGAAGCATGGAAGTAAGATAGCAAGAAGGACCTTCTAGCTGCCAGGGGTGGGAGCTGAGAGCACGACCTCCCTGAAGTCAATGAGAAGAATCCCCAGGAGAATGGGTGAGCCGACTTCCCTGACCAGGCTGGGCCTTCCTCAGAACAGTTCCTGGGGAGGGCCAAGCCCATTAGCCACCCAGTCCTGGATGTCCTCCCAGCCCCTCTGCCCAGCCCCAGCCACTCACAGGCGACTGAGCCGAGGAGTGAAATGGAAGGCATCTGGCGCCACGAAATGGAGACCACTCTTCACGATGGTGCTGGGGAGGGTGCAGAGGGTCAGCGCCCAGGGCCGTAGCCACCCTGGCCTCTCTGCCCACGCCAGCCCCAAGTCCCCAGTGCTGAGCCCTGGAGCCCTCCCCATGCCCTCATAGCCTCCTCAGCTACCCTGGGCCCCTAAGACCCCTGAGTTTTCTGACCTCCTCCAGCCCCTCAGTCCTCAGCCTCCCAAGTCCCCCAGGTCCTTAGTGCCCTTGAGCCTCTGGTCCCCCAGGCCCTGTGCTGAGCCCCACAGCCACAGTCCCCAGCCCCCTCACAGGTTTCTCAGCTCCCCCAGGCCCCGCAGGTCATTGCGCTCCAGACGCTGCAGATTCTGCTGGTTCTCGATGTAGCTGTGGGGAGAGGGATGGGAGTCACAGCGGCTCAGGCCCACAGTGGAGTTCCCATAGCCACCCATCTGCTTCCCTCACAACCACACATGCATGTGTGCACACATGCACACTCACGTGCTCACAGTCACATACAGACCTGTTTACACACATACACGTGCACGGGCATGCACACACACGCATACACATATGCACAGAGACACACCTCCTCACATACAGTCATGCATGCATGTGCATGCATGCATCCTAGCACCATCACACATCTCTCACATGTGCGCACACAGTCATGCACATACACACGCAGAGGCATAAACATATGCACAGGAACACACCTCCTCACGTAGTCACACATGCACATGTGTGTGCACGAACATGTGCATGCTTACACTCTCACACAAGGACACACGTATATATCTCTCACAAACACACACATATAAGTGTGAGAATGTGTGTGCATACTCACGTTCATAAACACACACAAGTCCACTCTCAGCTAGGTGTTCAGCTCTTACGCACAGGGCCTCTCCTGCACATGCTCAACAATGGGGGTCATGCTGAAACGCTTGCTTCCACAAAGGGCCTCGTCACTGCCACTGCCCCACCCAGCACGGAGGAAGCCCTGGGGTCATGCAAATATACCTGGCGCTCCCAAACACGCCTGCTCTGGGCTCACCCATCGCGCCACACACACATATACACACCCCACCCTCTCCCCTCAAGGCCACTGGCCCCTCCTCACACTCAAGCAGCAACCCCTACTCCCCCACCCCATCTTTCAGCAGAGCAAGCGAGAGGCATGGAGGCTGTCAGTCAGGGACCCCTTGAACCTCTGCCTGCCCTAGGAGGGACCCAGGAAGGAGGAGAGGTGCAATGAGAAGATGGAGTCAGAGTTGGGGCGCGGACTGGCTGAGAGAGCAGCGATGGGAAGGCTCAACATCGGGGGCAGAAAAACACCGACAAAGAGAAACGGACAGGAAAAGACTGGCAGAGAGAGAGAGACAGGCAAGGAGAAAGACAGATAAGGAAAGGGAGACAGATAGGTAAGGACAGAGAGCCAGAGAAAGCAAGATAGGGAGACGAGAAATAAAGAAGTAAGAGCAGGCATGTGGGAATGGGGGATGGCTGACGCCCTATGCCCTGCCCCACTTCTGGATCTGGAACACCACCGAGTTCCTGAGAAGTCAGCTGCCCGGCAGCGGGACGTCAGCGTATCCCACACACACACACACACACACATGCCAGGGGCCCCTGACTCATTGCCTGTTCTCAGAACTCTCCCCCTCTACCCTCTTACTTCCCCTAACTTGTGGGAACCAGGAGCAGCCTGAGTGACCCCTCTCCCTGTCCCCAGCCTTGGCCCCAGCAGGAAAGCCAGGTATCAGGTCCTCAGTCCCCTGATGCCCAGGGAGGAACCTCCAGTGACTCCGAGGGTGAGTAGGTCCCTGTCCTGCCCACACCCCCAGTCCCTGCCCAGAGGGTTTAGAGCTGTGGGGACCCAAGGAGGAGTGATAATGCAGTGGCCGGGTGTGTCGGAGCTGTCAGGCAGCGTGCTCAAAGCTGCCTCATTCGTTTGGATTCATAATCAATCTGTCTGTTCGAGTCCATTATCTCCTCGTTAGCTCTGCGGGTGAGGGAGGAGGAGGGGACCGTGCAAGCGAAGGCAGGGGGTCAGGCTGCCGCCCCACCCAGAGGGACATCGCAGCTCACTACCCTGCATGCCTCCTGGTCCCCAGCCCCAGCCTATCCATGCCGCCCCTCCCTCCCTCCAGCCTGAACCCACTTTGGGCTTGGAAGGGGACTGGGAAATGAGAGAGCTGATGCGGAACAGTCAGGAGGCTGGGCTGCTCTGAAGACCCAGGGTGATGAGTGGACTGAACTGGGGGTGGCAGCTTGGATCTCATGCCCCCTCCCATCATGCAGAGAGAGACCGAGGTCCAGACCAAGACAAGGCCATGTCCTCTCCTCCTGGTCTCCCTAGGGCCATTAGAGAGAGAGACTGAGTACCTTCCCGTTAATTACCAAGATATACCCGAGTAACTCAGTGCCAATTCTTGCAGCCTGCTCAAGTAACTTCCAGACAGTGATGGCCCCTGCCTCAGATACCTTCCAGCCCATCACTGCAGGAGGCCAGGTTTCCTTGCCCACCCTCTACGCCCCCGGCCACAGGAGGAGGATTTTCTAGCTGTTCATCCCCTCTCCTAGAAGTCTTGCTGGCCCCACCAGCCACATAGAATACTCAAGTATTTTCCAGTCATCACCACGTGATGCTTGAGTACCTCTAGGCCAATTATTACAGAATACTCCCATAGGTTTCTCCAGCTGCTAAAAAGTACTTGAGTATTTTGTAATCAATTACTGCAGGATGTCAGAGTACTGCAGAATGTTGGAGATTCCTCCCAGTCTTGGGCCCTGAAGGGAGGAGAGTGTTCCTCAGCAACGGCCTTAACTCTCTGCCCCAAGTAGGGAGACAAGGGAGGAAAGGGAGATGGGGGTGGGGAGAAGGAAGCCGGGAAGGGGTCGTGGGATCCAAAATCAAGAGGTCGTGAGGACAAGAGATGGTGGAAATAGGGAGAAGCTGCGACTCCTCACACCTCCCACCTATTCCAGTTCAATTCCCAATTCCAGGGAAAGAGTTGGCCTTGCCTCGTCATGACAAAGAAGGAGGTGAGGTCCAATTTCCCCCTGGAAAGGAGATATGGCGGTAAGAGCGCCGAGTGAGGGGTTCTCCGCAGCTAGCCACCCCCCTGCACGAGGCCGTGCTTAGGCTCTTGTCTGAGCTCCAGAAAGCGGCTTCGAGACTGCGGGGCTCTCTCAGACCTGGTGTACCGAAAGCCACCCTGGATCTCCCCGAGGCTGCACTGAGATCTAGGCAACGTCTAGGCAGTAACTGCGGTGGCTGCCAGGGCAGCGGCGGCAGCGGAGAAAAGTCCAGGCACAACCGAGGGCTGCTGCGGTACCAGCTTCCCGCCGCGCCTGCCCCTCCGGACCCAGCTAGCAGGCGGGGAGTCCGCGCCCTCGGGGCACGGCTCTGCCCGCCGGTCCCCGCGCCCCCTCGCCCGCCGGACACTCACAGCTCCGTCAGGTTCTCGGCGCCCGGCAGGTGGCGGAGGCTATCCAGGGCCCCAGGCTGGGTGCAGCGCAGCCCCGAAGGGCCGTGGGGGCAGCAGGCATCGGGGCAAGGTGCGGCGCCGGCAGATGCCAGCATCAGCCAAGCCAGCAGGCTGCCCGGCCCGGTAGCCCGACCGTGCCAGCCGAGCTGTCCGCGCCGTCCGCCTCGCAGCATCGCGGCGGCGCCCGCCTCGCCCCGGCCGGGCCGCCGTCTGTGCGCTCGCAGCAGCGGCTGCCGGGCCTCCCGCGACATGTGCGCTGGGCGGTGTTAAAGACCCAGCCGCCAGGAAAGGGCGGAGCCAGCGGCCCCCGCCCGGACCCGCCCCGCCCCCTCCGGCTCCAACCCCTCCTCCTCCTTTCTTAAGCCCCCAACTCTGTCCCCACCGCTTTGGGGGCCCCCGCGCCAGCTTTCTCCCCCAAGACCCCCCTAGCTCCGGGAGACGCGGAGGGGCCGCCGCAGAACGCCTCAGAGGTGTCTGCTGGGAATGGGGGAACTGGGAAGTTGATACGTTATTTCTATCGGCCTAAAGCAGCTGCCTTTAGGGGGGAGGGGAGATGACTGAGCTGGGGAAAAGGTTGCCGTCCAGGTCATCCTAGCCAGCCCCCGGCCTCGAATCTCCCTCCTCCCGGTGCGTGTGCCTGAGGCAGTGGGGGATGTCACTTGGAATAAATTAGGTGAAACACTTTCTAAACCCTAGGAAGAACTGGGAAGGAACCCCAAGAACACCAAATGCAGGTCCTGGCGAAGGAAAACACGGAAGAGGCAGAGAAAGGGAAGGTGTCGCCCAAAAACAGCCAGAGAAGAGAGACCAGGGAGCCGAGACGCAGATTTCCAGGAGAGGCCACAGGGTGGCGCTAGAAGCTCGCGAGCAAAGGTGTGAGCTACGCCCGGGTTGGGTGGGTGGGGGCGCGGTCTGCAGACCCCACTGCTCTGCGCCTCGCCACCCCGAGTCAGCCCGTGACCCCGGCCGTCCAGCGCTGGCCCCCAGGCCGGGTAGGACCAAGCCGGGCTGGGCTGGCATCGATCGCCGCCCTGACAAGAGCATCGATTTCTGCACGGAGAAATTAATAGATCTTCTCTTAGCTCCTCGGACGCGGGGGCCGCCCGCGGGTGGAGCTGGGGACCCGTCTGTCCTAGGAGGCCGCCAGCCCGCCCGGAAAGCCCCAGGATCCCCAGCACCGGCCCGCGGGCAGGTCCCAGCCACTCCCACCCCGCAGGCCGTTGTGGCTGCAAGAGCAGGACCGCCTCAAGCCGGGGAGGGGGGAGGAAGAGGGGTCCTGGAGGAGGGACTCTTGGGGAGAAGGCAGACAAGGACCCCAGGGATCAAGCGAATGAAGCCCTCTGAGGCGCGCGCTTCTCCTCTCCGCCGGGGCCCCAGCACAGACCGGCCTGTAATTCCCCGAGACAGAGAGGGACAAACAGACCGATGGAGCAGCCTGAATTCAGGAAGGTGACCGGACAGAGGCGGGGCCCAAAGGATGATTGCCCTCTCTACGGGGATCTTGGTCAGAACCAAAGGACTAGCGCTAGGACAGAGCTTCTTGTCCCCAGTGTGGCGGCCTCCTCGGAGGCTGAGAGGGGCTCCGAGAGGCGAGAGGGGAAGGGCTTGAATATGCAGGAGACACAGTTCGTGTTCCTACCAGGTTTCAACTAGCTCGCTTCCCGCCGGGTGGCGGCTGCCAGAAGTTACCCCGCAGGTGTCAAGGCACTGGGTGTCAGAACCTAGAACCACTCCTTCCCGGGGGCCCCGGTTCGCTGCCTCTCAGACCGAGCAGCCCCATTTGGGAGAAGTCCGGGGCGAGAGGGGGAGGACCCACTGCAGCCACCGCGGGGTTGGGGGGAGCTCGGTTCTTGGCCTACCATCCCCCTGTATTTTGGCCTTATTTCCCCAACAGACCTATCCCCCTCAGTTGTCAGGCTAAATATTTTGGCTTGGCGGGAGGGGCGGGGAGAACCGAGAGGTCCCAGCAGACCAATCCGTTCGGTCTGGGGGCGGGGAGGGCGGGAGCTGGGCGCGGCCCCTGCGTGCGGCCCCGGGAGAGAGCGCAGCGAGCGGGCGCCCGGGAGCCGAGCGCGCCCCGAGGGATCAGGGGAGACCCTCCCCTGCGAGTCCCGTTCCCCGGGACCCCAGCTGCTCTCCTCGGCACGCTCCCGGCTTCCGCTCGCCCTGCCCTCGGGGTTGGCCGCTTCTTGGCCTGCCTTTTGCTCTGCACCCTGTGTGACTTTCTCCCTCTGGAGGCCCCTCTGAGTCTCTCCCTGTCGCTGTCTGCACCTCTGTCCCCATTTCTCTTCTCTGGGTTCTCTGTCTCCAGCTGCCTGTCACTGCTTTGTGTCTCTGTGGCTGCCACTCCTTTTTTCTGTCTCCTGCCATCTCTGTGTGGGATTCCTCGTGGCTCTGCCCAGCCCCTTCCCCTCCCCTCTGAAGCCTGGTCTCCATGTCCCATAGGGCATGTCAGACCCTTCTCCTGCCCTGAGACATCTGGAGGAGAGCCAGGACTGGGCACAAGGCAGGGCCAGGACAATGGCAGTGCCCAGTCTGTGGCCGTGGGTGGCATGCCTGCTTGTGATCCTCCTCTCCTTGGGATTTGGCCTGGATGCACTGGAGGGTGAGTGCCCAGCATTGTCTCCTGGAGCCCCGTCTCCCTTCCAGCCAGAACACACCTATTTCCCTGCTGCAGTGTGAAGACTGGGGTTAGCTCTCACAAGGATTTCCCACCAGGGACAGCAGTGAGTGCCCCACATAAGGGTGTTTTACTCTCAGTTCCCTGGGAGTTGAAAAGGACCTTGAAACAGAGGGATGAATACCTGTCCTCCATTCCTGCTTGTGAGACTGTAATCCCAGTGAAGCCTGAATGAGAACCAATATGAGCGGGGGAGTCTTACAGGTCATTTCTAGAGCCACTGAATGGCAAGGGGTCAGGAGCCAGACAGGTGGCTGAGAACTTGGCACCATTGGGTAACTGAACCCATGGTGCAGACAGGAAACAGGTTCAGAGAACTGAGAGGTCAGGCTAGACTGGGTCCTAAGCTCCTGCCTCCAGGCCCCTGTCCTGTGTCCCCCACCCTTAGGGCCCATCCACTGGGGTGGGGGGCTGCTTTTCATTAGTGCCCTATGTTAGACACTTCCCATGTGTGGGGTTTCTGGGGAGGATCATGTAGATTAAGTGGCCCTCATGGGGGTGCTGGGGGCTTGGCGGGGAGAAGAAAAAAAGCTGAGGGTGGAAGATTCAAAAGGGGCAGGATGAACAGATGTCCCCTCTGCAATGCCACCATTCGCTTCCACACAGAGCTCAGGAATCCAGTGCTTTGTGCCTGCCGGAGGGGTCCTGTGACGCCCCCAGACTGGGAGCTTGCAGGGGCAGGGCAGTCTCCGCCTCCTACAGAGACAGAGGAGTGATGTGATGGGTTGGGGTAGGGGGTGCCCTGAAGGGTGCTCATCACAGAGGCACTGCCTGCAAGGCCCAGCCCTCCCTCACACACCCTCCCCTCCTCCAGGGCTGTGACAGGACAGGGCACAGCAGATGCCAGCCCTGAGCACCGTCGTCAGGACAGGAGCATGTCCCTGAGGGGGAGGGAGGCTGGTGTTTGGTCAGGGACCCAGATGTCCCGTTCCCAGTGCAGCTCTGCACAGGGCTGTGTCCTGAGGGGAGGCAGGGGTTAATCTGTGAAGGTCGTAGATTTGTTTTTCCAAATGACTCCCATCAGGGGAGCCCTAGCGAGGCAGGGGCATGATGGGAAGTGGCATGTGGGCGCCTGAGAGAACCCCCATCTGCCTCGCAGAGCCTGATTGGCCTGCGCCTGGAGGGGCTAGAAGTGTTTTCTCATTCTTCCTCCCTCTCTTTTGTGTGTGTGCGTGTGTGTGCATGTCCTCAGACACACACACACAGTTGCTGGGCAGAGCCAAGCCCAGGACCATGAATGACAACAGAGGGAAAGTGTGGAGTAAGCCCAGGGAGCCAGCTTTGCCTGCCCACCCGCCTCTTAACCATCAGAGGATGGGTCTAGGGATGTGTAATGTGTGCCATGTTGCTGGAGGGCTAGGTGGGAAGGGAGAGGGTAGAGGCTGGAGAGGTTGGCAGGACTTGAATGGCAAGCTGAAGAATTCAGACTTGACTGTCCCACAGTGGGAGCCATAGAAGGTATCCTTGGGAGCAAGTGAGTGCAGGGACCAGGTATCCAGCCCACTTAGGGGAATGGTCCTAGGTGCCCTGGGGAGAGAAAGGGAAGTGGGGCTGGGGCCAGGGGTCTGAAGAAACCAGACACACTCAGGTCCCCAAGGGAGGAGTGGACTTGGGATCTAGACGTCCATCGACTGAACCCACAGTCCCTAAGTGCGGGGGGATGCAGAGCTGACTAACAAGGGCCTCACCCTCAGGAGATCCCTCCTTGGAGGGGATGACAGAGATATAGATGGCAATGTTGGGGAGATGCCCCAGGTGTTCTGGTGTGGGTGCTGGACTAAGTGCTGCCGAGCCCGAAGGGGAAGTGATTAACTCAACATCAGAGGGTCAGGGAAGGGGGAGCTGGCCCTGCAGCTTGCAGGACAAGAGCTGAGGTTGTTACGAGGCCGAGGAACCCTTCTGGAGCTGGAGATATTAGTGGGGACCAGTTTATCAGCTCCCAGAACATCAGGCTGAGGAGCCTAAGCTTGAACTTTTGGCATTGAGGAGCCACAGAATGTCCCTGTGAGAGTAAAACAAATGCAGGGACCAGGCACCTAGCTCCCTTTGGCCTGGGAGAGAAGTGGAAGGCATGAAGCTCAGACTACCGCCTCCCAGTTACAGAATTCATTCATTCATTCATTCATCAAATATTTATTGAGCGCCAATTTTGTGCCAGGCATTGTACCAGGCACCAAGGATACAGCGATGAATTATACAAAGATCCCTGCCCTTCTGGAGCTTACAGTAAACAAAATAAATGAGTAAGTTATATATTATCCAGTGTTAAGAATTATGGAGAGGGGCCAGTGGTCAAGTGGTTAATTAAGTTCCCACACTTCGCTTTGGCGGCCCAGGGTTTTACCAGTTTGGATCCTGGGCGCGGACATAGCACCGCTCATCAAGCCACGCTGGGGCGGCATCTCACATGCCACAACCAGAAGGACCTACAGCTAAATATACAACTATGTACTGGGGGGCCTCGGGAGAAGAAGAAAAAAAAAACAAAAAGAAGATTGGCAAGAGATGTTAGCTTAGGGCCAATCTTTAACAAAAAAGAATTATGGAGAAAAATAAAGGAGGAAGTCGGGGGGCGGTGTCATTTTAACTAGGATGGTCAGGGAAGGCCACATTGAGGAGGTGACATTTGAGCAAAGACTTCAAGGAGGAGAGGGAGCCATTTAGAGGGAAGAGTGTTCTAGCCAGAGGGAACAGAAGGTGCAAAGACACCAAGCAAAGCTTGGCTGGCTTGTTTGAGGAACAGCAAAGAGGTCAGTGTGGCTGAAGGAGAGAGAGAAAGGGGCTGGAGTCCGAGAGGCTGCAGAGGGCTTGTAGGCGGCGTTGAGGACTTTGGATTTATATCAGGGAGATGGAGGCCATTGCGGGGGAATGGGCAGTGGAGGAACATGATCCAGCTTGTGTTTCGAGATCACTCTGGCTAGAGTGGAGAACAGACCACAGAGGGGACAAGGGCGGAAGTAGGGGGGTTGCTACTGTAAAGCCAGGGGAAGATGATGATGAAGCAGTGACGGTGGTGCCGAGTGGCTGGATTCTGGATCTATTTTAAAGACAGAGCCCACGGGGTGTGGGGGGTGAGAGAAGGAAAGGAGGTGAGGATGCCTTTAGATCTGGAGTCTGACTGCAAGAAGGAATTTGCAGTCAATGAGAAGGGGAAGTGGGTTTGGGAGGGAAGGTCCAGAGCTCATTTTTGTCCGTGTTGGCTCATCTGGGAGAGATCCTGCAAGCTGCAGGTATGGCTTCGGAGGCCCAGGGAGGAGGGCACCCCACACCCACAGCAGAGCCCGGTTCCCCCTCAATGTCCCACTCCCAATGTGGTCCTCTTCCTCCAAAGCTGCCAGGGTGGGATGGAGTGCTTGGACCAGGCTGCCCTGACAGCTGCCTGCCGTGTGTGCCCACAGTGTGCCCCAGCCTGGACATCCGCTCAGAGGTGGCAGAGCTGCGGCGGCTGGAGAACTGCAGTGTGGTAGAGGGCCACCTGCAGATCCTGCTCCTGTTCACAGCCACAGGCGAGGACTTCCGTGGCCTCAGCTTCCCGCGCCTCACCCAGATCACCGACTACCTGCTCCTCTTCCGTGTCTATGGCCTGGAGAGCCTGCGTGACCTCTTCCCCAACCTAGCAGTCATCCGCGGTGCCCGCCTCTTCCTGGGCTACGCGCTGGTCATCTTCGAGATGCCTCACCTGCGTGACGTGGGGCTGCCGGCGCTGGGGGCCGTGCTGCGTGGGGCTGTGCGTGTGGAGAAGAACCAGGAGCTCTGCCACCTCTCCACCATTGACTGGGGCCTGCTGCAGCCTTCACCTGGCGCCAACCACATCGTGGGCAACAAGCTGGGTGAGGAGTGTGCCGACGTATGCCCCGGCGTGCTGGGTGCCTCTGGCGAACCCTGTGCCAGGACCACCTTCAGCGGGCACACCGACTACAGGTGCTGGACCTCCAGCCACTGCCAGAGAGGTGGGCACTGGCACAGAGCACGACTGGGGGGCACAGAGAGGACAGGGTAGCCACAGGACGGTGTGGGTCAGTACTTTGCCGCCAGTGTTTACTTTAATCCTCACTTACCCTATGAGGCAGGTACTATTGCTATTCCTGTTTCACAAATGAGGAAACTGAGGCTCGGAAAAGTTAAATAACTGGTGTGGCGTGAAGCAGTCAAGGGGTAGGCAAAAGACAGCGTCAGGTGGTCATGGCGGAAGTAAAGGACAGGCACCAGGTGGGCGTGGGGGAGAGGGTAGGTGTGAGTGGATACGAGGCGGCAGCACAAGAAGCAGTATACGGCAGTGGTTAAGTGCAAAGCCAGACGGCCGGGGTTCAAATCTCAGCTCCACTACTCACTGGCTGTGTTCAGTTAGCCTACCTGTGCCTCGGTTTCCTCACCTGTAAAATGATCATAGGCTTGTTATGAGGAATGAGCTACTCTGTAAAGCATTAGAGTGGTGCCTGGGCCATGGTAGCTGTTCTGTGTTCCTGATGAAAGTGGCCACAGCGCAGGTGGTCCAGGCTCGGCGGGTGATATGGTAACGGGGAGGTTGGGAGCGGGTGGGAAGAGAAAGGAGGAAGTGACAGACGAACGACAGGATAGGTGAGGACGAAAATGTGAGGCGGGATCTTCTTTAAGAAGTAAGATGCATGGAGAGGAACCCGAGGACTGGAGTGGAGAAGAGGAGTGGGAGGAGTGGAATAAGGAGGGGTGGTTGGTGGAGGAAGTGAAAGTTATGGGGGAGGGAAGGAAGACCATTCAGAGGCTGGGAGCAGATCTGGGGTCTCCCAACATGGGGCTCTTTCCACACAGCTCCTGGAAGTCAGCCCCCCTCACCCAAATGCCTCCGCCTCAGGGCAGAAGAGTAACCAGACCCCTGCTGTATCCGCTGGGCCCCACGTCCCAATGCCTCCCTGTTGGCTGTAAACACAGCTGCCACCAGTCCCCTCTCGTGTATAGTGTCAACATGCCCCGGCTGACCCCCACCACCCGCATCGCTCCCACAGACATCCAGCTGCCACTGTGCAGAGCTCCCAGGCCACTAGGCCCCCAGCCCCAAACCCACCCACTGCTGCTTGGGGCCGCCTCCTGCCCAGGGCAGGGCACTAAAGGGGAGGAGGTATGGGCAGGGGCCTGGGTGAAATGACCAGTGGTGGCGCCTGTTTCCACACACTCCCAGGCCCACCTTGCCCCAGGGCTAGCTGCTCGGGAGAAGCTGGCTGGCTCGCCCTGGCACCATGCCCAGTGATGATCTGGGCACCAGGCCTAGACAGGACAGCAGGCTGGGGAGCAGCAGCCCTGATGGACAAGGTCACTGCTCTGTCCTGAGTTCTGACACCCCTGACCAGACACTGTGGGAGGTGGGGAGCCACAGAAAAGGGCCATGGTCCTTGTCCTCAAGAGCCCCTGTCTAAGGAAAACAGAGTAGGCAACCAGTGTCATCAGAACGGGAGGGGTTTGGGAGCAGGCTAAGAGCCTTATCCCAGGAGGAGGGGGCGGGGCCAGGACCAAGGAGTCGTGGGTCAGGTCTAATGCAGCACTCTGTCCACAGTGTGCCCCTGTCCCCGTGGACTGGCCTGCACAGCTCGGGGTGAGTGCTGCCACATCGAATGCCTGGGGGGCTGCAGCCGGCCGGAAGACCCTCGTGCCTGCGTCGCCTGCCGCCATCTCTACTTCCAGGGCGCCTGCCACCGGACCTGCCCTCCAGGCACCTACCAGCATGAATCCTGGCGCTGCGTCACGGCCCAGCGCTGTGCCAGCCTGCGCTCTGTGCCCGGCCGTGCCTCCACCTTTGGCATCCACCAGGGCAGCTGCCTGGCCCAGTGCCCCCCAGGCTTCACCAGTAATGGCAGCAGGTGAGTGTTGGGTGGGTGGGGGGCACCCTTGGAGCAGTGAGGAGACCCACACTGGTCCAGGGCTCACACCACACCCTCTGCTTGCCCCTGCTAGCATATTCTGCCACAAGTGCGAGGGGCTGTGCCCCAAAGAGTGCAAGGTGGGCACCAAGACCATCGACTCTGTCCAGGCGGCACAGGATCTGGTGGGCTGCACCCACGTGGAGGGGAGCCTCATCCTCAATCTTCGCCAGGGCTGTTAGTACCTTCCTCAGGGGCGTGCCTCTCCCCTGGCCACACCCTTCCTCCCAGCCACGCCCCTTACAATGACCAAGCTAAAGCACCACTTTCCATGGCCCACCATCCCAGCCCTGAGGGCCCCCCTTCCCTGGGCCCCCATGCAGCCCCCTCACCCTGTGGACCCATCACTTTCCCTGCCCCTGCTCCAGCCCTGTCTTCCCATCCCCTAGACAACCTGGAACAGGAGCTGCAGCGCAGCCTGGGCCTGGTGGAGACCATCACCGGCTTCCTCAAAATCAAGCACTCCTTTGCCCTCGTGTCCCTGGGCTTTTTCAAGAACCTGAAACTAATCCGGGGGGATGCCATGGTGGATGGGTAAGGGGTCAGAAACAGGCCTCTGACCAGTTCCCTCTATCACATCTCCTCCCCAACACTCCCAAAACAGTGGTGAAGAGCATGGGTTCTGAAACCAGCTCTGCTACTTACTAGCTGTGTGACTCTAGGTAGGTTACTTAACTTCTCTGGTCCTCACTTTTCTCATCTGTAAAATGGGGTAATAAGTACACACTACTTATTTCTTAGGGCTGTTGTGAGTATTAGTTAAGTTGTTATGTATAAAGCCCTTAAAACAGTGCTTGGAATGCATTACATACTATATAAATTATAGTAACATATAACTCTATGGGTTGGCTATAACTATCACGTGATCCTCTCAGCTGCAGAGCAAGACTGTGTGGGTTTGAAACCCATTCCTACTGCCTACCAGCCAAGGCCTACCCATAATGTAGCCAGGATTTTTCAAAATAATGTTTTAAATTACCATCCAGCCAAGTGGTTTCTCATGTCTCCTGGCACATTGCCATGTACCCCCAGGAGTGCCCACACTCCAGCCTCTTCAACAGAAGAGGCATAGCCCCAGACTGAGTCCCACTCCTCCCCATGTTCCTAAAGGCAGGACTGAGGCTGGCACATAGCAGGTGCCTAGTTAATGTGAGATGAGGGAAGGAGGGAGGCAGAGAAACTGCCGACCCCATTTCACTGATGAGGAAAAGATGCAGAATGTGGGTGACTCGCCAGACATTACACTCTTGGTCAGTGACACAGAGTGGGTGTGTATGAATGGCCCATGTATGCTGGGCGTGAGTGGGCTGCCAAGCGCCCCTCCTCCCCTGTGCTCCCAGCACAGCCCCTCCAGGAGAAGCCTATGAGGCACCCCTCCCGACCCCCTGCCCCCACCTCCCGTGCAGAGCAAGGTCCCTGGCCTCCCCCAGGAACTACACTCTGTATGTGCTGGACAACCAGAACCTGCAGCAGCTGGGCTCCTGGGTGGCTGCTGGGCTCACCATTCCCGTGGGCAAGATCTACTTCGCCTTCAACCCACGCCTCTGCTTGGAGCACATCTACCGCTTGGAGGAGGTGACCGGCACGCGAGGACGGCAAAACAAGGCCGAGATCAACCCCCGCACCAACGGAGACCGCGCCGCCTGTGAGGCCCGACACCCCAACCGCAGAGCAGCGAGCGCACTCGCGCGCGAACGAGAGACACGACGGCAGGAAACACCCAGACGCGCACACACGCAGACGTTCACACACACTGAAACACACCGGACACGCCCCCGGGTGGGAGGGGGCGCTTGATGGGGACAACGTGATCAGTTCTCTTCAGAGGCCGTGTTGGGGTGGGATGCTGCGGGGTCAGGGTAGGGGCTTGGAAGTAGGCGGCTCAAGGGGGTGACTGCGCAGTTGAGAGCAGGGTTCTCCCCTCGCCCCGCCCAGGCCAGACTCGTACCCTGCGCTTCGTGTCCAACGTGACGAAGGCCGACCGCATCTTGCTGCGCTGGGAGCGCTACGAGCCGCTGGAGGCTCGCGACCTACTAAGCTTCATAGTGTACTACAAGGAGTCGTGAGTACCGGGGGCGGGGCCAGAGCGGGGCGGGGCGGGGGCGGGGCCAGAATGGCAGCAGGGTCCGAATCAGACCCCGCCACTTAATTCACGACAGCAGGCAGGTAAGGGCAGAACGTCGCGGGGCTGTGGAGAGCCAGGAAGCCAGGACCCCTAAGTCGCACTCCCTTGTAGGGTCTATATCTGGCTTTCCTCTCACCTTCTTCATCCCTCTACATTTCACTTCACCCAGTGAAACGGAGAGGGCAATCAGGGCTTCAGAGAGCCCAGGAGAGGCGCCCCGCTGGGATGGCTGGGATAATTAAACTTCAATTCACTATGCTAATGCTCTGTACTGACCACATGCTCCTGCCCCAGCAGCGGTCTGGGAAGTACCCACTAATTTGGCCAGTTTTATGCACAGCTTTGCCAGCATTTCATTAAAGCCTGAGGAAGCAAGGGAACAGGGACAGCCAAAGACTGGCTGCTCTTTGCTTTGGAGAGAGTGTACTGACCATAGCAGGAGGGAGAGTGGTTAGACCACAAGACTTCTCCAAAAGTATGGCTAGGAATCAAAAATGGAAATCCTTAGAGGAGAGAGATGGATTTGGGATGGCAAGCTGGAGGGCAGGAGTGAGGAGTTCTCCCCCTCTGTGGTAGATAAAAGATGGGAGCCTCCTGGCTTAGAAGCTTTTCCTATGAATTAAAATCGAGAGGTCTTAGTTGCCCACTAGCACAGGGCCTGGCCTGGAGGAAGGAGGGAAGTCAATGGTGGGAGGCCTGCTGGTATGGCCAAGGTTCTCCTAGGCCTCAGCAGTAGGTGAAGGTGTCCAGCATGGGGGAGCTGGACAGTTTGTTAAATACAGATTCCTGGGGCCCTCCCCCACTGATTCTGATTCAATTAGTCCTGGGTAGGAACCAGGAATGTGCATTTCTAACAAGCTTCCTGGTAATGCTGAATCTTCTGGTCCACGGACCACACTTTGAGGAGCGCTAACATGGACTGCAACGTAAATGGTAACCCCTGGCTTGTGCAGCTCACAATCTGCACAACTATACACAGCTGCCTCTGGGCTCAAAAGGCAGAGAAACTTAGAGGTCCTTCAGGAAGCTCCCCTAACATCATTCCTTGCAGTGTGGCTGTGGCTGCGTTCCCTCAGAGACAGATACTGGGGATCCTGGCTCGATTCCAGCTCTGAGCAGACCCACTCAGTGAGTGTGTCATGCCCACAGGCTACCTGCCCCAGAGGGCAGACCCATACCTGCTTCTGGATGCCCTTGTGTGTACCGGAAAAAGAATGACAATGACAGTCTTGGAGTGATTCAGAGAGGAGGGGGGTGCTAGTAACTGGGGATAAGGCTGAGCTGCCCCTCAGCTCCAGGGATGGGGTATTCAGTCCATTCCAGAATGCCACGGAGCACGTAGGTCCAGATGCCTGTGGGACCCAGAGCTGGAATCTGCTGGATGTGGAGCTGCCCCTAAGCCGTACCCAGGAGCCAGGGGTGACCCTCGCCCCTCTTAAGCCCTGGACGCAGTATGCAGTGTTTGTGCGGGCCATCACGCTGACCACTGCTGAGGATAGCCCCCACCAAGGAGCCCAGAGCCCCATTGTCTACCTGCGAACCCTGCCTGCGGGTAGGCTGAAGCCTTCGAAGGGGATGGGAGCTAGATGCCTGGGTCCTAGTGAGAACGGGGAAACCCACACCAGAAATAGAGAAGCTGGGTCACTGAACACCTGGTTCACCAAGGCTAGCAGGCCAGCTGCTTGAGTCCTAGAAGGAAGAGGAGGCATTGCCTAGGTCCTAGGGAGGCTGTGGGTGGGAGAGCACAGGGGGAACGATTGAGACAATTCAAGGGCCTTTGGGGGACAAGAGAAGGACAAAATGCTGAGTTCTAAGAAGGGGAGGTTGAGGGTCACCTATTTCTCAGGAGAAGGGAATGTCAGACCCCAGAGAGAGGTGCCCGTTACCAGACAGTATTTGAAAGGCGGATCCGTGGCACCTCAGTTGTACCCTACTCACACCCTCAGCGCCCACGGTGCCCCAGGACGTCATCTCCACGTCCAACTCCTCCTCCCACCTGCTGGTGCGCTGGAAGCCACCGACCCAGCGCAACGGGAACATCACCTACTACCTGGTGCTGTGGCAGCGTCTGGCAGAGGACGGCGACCTCTACCTCAATGACTACTGCCACCGTGGTGCGCAGGGAGGAGGCGCGAGCCAGAGGGTTTGGGGCGCCCCAGGCCGCGGGCGCTGGCCGTCTAACTACTTCCTTCCCCGCCGCCGCGCCAGGCTTGCGGCTGCCCACCAGCAACAACGATCCCCGCTTCGACCGCGAAGATGGGGAACTCGAGGCCGAGATGGAGCCCGGCTGCTGCCCTTGCCAGCACCCACCTCCTGGGCAGGTCCTGCCACCGCTGGAAGCGCAAGAGGCCTCGTTCCAGAAGAAGTTTGAAAACTTTCTACACAACGCTATCACCATCCCCAAGTGCGGCTAGGAGCACGCGGGCCGGACGGGCCGGATGGGCGGGGCCATGAGGGTGGGGGTCTTGCTGGAGCTGGGGCTTTGTGGGCGGGGCCTGGGTTGTGAGTGGGTTTGGAGGCCGCTCGCCGCCGCTTAGCGCGTTGGGGAGCGTTCCGGACGGGCTTGACAGGGCCCTCCCTGGCTTCCCCAGATCCCCTTGGAAGGTGACGTCCATCAACGAGAGCCCTCAAATGTAAGCGGTGGCGGGGCCGGGGCTGAGGGGTGGGGTCCTGGGGCCGGGCCCTGGCTCTGACTCGGGCCTTCCACAGGGACTCAGGGCGGCACCGCCGGGCCGTGGGGGCCCTCAGGCTTGGGGGGAACAGCTCAGATTTTGAGATCCAGGAGGACAAAGTACCCCGGGAGCGAGCGGTGCTGAGTGGCCTGCGCCACTTCACGGAATACAGGATCGACATCCACGCCTGTAACCACGCGGCGCACACCGTGGGCTGCAGCGCGGCCACCTTCGTCTTCGCGCGCACCATGCCCCACAGTAGGTGACGCCCCTCACCTTCTACCCCCGCCACTGACGCCAACGACCCTAATTAATTAGTGCTCCAACTAGCGAGTTTGACCTCGCGCTAACTCCAGAGCCTCGCTTCGCTCTCCCCTCCCAGTCCCCCATAATCCCAGAGCTTCCTCAAACCCCCCGGTTTAGCCCCCTTGGGTTTGAACATGGAGGGAAGAGGAAATACTTGTGGCTGGGCTGCTTGATGCCCTCTCCTGCAGGAGAGGCGGATGGAATCCCAGGGAAGGTGGTCTGGGAGGTGGCCAGCAAAAGCAGTGTCCTCCTGCGCTGGCTGGAGCCACCGGACCCCAACGGACTCATCCTCAAGTATGAAATCAAGTACCGCCGCTTAGGGGAGGTAGGTACCCCGGGGGACCCCTAACCCTGCCCCAAATTGTGCCTCCATCCTATTCCCAGCCAGCTGTTCTATGTTGCCCTCAGGAGGCCACAGTACTGTGCGTGTCCCGCCTGCGATATGCCAAGTTTGGGGGGGTCCAGCTGGCCCTGCTGCCCCCCGGAAACTATTCTGCCAGAGTTCGGGCAACTTCACTGGCTGGCAATGGGTCCTGGACAGAGAGTGTTGCTTTCTACATCCTTGGCCCAGGTATACATGGCCTCTGTCCCAGCCCTATACTCCCAAACAGCCCCACCTGGGTCCCCAGCCACATCTCCCATTGTAGAAACCACAGACCCCTCCACCCCATCCCTCCCCATTTCCCCACTGTGGAAAGGGAAGCGTCCTCTACCCCCTGGCTCCTCTATCGTTGACCCTACCCTCTGTTGCCTGCTGACCCTGTCCTCTGACCGCCAGAGGAGGAAGACTCCGGGAGTCTGCACGTCCTTCTCACTCTCACCCCTGTGGGGCTCATGCTGCTCATCATTCTTGCTGCCCTTGGTTTCTTCTATGGGAAGAAGAGGTGATGACAAGTCCCACCAGTTCCCAACCCCCTCCTCTCCCTGCGCCCTCATCACAAGGTCAGTGTAGTAGGAGAAAAGTAGATAAGACAGCAGAAAGGACTTCCTTAGAAGCAGTAATTCTTCCCCTGGGGGCAGCATGGAGGGGACATACCTTTCAGCTAGGGTGACCACCTCATCCTGGTTTGCCTGGTACTTTCCTGACTTTAGCAGTAAAAGTCTCACATACTGGGAAACGCCTCAATCTGGGCACACTAGGACTATCGGTCACCGCACTCTTGGCCTGAGAAAAAATGAAGCTGGTTCTACCATAGCAAGGGGAGAGGCAGGAGACCTCAGGATATGTCCTCAGATGCCTGATGTCAGATCCCCCCGGGGCTGAATGCAAGAGGGAAGTGGGGGCAAGGCTTTGATTAGCTTGTTTCTAAGAACTAGCTGAGGGGGGAGGAGCCCCTCTACTCCTGGCCTCCTTATTCCCAGCCCATCAGATCCCAGATCCCAGGACTAAGACCAAGACCAGTTTGGAAAGTGCTTAGGGCTTCCCAGGGGTCACCCTGATCAGGGCTGGGGGTGTAGTCAGTTATTTCCCTTCTCCTTGCAACTCCCTCTTCCTTGTCCTCTGACATTGCTCCTTCCCGAGGACCTTGCAGCCTGACGCTCTTTCCTCCCATTGCAGAAACAGCACCCTGTACACCTCTGTGAATCCGGAGTATTTCAGTGCCTCTGATAGTAGGTCTGGGGATGGGTGGACAGGTGCTGTGAGAAAGGGAGCCGGGAGGGGAGGAGAGGCAGACTTCCAGGAGACCTTCTTGGAGAAGGCAGCCTTGGGACCCGACCCCTTCAGAAGAAGAGAGAAGTGGGTGGAGGCGTGACAGAGAGCAGTAGCCTTGCCTCTTGACCCCCACCTCCTCTCAGTGTACATCCCTGACGAGTGGGAGGTACCTCGGAAGCAGATCTCCATAATCCGAGAACTGGGCCAGGGCTCTTTCGGGATGGTATATGAGGGGCTGGCACAAGGACTTGAGGCTGGAGAGGAGTCCACGCCCGTGGCCCTGAAGACAGTGAATGAGCTGGCCAGCCCACGGGAACGCATTGAGTTCCTCAAGGAAGCCTCTGTCATGAAGGCATTCAAGTGTCACCATGTGGTAAGACAGGGTCAGGGGCATTATCAGGGTCATAATTAGGTCATGTGGTAAGAGAGATAGGGTCAGGGATGGGACCAGGGCACCTCAAGGTCAGGGTTGGGACTGTGGTTAGAATCCTAATTGGGGAAATGTCATGCTTGTGGTTAGAGTCAGAACAGGGTCCTGGCAAGGCCACGGTAGAATCATGGCTGGGCTCAGATTGGTCATGCCTAGGGGTCAATATTGAGTGTCCAGATAATTATTAGGGTTATCATTGGGATCAAGGTCAGAGTTGGGTCAATCATGAAGATTGAGATGATAGTCAGATATGATCAAGGTCATGGGTTAGGGTCAGGGTCATTGTTAAGTCAGGATTAGGGTTATGGTCATGGTTGGGGTTAGGGTCAGTGTTGGTGTCTGGGTCAGGTTGTGACCACAGCAGGTCAAGGTTTTGACCAGGTGGGTCAAGGGGGCTGAGTAGACCTGCAACCAGGCTCTTTGTCCGTCCCAGGTGCGTCTCCTGGGTGTGGTATCTCAGGGCCAGCCAACTCTGGTCATCATGGAGTTAATGACCCGTGGGGACCTCAAGAGCCATCTTCGATCTTTGCGGCCCGAGGCAGAGGTGGGGACCAGGAAGACCCTGGACCAAGGGACTGGGGAGTTAGAGAAGACTTCAGCACAGTTTTGGGGGGTAATCCTTGGGTAGGAGTCCAGCCTCTAGGCTCCGTCTTCACCAGCCCCTGTCTTGGCTCTAGAACAACCCTGGGCTCCCACGGCCGGCACTGGGAGATATGATCCAGATGGCTGGTGAGATTGCAGATGGCATGGCCTACCTTGCTGCCAACAAGTTTGTGCACCGAGATCTGGCAGCCCGAAACTGCATGGTGTCCCAGGACTTCACCGTCAAGATTGGGGGTACAGAGGGTACCAGGCGGGTGAGGGCAGCCTGAGGAGCGGAGAGACTCTCCCCAGCTAGGCCTCAGGAGATCGAGGCTAGCCCATTGCTCTGTCCCTGTGAGCCTGTGAGAACTTCAGCAAAGCTCCGCGCCCTGGATCTCAGTCTCGTCATCCAAGGGCAGAGGGGTTTGGCTGGGATGATCTCTGAGGTCCTTGGAGCCTGCACGTTCCAGGATTCTTGGAGACTATGGAGGTGGAGAGGGTTGGGAGAAGCATTCCTGGGGCAGGAGCTGGTGTGTGGCGCTCTGCCTCACACCCAGCCACCCTTACTTTCCAGACTTCGGGATGACTCGAGACGTGTATGAGACAGACTATTACCGCAAGGGTGGGAAGGGGCTGCTGCCTGTGCGCTGGATGGCCCCCGAGTCCCTCAAAGATGGAATCTTCACTACCCACTCGGATGTCTGGTGGGGCCTGGCTGGAGCAGAGGGCTCAGGGGATGTGGGGCAGGGTCTAGGGAGGAGGTCTGGGTGCACCCCTTCAGGGTGCCCTGAGCAGCGTGCAGCGTGCCGGGCTCAGGCCCTCCTACGTGTCCTCCAGGTCCTTCGGCGTGGTGCTCTGGGAGATCGTGACCCTGGCTGAACAGCCCTACCAGGGCTTATCCAACGAGCAGGTGCTCAAGTTTGTCATGGATGGCGGGGTCCTGGAGGAGCTGGAGAGCTGCCCGCTTCAGCTGTGAGTCACCCCAGCCTGCCCTTTCCTCATCCCGGCTCTGCCCACACCTGCCTCCCGCACCAGGATTCTGGCCTACCTCCTCTGATGCTTTACTTCCACTGATGGCCAGCTCTGAGCCCTCCAGTTCTAAATCCCCACCACAACCCTCATTCACTCCCCGGTGACCCGCCCAGACATAATCCCCCATGACCCCTCCCCCCACTCTCAGTTGGGAGCGTTGTGGGGGGTGGTCCTGGATTCCTCTGATACTGCCCCACCCCTCCAGGCAGGAGCTGATGAGCCGCTGCTGGCAACAGAACCCGCGCCTGCGCCCAACCTTCACCCACATCCTGGACAGCATACAGGGGGAGCTGCGGCCCTCCTTCCGCCTCCTCTCCTTCTATTACAGCCCCGAGTGCCGCGGGGGCCAGGCTTCCCTGCTGCCCACCGATGTAGAGCCCGACTCCCTGCCAACCCCAAAAGGGGCTTCCTCAAACTGCAGCCCCCAAAATGGGGGTCCAGGGCACTGAGGGGACCCCCTTCCCTGGCTGATGGGTCTCCCATGGGCAGAGAGTAAGGGACCTGAACTTCGGGGCCTTGAGATGTGCAGACATTCACACCCCTACCCCACTCTCAGACAGGGTAGGGGGTGGCCGAGGGTGAGGCAGAAAGTAGGAGCAGGAAAGACTGAGGGGGTCAGGGCAGACTCACGCAGGGAAGATTTTCTCAAGAGTCTGAGTTCTCCATGAGAAAGTAAGCAAGGTCACAGCAGAAGGAGTAGAGAGCAGACCACGGACGAGATGTCCTGGCCCTCGGAGTGAGAGACCCTACTCAGGCTAGGAAGACAGGCCTGCCCGCCCCGGAGGCAGAGTCCAGGGAATGCCACCCTCAGCTTGGGTCTCCTGTGGACATCTGAGGCCATCAACACACTTGAAACCAGATGAGCAACCAGAATCAGCCTGGAAACCTCTCTGCCCCTGTTTGGGGTGCTGGGGATGGGGTGTCCCCATGACTGCCTTTCTTACCACTGTGTTTCACCTCCTCCCCTCGGCCCCATGCACCAGGTGGTGGGGAGAAGCAGGGACCTAGGTGAGCGGGTCCCCAGCCTGGCCCTGTAGGCCTACCCTCACCTCTTCCTCTCCTTTGCCACACCCAGGGCCCCCAGCCTGGTGCTCCTCATTCCTCTTCTCCAGGGGCATCCCTTGGAGTGATTCACCCCATCTCCCAGTCTCTTCCCCTCAACCTCCCTCGTACCCTTGGATTATTAAGGCTCTAAGAGCCTTGCTTCCTCCCTGCCCTCACTCCTGCCCCCCACCCCCTGCCTCTCATGGGAAGACTGGAGAAGGCACAATAAATGCCGAGTCTGTTTGTACCCTGGTCCCGGGCAGCCCATTATCTCTCCATCTACATGGTGTTAACACTGGATGAACTTCCTCCCTCCCTCCTTGGGGACTTGAGGTGGTGACCCTGAGGCGGTGATACAGGATAAATACACTGCTGTCAAACACCACCTCCATGAGGACCTGAGCAGCCAGGGTTGCCATGGCAGTGAAGCTGGACAGTCCTGCTCTTATCTGCTGCTCAGGCGGCCAGAAGTGGTTGAGCCGGGCAGGGCGGCTTTGTACTGTCCTCCCAGCCTCACCGACTATCTCCCACACCTCATCTTTAGGTTGTCTCTCGCTGTATCCACAGGGCAGACATTTCCTGGGATATCACAGCACAGACTTGAGCTGGGCAGAACATGGGGTGGGGGAGGGGCCCTGATGACAACACCAGTCCGTGCTGGATGCCACCCAGCCAAGGCAAGGGACACACATCAGAGCAGAGTCTGTGTGTCTGGCTCCCTATGGTTGTTCCTTCCCAGGAGCAGAGATGCCCTGGAGGCATGTTCAGGGAACACAGCGGAGTCCACTTGCAGGCTCCTGTGCCAGTGCCATCAGGGCATTTGAAGGGGAGAGTTACAGATGAATGACTTAAAACCTTGGTGAAGGAGGTGGCAGCAGAAGGGGCTGGTCATGGCTCAGGGCTTTTTAGCATCCTATACCAGTGTTTTCTGCATCCAGGTCCTTGGGGCCGGAGCTCCCGTGCCGCTGTGCTCTGCCACAAGCTGCTCACACCCAGGGTCTGGGGAGATTTGCACTTGCAAACATGCTTGCTCACTCCAGCAGCTGCCCCGCAAACCACAGCTCCTTAGGGCAGGGCCTGAGTGGAGTGGGCATGAGTCTGTGTGAGGCCATCTCTATGATAGCAATTACAACCCATATACACTACCCTGACAGGGTCAGGGTGGGCAGCAAGGACCACCTGCCCCAGCACCCCTTGCCTGTCATTGGTGGCTGAAGCAACAGTGACCCCTAATGGTTTCTTGTGGAACTACAACTAAGGGAGAAAAGAGTCGAGGAGGCTGTGCTCTTCTCCCTGTGTTGCCGGTCTCTGACAAGCCTCCGGCAGAGTGGAAGGGAGGAGGGACTCCACACAGAAGCCCTAGATCTGAGACCCACACACTCACACTGAGCACACAGGCATACCTGTGCTTGCACAGGCCTGGAGGGCAGCAGTGGGGTCAAGCCCTCTCCCCAGCACCCATGCCCTCTAACCTCCAAAGTCCTGGACATTGCATGCTCAGGAAGCGCTGGCCGTCTGGATGTGGAGGGCTTAAGGAAGGGACTGGGAGTCAAAGAAAAGAGGGCTTCAGAGAAATGCTGTCTGCACTCCACCTCCAAAGATAAGCAGGTGGTGGCTGGCTCAGAAGAACTTTTTGGAGAAGGATGTAGGGATGCCTGAAGACAAACTCTCCTGCGATCCATGTGCTAGAGAAGAACTGGATTTAGCAAGTAGCAAGCGAGATGGGAGTTAGACTTCAGGAGGACTTCCCAACTATACAAGGAAGCTTTGTGGAGGGAAGAAATACGTGCTCTTTCAGAGACAGCTAGAGACAGACAACAGGTTGACCTGGGGAGGGAGTGATGGGCGCCTACCACAGAGGCAGAAGGGTAAATGCAATGACTAAAAGAGAGAGTCCAAAAACCCCCTTTTTTATTTCCTCTTTTCCTCTAGATTCAAGCAGAATTCTAGACAAAATAACCTGCAGCTGGCTAGGAAGGGAAGGAAATGGAGTGGAGACAGATTAGCATCAAAGAATTATTTTACCATCCATCCTCTTGGGCCTGTCCGTGTGTCCTCTTGACAAGTTCCCCACATGAGCAAAGGGATGCTGACAGCTATGGGTCTCATGTCCCACCCCCTCCAAGCTCAGGACCAACCAATGCATCTTTGTGGGGTAGGGAGGACAGAATCGAGTCCTCCATGGTGAGAGGCCCAGAGGCCTGGGACGGGGGTAGATGTGGTCTGAGGTCAGGTGGGCTATGTCACTGGGCCAGGCCTTGGTGGAGGCAGGACGATCTGGGACACTCACAGTTCCTCCTCTAGGCTCTGGTTACAGAGCAGAAGGCTGCAGCCAAGGTGGTTCCTGGCTGTCACCATGTAGGAGGAACAGCAGGGTCTGAGGACATGAGAGGTTAGTATCCCTCTCCTGCTCTCGGATCAGCCCCATAACACCATGCTTTCTCCAAGTGCCAGGGAGCTTGGATGGCAGGGCTCTAGATCTTAGATGCCCAGCCAGGGGGTAACCCTGGGGTAGAAACTGTGGACCTTGCCCTTGGCCGGGTGTCAACAACGCTGTGGAAGCTCCTCCCCTGGTCCACGAGTTGTTTGCCTTCTCAAACCTTCAGCTGGGGCTGAGGACAGCGAGCTATTAGGACATGGCCACCACCCCGTAGCAAAGGTCTTCCTCCTTCCAGCCAGAGCCTCCTGTGCACAACCCCTCAGACCATGCCACTTGCCCCCAGGGGTGGGAAGGGCAGTTTGGGTTCCTCCGATCCCTGTGAGACTGATGGGCAGTGTGCTGGCACCTCCTACCCACTCCTTATCTTTGCCCAGGAGTCAGAGGGTCTGAACACCTGAGTCTTCTCCTGGTCACCTTCCATGAACAGGAACCCCTCTGGGTCACTCATCTAAAGGGACCAGTAGTGAGTGGACACTAGGGTGGCACTATCCATCCAGGTGACACTGCACGTGTGCCAAATCAGGAATCTGGAATCCAGGCTGGTAGGGCTGGGATGGAGTCAGAAGGGAGGGTGCTTCGTGAGCCCTAGGCACATGGTCAGGAGACGGAGATCAAGTCCTCAGGTACCCCCGATGCCTGCCTGAAGTAAGGGTCTCAAAGGGCCACAGGGCTAAGAGGCTTGATGTCCTTGCTAGCGAAAGGAGGCCTAAGGGCCATGGGGCAGGTGCTCAGAGTGGCTGTGGTGAGGGGTGAGGTGACCCACGGGCCTGGATCTCTGATTACCCTAACTCAGGGGTTTTTGCCTTCTCCAAAGCCAGGAGCTGGAGTCCCCTGCCCAGGATGTTGGCTGACTGAGTAGATATTCCAGCCCCAGACATGCCCCTCATTCGGTCCCAGGAAAGGCAGGACACCTGAACAGCCTGGTGTCCTGGACTGAGCAGGCCAGGAGCTTCTCTCCTCACCTTCATCACTCCCACCACAGAAGGAGAGAGAGAAGAGACAGGGGCCTGGTAAGCAGGGGGGTGAGCAGAAGGGAGGCACTCCCAGGATAAAGATGTTGGCGGAAATCCTAGGCAAATAAGGGGGCACTTATTCAGGGGCACAATACACTCCTTCCTGCCTCTCTCCACTCCCCTCCCCCCGTGGCTGTAGCTCTCAAGCCCCAAGGCCGTTCTCAGATGTCAGACAGAGGGAGCACAGGAAAGGATGGCGGTGCTGGGGAGGCAGTGAGGAGAGGGAGAAACAGACAAAGGGGAGTGTGGGAGAGAGGCACTGACAGGCAGGAGACAGACCTCTTACATACACACGCAATGGAAGTTTTGAGGACACCCCATCCTGTCCCTTTGCTCTCTGTGGGTCTGGTCCCCACACCTCCCCACTTGTGAGCAACAACAGGAGACTTTCTGCTCGGTCATTTCCGGAGAGGAAGGGGGGGCACATCCTGAGGGAGCAGAGGGCCACTCCGGTTCCCACCCTCTCAGGTTGTGTCAGGCCGGTCCTCATGCAGAATTCAACAGGGGGGCGGGGTGTGGGCAGAGGTGCAGGGGGACAGAGGAGAAGGATGAATGATGCATGGAAGACCAGGGTGTCAGCGGGGAAGAAATTCTGAGACTATGAAGAAGGATTTGCAAGAAAATGAGACAGGGGCCTGTTCCTCTCTGGGAGTCAGAGGAAGGAAGGAGTGTGGACAAAAGGACAGTGTTGACAGCTGGGTCAGGCAAGAAGAAGTGGAAACGGAGGAGAGGGGTCCAGCCAGCATCCAGCTCTCCAAATGGCAGTTGGAGTGGAAATCAACTGTTGCCAAAACAGGAAGAATGAGGGTGACTGTAGACCAAGGTGGGTAGGAGGTGCAGGTGGAAGGAGGCAGGACGGCCTCTTTTAGAAGCAGAATTTCCTAAGGGAGAGACCTCCACACAGGAGGCCAAGGGCTGGAATAAGGGATGGATGCCAAGAGCTTTGTAAGCGATAGAGCTCCATACAAATTATGGTCCTCATTATCCAATTGTGACATCATTTAAAAAGATGCTGTAGAAGTACATTTAGTGCTGTGGAAAGATGGCCACAACCAAGTGCAGAGCAAAAAGAGCAGGTTACAAATAATATAAATGCCGTTTTTGCACTTACATGTACAAACTCAGAAAAATATCTGGAAGTGTAAATATACATCTGGGAGATGGAATTATGGATGATTTATATCCAGTTTTTGCTTGATTGTGTTTTCTCTGTATGTCTTTTAAAGAACATACATTATTTATATAGTGAAAAACAAACAGTTTGCTTTTAAAAGGAGACTTCTTGCCCAGATGGTCAAGGTCCTGGGCTCAGGATGGCTGAGGTCGGAGCCTGCCAGGGCCCTGGCTCTGCCTTCTCTCTACCTGGTTGGGTACTGCAGGGTCTGACCCATAAACATCCTCCAAGAAAATTTTTTCCTCCATGTCTGGGCTGGGCCAAAGTCAGTTTTTGTGAATTTAGGATTGACAGCATGTTTTTGTAACCTCAGGATGTTTTGCAGCTGGGAAGAAACAAAACAGGCGAGAGGCAGAGAAAAGCAGACTCTTCTCAGAGATTCTCTGGGTCGACGGCTCTCTGCTTGCAGTTTCTTTGGGGCCACAACAAATGAGGGCCCCTTCCCCTCCCAATCCTGCAGGACCAGCCCCCACCTACAGCGGTCCCACACCCCTCACTCCTCAGACATGCCACATCCGTCATCCAAACGTTTCTTCCTTTTCCTTCCCTTCCCCTGCCCTCTGCCCAACCTCTCCTCCCAGTGTGATTGTGGCCCTTACACTCCTGGAGTCCTCCCCCAACATTCTTCCCCACTGGGCTCCCACCCTCCTCTCTTTCCCAGCCTGGAAATACCCTCCCCGCTCCTGTGAGCCCCTCTTCCAGAGCTGCTCTTCCCCACCTACTCAGAATAGCATCTAATATCAGTAATTCCTTGTGCGGGCAAAGAGCTTTCTATGTCCAAAGCGTGTGTGCGTGTGTGTGTGTGTATTATATATATATATATATATTTAATCCACTTTAGAGAGGATGGCATCAATGATCTGAGAGGCAAAATGGTTTGTGTAAGGTCACATAGCCACTTGCTGGAGGTCCAGCCCCTTCCACCACCCGACCCTGCCTCAAGGACTGAGAGCAAGCTGAACTGTCCTCTCTTACCCTTCAGGCCCTTCTTCATCTCTATTGCATCCCTCTGGATGTAAGCCTTCCACTTCTAGGTGCAACCTGCCTTTCCAGCATCATGATCCGCCCCAGCCCAATACAAACCCCATGTTTCAGTCAGTCTAGAGTCTCCCCTATCTGCCAGCTTGCACTGTGCTGCCCATCACCTGGCCTGTGCTCTGTGGGGACCTGCCATCTATCCCCATCCCCTGCCCCATCTTTGGTCTCTGAGGCTCCCCAATCAGGCCCTTTCTGATCTCTGCACCATCCACAGCCACCTAGTACCTGCTGCCATTACAGCCATGATGTTGGTGTCAAGAGTTCCCTTAGGAAAACAGGAACCACACTAGGTATTTCCACAGGGAGTATTGGATATAAGGAATTGGCTTTACTGGTGTGGGCGGGATGGAAGCAAGAAGGGAACACTAAGTAAGCCAGAGAGAACTGCAGGAAGAAGCTCCCAGCCACAGGCTGGGAGAACAAGCAGGTGAGTTGTCAGAGTCTGGACTCTCAGGGAGGGCTCCCCACGGAGGTGGGATCCAGATCTTGGGGGAGGTAGTGCTGCCCAGGGTGCTAGATAAACGTTGAAAGGAAGCAGACAGGAAGAAGCCAGTCCTCCGCTGTCTGCCAGTAGCCGACCTCCCTATCCACAGAACCTAACAGAGAGCCCACTGGCAAAGGAGTCTGCCAAATGTGCTTTGCAGAGTTTCAGCCCCAGCCTTACAGAGCAGAGTATAGAAGGGAGGGATCTAGGCTGGCCCCGTGGCCGAGTGGTTGGGTTCGCACGCTCCACTGCGGGCAGCCCAGTGTTTCGTTGGTTCGAATCCTGGGCGCGGACATGGCACTGCTCATCAAACCACGCTGAGGCAGCGTCCCACATGCCACAACTAGAAGGACCCACAACGAAGAATATACAACTATGTACTGGAGGGGGGGTGGTTTGGGGAGAAAAAGGAAAAAAAAATAAATTAAACATATTAAATTAAATTATTAAAAAAAAAAGACGGGAGGGATCCGAGCTGAGAGACGATCAGTAAGTGACCGGCACACATGGTGGGTATTATTTATTATAACTTTATAGCTGAAATGTGTTGAGCACCTCCCACATGTCTACACTTGTCATCACTCTAACACACATACAATCTGGAGGGCTTCATACTATCGCCAACATTTTACAGGTGAGGAAACTGAGCCTTAAGGAAGTGAAATAACTTGCCCAAAGTCCTATGACTAATAAAAGGCAGAGTTGAGGTTCAGCCATATCCTGTTGTAGGTGCCGCACACTGGGCGAAGAGGGCTCTGGAGAGGGATGGGCATCAGTCCTATGGGCAGGGATGGCGGCTTGTGCAATTGTCTGGCCCCAGCACCAAACTGCCTTTAGCACGTACCGATGTGCTGAACATCTGCGTACCATAGGTCCTGCAGTAGGTGAAGGAGTCACGAAGACAGGCAGAAGTCAGGCTCTGCCCTGGAGGAGCACACTGTCGACTGGGCGAGAGGCTTGTAGACAGATCCTTGCGGTTCGGCACCGCACAAGAACCAGTGCTACAAGACACCATCGATGAAACTCGGATCTCATCACTTCCCTGCTGGAAGCCTCTCAATGGCTCCCCAGTGCCAACCAGCTAAAAACAAAGCTCCCAGGCAGGCTGACCTCTTGGCTTCGTCTCTCGAGCTCTCTGCCCCTTCACAGCCTTGCCATCCCCAGAGGGCACTGCAGCTCTGTCTCCACGCCTTCCTCACTCCACTCCTTCAACCCAGAACATCCTCCACTCTCCTCCACCCCTCCCTGCCCATTTCTCCTGAGGATCATCTGCTCACCCTTTAAGCCAGCTCTCTCTACTACCACCTCCTTTCTGAAGCTTTTCTTGACCACTCTCCCCCATGCAACCTTATCCCAGGCGGAAGGGACCACTCCTTCGTACACCCCTCTGGACCCCATGATTCCAGTTTAGCTCCTGTCATTCTGAATTACCCGGGTTTGTTGACCTATGTATCTCCCCTGTCCTTATGTCTTATTTATCTTTTTAGCCCTTGAAACTATCACACACTCCAGCACATAATAGGTTTTCAATAGGTGCTCAACGAACTAATGATAACAAACCAGCAGGGGCAGAGGGAAAAAATGCTGCCTCTGGAGCCAGACCTGAACTGAATCTTTGTTAAACATACTTCGCAGTTTGCTTGAGTGAGTTATTGGTAATTAACTTCTCCTAGCCTCAGTTTAACTCAACTGTCAAATGGAAAGTCCACTGCGCCCCTCGCAGCACGATGCCTGACCCAAGGCATCTACAGGGCTTCCTGCCTTCTCTTTCAGGTGGTCGTGGGTGATGTTCAGACCACATGGGAGGACTGTGGCCTCCGGGGCTGCACCAGGGAGTCTGCAGGGCTGGCTGCCGTGACATGACTCCTTCTCGGCCACAAAGTCTACACTCTAGACCTTGCTGGAGGAGAGAAAGTGGGAACCTTAAATCTCCCCACCTGCTCTAGACCTCTAGTTCCAGCCCCCAGGATCTACGAGGTCCTGAACCCCCTTGAACTCTTCTTGTCCTGACCCCCAAATCCCCTGGTGCCTCTGACGCCCTCAGCTTCGAAGGTCCCTCAGAACATCTGGAGCTTCCTCAGGTTCTCTGGGGTCCCTTGAGTCCTCCAGGATCCTCCACAATTCTTCGCTGGTCTCCCTTCCCGATCACATCCGAGCAGTCCTGGAACCTGACTCTCGGATCCCCGGTGACCCTCTCCATGGTCTCTCCAGACTCCCAGGATCCCGTGTTCTCCTCGCCATCCCTCTCTGCCCGCTCCAGGTGCTGGCAGCTCTAACCCCGGCACCATCTGGACACACGGCTGCGACACAGGGGCTCCAGCTGCTGCAGGATTCCTCCTGTGGCTGCCCCAGACAGCTCTCTCCTTTGCCACGTTGCAATTCACTTTAACAGCAAATTCAGCCTGAGGAACTTCTGGCAGCACATACACTCCCCAAGGACCCACAGCAGGAGAAAGAAGAAGGAGAAAGTGGGGATGGCAACCTGATCTGACCCAGCACGCTCTTCACGTGGCCCCAAGCCTGCCCAGACTTCCCCGCGCCTGGGACGCCCTTTCCACCCACGACTTCTTATCAAGGCCCAGCCCAGATGCCCCCAAACTGTGCTCTCCTCTGTGCCTCCTCCTCTCTGTCACCTCAGCCAGAGGGGAGCTCTCTCCCCAAGGCCCTGGAGGATGTACGTCACTCTGGGTACCACCGCCTTGAATTGCAGAGACTCCTCCAGGGTCCTACCTGCCTTAGGACACCAGCTTCTTAGCTTCTTGAGGGGAGAGGACAGGCTTTGACGTTGGGTGTATGGACTGAATTGTATCCCCTCAAAATTCATACACTGAAAACCTAACCTCCAATGTGACTATATTTGGAGATAGGGCCTTGAAAGAAGTAATTAAAGTTAAATGAGGTCATACAGGTGAGGCCCTAATCGATAGGACTGGTGTCCCTATAAGAAGAGGGACCACCAGAGATTTCCCCCTTCCCCACATGAGCACAGAGGAAAGGCCATGTGAGGACACAGCGAGAAGGCTGCCATCTGCCATTCAGGAAGAGAAGCCTCACCAGAAACCAACTCTGCTGGCACCTTTATCTTGGAATTCCAGCTTCCAGAACTGTGAGAAAATACATTTCTGTTGTTTACGCCACCCAGTCAGTCTGTGGTATTTTGTTACGGCAGCTCAACAGACCAATACATTTGGGAACTCAGAGAGAGAGTTCTGGGAGGGGAACACCAACACACAGGCCATTTCTCACATATTTTATTTTTATTTTTATTTTTATTTTTATTTTTATTGCTAGGGAAGATTTGCCCTGAGCTAACATCTGTTGCCAATCTTCTTCTACTCTCTATGTGAGCCGCCATCACAGCATGGCCACTGATAGCCAAGTGGTGTAGGTCCACACCTGGAACTGAACCCAGGCCACCAAAGCAAAGTGCACTGAACTTAACCACTTGGCCACTGGGGCTGGCCCCCACACACACATTCTTGAGCCCCTTCTGTTAGCCCAGCAGCAAGCAGGGCTGAGCGGGGACCAGACCCCAGCCTCCACAAGCCAAGCAAGAGGGAAGAGCTGAGGTCTGACCCGCTGCTGCTGCCCCAGCCATGAGGAGACACGGGGCCAGGCGCTGGCTGGAAAAAAGGGAACAAATACCTAAGCTCCTGCCACATCTCAGAAAGCCCCCTGCTGGGCTCAGCACCGTTTGCTGACGGAATCCCTCAACTGCCCTTCCAAAGAGGGATTCTTCCCCCATATTCCAGACAAAGCAACTTGGAGAGATCCAGGAACTTGCCCCAGTTGACCTAAGCCGAAGGGTGGAGGGGGATGAAGATACAAACCAGGGCAAGGGACAGTCACAGCCTCCAAGAGGCTCAGGCTCTTCCAAGAGACATCTCTCCGATGGAACGGCAGGAGATTCCTGGCAGTCCCGTAACCTGGTCTGCGTCTGCACAGAGCGGTTGTGCAAGGAGTCAGCTGTACGTGGGTCTGAGAGGACCCTCCGCCTGCCAGGGCTGCTGGCGTGGGCCCAGGCTCCACACAAGAAGAGTGAGTGATCCCATTGTAAAGGTGAAGAATGCTTTCGTTGGGATTGTCCTAGAGTGTGTCAAAGTGGTAGGCATGGTCTCCAGAAGTGGGCTGGGCACCACGGAACCCCAGCCCCGCAGGGCAGAGCCCTGGCGTTTGACGGGCTTGCACGGAGACCACACCTCCACCACCTGGTGACCAATTAAATGGCAGGTTGTGGAGAAGATGGCAATCAGGTGTTTGAGTGCTGACACTCAGACCTGCTGCCCTCCTGTGTGACTCTCTTCAAATAGAAATGGAGATGACTGATGAGAGGGGGGCGGGGGGTGGACACTCAACACCAAGCAGTGCTAATCCTCCTGTGTCCTCACACCCAGGCAAGGGGTTTGGAGAGGGAGAGTCCATCCCCAGGGTCCTCACTGTCCAAAAGGCAGAATCCCAAGGTGGGGTGACCAGGATTCTGGAATTCTCTGCAGAATCTGGGCTGGGTGGGCAGACATCTGAGCTGGAGACACCTGTGCAGCCCCCCAACACACATCCCTCCTTTCTGCCTGTTTTCTTTGTTTCCATCTTCCCCAATACCTTTCAGGCCCCTTCTGCCCGCCCCCCACCTCCTCAGAGCTTGTGTGGCTGGTGTGGGAAAAGCGGGGCACACGCAGGCGCCTACCAGGGGGCCACGCTGGCCCCTGGGCTGCTGGCAGGCTGAGGCGGCCTGACCCTGTGACTGAGCCTCAGTGCTCCAGGCCACTGCCCTCCAGCTCCCTCTGTTCCAAGACTTTCCCCAACCTTGAAAGGCTGGCTCCTTCTCACCCGGTCAGTGGGTTTATGTTTCTGTCACCTCCTCAGAAGAGGCCTTCAAAAGCAGCATCTGCTCTGCATTATCGTCTTCATAACTCATATCACGATCTGAAGTCATCTTTCTTATTCGTTCACAAGTTTCTCTTTCTCTCCCCCACCAGAATGAAGGCTCCAGACAGCAAAGGCCGTGCGCATCTCTGCGGCTGCATCCTCAGACCCTAGGCTGCCTGACTCATCAAGGGAGGGCTCGACTCTGTTGAATGGGCCGTCCGGATGGACCTCCAGTTCTGATTAATACTCTATTGCTATGAAACATAAAGTGATGATGCCCGAGTGTAGCAGCCTTTTCCGGTTGATGAAACATTGCATGAGTCACATTTTCTACATACAATGGCTTGGGCTGGGTTATCCCCACTTTTACATATGCGGAAACTGAGGCTCAGAGGACCTATGGGATTTGCCCCAGGTCACAGCGCCAGTAAGCAGTGGAGCAGGGGCTCAAACAGACCCCAACTTCTATTCCCTTTCCACAGTCAATTCCCTCCTTTTCCTCTGACACTCTCATCCACGCAGATGCCCACAGCAGGCGCAGGTGTGCACGAGGATGAAAAACATCCACCACGAGACCGAGGCCAGCCTGCGACTGTGCGTGAGGAGACGCATGCGGCACTGCACGAGAGTGGCCTGTGAAGGGGACAATTGTATAAGTGTGGGGAGTCGGGGAGACGTCAACATGGAGCCACCTCTGCCTGGCAAGGCTGTTTTTTATTCTCTGAAAGCTTTCTTTTCTCCTTAAAAATTTTCTCAACATGTCAATACATAGTTATCGGGCATCTCCCACATGCCAGCATTTTGCCAGGCACTGGGAATTCAACATAAATAAGAGAAAGTTTCCACCTCAGAGTGGAAAAGAATGAAGAAGAGAAACAAAAACCTATTTCTTCTGCCATTAATTCATTCGCTCAGGTAAGTCAGTCACTCTTTGAGCCCGCTATAATACATTAAAAACCAAGCACTTGATCTAATTTATCAATATCAATACTAGTATTACATTCGCAAAAGGCCTTATAATTTTCAAAAAATTGAATGTATTATTATATGGCATATTATTTTATAGAGGAGTTTTTTCATACCTTCAGAAAAACAGAAACAATTTTCCTAGGGCTGGCTCATTATAAATTCATGTGCCAATTCTATAATAAAGCTGGGATTTAGAAAGCCAGCCAGACGCATGCAGACCCGTGGGAAAAAGAGGCTGTTGAGGTCAAGGCCAAGGCTGACCATTTCAGCTCACGGTGGCTCAGTTTCAGGCCACGCCTTTCGTTATCTACTGGTTTCCAATGAGAAGTAAGAGGCACTAAAAGGTTAATATGCTGTGGGTATTTCTTCTCACCCAGACGTCAACTCCAGAAGAACAGGTGGCTGACTTTGTGTTTACTTTTGCATGCCTCGCCCCCAGCGTGTTTGGTATACTGCAGGCAGAGAAGACGTGTTGACTAAATAGATACAAGGAGAGTAACTATAAAGTGACGCTTTTGTTTCTGCAAATGCCTGAAGCTGTTAGGATAAAAGGCATCATGTGGAATCTGAAACATCACTGCCTCTTTCAGGAGCATGTGGGTATGTGTCACGATCATTCATGATGTCAGCAAAGCACGTTCGGCTGGACAAAAAACTATGTGCAAAGATACCATGGTTCTGCAAACAAGTCCATGTTTTGGGTTGAAATTGCTACAAAGCACAGGTTATTCAAAGGGTAGAGTTCGAGTTGGTGGGTACAAAACCTTCCTGGATTCTGGTTTCTTAAAGCTTGAATGGCCTGGTCTTCTCAGGGGAACTCCATACAGGGCTGTTTTGTCCTGGCAATAGTTAAAGGCTTTGAAAGCTGCTCCTTTTCTGCTCCCCTCCTGTATCTTTCACATGAAATCATTCCGTGGGAAAGCAGTTAAGTAGTGCCCACCCATCCGTGTGGGCCTGTGTCCCTAACTCCTTGGCGTCTGTGTTGGCTAGCAGTTGAGATCCCAAGATCTGAAGCCAGACCTCCTCGTTCTGACTGGGTGACCTTGGGCAATTCGCTGACCCTCCCTAAGTCTCAGATGCGCTGTCTGTAAACTGGGGGTGATAATCAGAACATCTACTTTTATTGTGAGCCTGTTACAAGGGTATGCGAGTTCATACCTGTACAGCACTTAGCACAGGGCTTGCTTGTGGCAAACACTTGGTTCATGACAGCTGTAATCTCCTCACCCCCAGGGCCGCGAAGTCCCAGGTTGGAAGCCCCAGGTTCAGACCAACGTGCTCATTGTGTGACTGAAGCTAAGTCTCTTGACCTTGGTCTCAGTTTTCTCACCTGTAAAATGGTACCAGGTAATCCTCAAATAAGGCCAGGCCAGTCGTTGGCAGTTATTTATCAAATAGTAATTGATTATACGAAGTAATGGTGGGCTATTGGTAAAGCCTGGACACAGAGGGCAGAATGGTAAAAATAAAAACTCATCAGTTTTGTTCTCTGAAAGCAGTTAGTTGGAATGAAAAAGAGAAGACAGATATTGGTATGGCCCACAGCGTGTAATATCCTTGCTCTGTCGGACACAGAACTCCTCAGGTTCCCTTGGTCACCATCTTTTTCCAAAGCCCTGCTCTGGGGCTTGTCATGAGGGACAAGATGCTGCACTTTGCACTTCCTGGCACAAAGGAAGAGGTAGCGTGTTTATCTGGCCTCTTTGGATTTGGGAGACAAGGTGGGCTGCTCTTGGGAACATCACTTCAATCTACTTACGGGGTGACCCAGAAGACCGCCAGCTTCAAGTAAGTCCCAGAGCGAGAAAGGCCCCTGCAGCAGGTCCAAGATATGGACAAGCTGCTCTGCCTCCTGGGCCTGTGATCCAGCGTGTCCAGTGGTGGATATGGATGCTGTGTGGAGTCTCGGGCAAGCTCCAATGGAGAAGTGTACCACATACCTTGCGGTTCTGGAACAAGGTCATACCCTCTCTGGCAAAGAATCACATCTGAAAAACAGCTACTGGAATGCTATAGAGACTGAGTGTCTGACCAATGGGCACCAAGCGACCATTCAACCGGAGCTGCCCACCAAAAGCTGAATCCATGTGTCCGATACACGAGTCCTAAAGTTGGACGGCAAAGCAGTAATCCACTGTGTGATGGGAGTGACACATTTGGATCAGGCTTGAGCTGGCCCAGAATGTGTAAGGAAATTGCATGAGCAGGCGGCCCAGACCCCAAATCACCTGCCTCTGTTGCAGTACTTCTTTTTCAACCCACATTTATGGCCTGGTGGGCGTTCCCTATAACCAACTGATGGATGTGCTAGAATTATGGTCCCACTCAGGTCATCTCTGAAGGACAGTGATAAAGGGAAATCCTCCCTAGCGTACATTTGGTCATCCACTTTGTGTATAGGGAGAGATAGTCCAGAGGAAGGATACACATGGATTACTAGTAAGTGGCAAATGGTTTTGTCAGTTGGTCAGAGTCCTGGAAAGAGCAAAATGAAAAGTTGAAGCAAAGGGGGTCTGGGAAAGAGATAAGCGTATGGCAAGGCCAGGACTGGGGTACATTTCCATGATCCTAAGAGTGAAGGCTTCCTTAAACTTCATGCCCTATCGTGCACTGCCTCACCTGAGACCCAGCCCTCATAGATGGACCTATGGAAACACACAGGAAGGGAGCAGATCTCTGAGACTCACGTTAATGTCCACCAAGGAGCATCTGTCACAGAGGAGGCACTGAACAATCATCGGGCAGGATAACTCATCCTGTGACTGTCAGCCAGCCCTTCTCTTCAGTCATCAGTCACCCTAGTGCTGGCACAGTGGGCCGACGAACATAGTGGACGTGGTGGCAAGAGGGAGGCTTAGCATGGGCTCAAGATCACGGGTGCCCTCTCACCAACTTTAGGAGCTACTGCTGAGTGCCCAGGCTGCTCGCGGCAGAAGTTGACTCTGAGCTGTGTATATGGTGCTACTCCCCAGTGGGGGGAGAAAACATCCAGCCACACGGTGGTAGGTTGATTATATCAGACCCCCGGTATTGAGGGGGCAGTGATTTGTCCTTACTAGAATCAATGCAAACTCCAGCACCACCTGTGTGCTTACAGAATGCCTGATGTCTCAATGTGGTATCCCACATCACAGTGCCTCAGACCAAAGAACCCATTTTACAGCAAAGAGGCACACCACAGGCTCATGACCACAGGATTTACTAGTCCGACCCCATCACCCAAAATTAGTCAACTTGATAGAATGATAGAATGACCTGTCAAAGGCTCAGGAAAGCACCATCTGGTAAACCATGTCGAGTTGGAGTTCTCTCCTCCAAGATGGAGTGTATCCCGTAAACCAATGCTCATGATACGGTACTGTGTCCCTGTCTTAGTCAGCTCAGGCTGTTATAACAAGAATACCATAGACTGGGTGACTTAAACAACATTTATTCCTCACAGTTCTTGAGGCTGGGAAGTCCAAGAGCAAGGCATTGGCAGATTCCATGTCTAGTGATGACAGTCTTCCTCGTTTGCAGATGGCCATCTTCTCATTATATCCTTACATAATGGAGAGGAGGGGAGCGAGCTCTCTTCCTCCCCTAATAAGGACACTAATCCCATCATGGGGGCTCTACCCTCATGACTTAATTATCTCTCAAAGGCCCCATCTTTTAATATCATTCTATTGGGAGTTAGGGTTTCAACATATGAATTTGGGGGGGACAAAAACATGCAGTCCCCTATAACCAGAATACACAGATGGGGGTACCAGGGGTTGGAACTGGAAATGGCTCCTCTCGCTATTACATCCAGTGACGTATTTCTGAATTTGTGATTCCCTTCACCATAATCTTGGGATCTTCCAGATTAGAGGTCCTAGTTAACAGAGGGAGACGATTTCTACCAAATGACATCGTAAGAATTCTACTAAACTGGAAGCTGCAACTACGACCCATCCACTTTGGGCTCCTCATGTAGTGGACCAACAGGCAAAGGAAGAAAGTTCTCATACTGGCTAGGATAATCGATCCTGGTTACCATGTGGAGACAGGATGGCTGCTGCACAATGTGGGCAGGGAGAATGTCTGGTACCCAGGGACTCTCTGGGGCATCTCTCAGTACTTTCATGCCTGGTGATGACTGTTAATGGGTAGCTACAACAGCCAACAAGAGCAGGGCAACTAGGGGTCTACACCTTTTGGGAATGAAGGTCTGGATCACCCTACCAGGAAAACAACCCAGACCAGATGAAATGCTAACTGAGGAGGGGGCATCTAGAATGAGTAGTAGAAGAAGGAGACGATGACTATCAATTAGAGCCACTGGACCAGTTACAACTATGAGGATTGTAGCTTGTTTTGCTAATCCTCTTGCCTCAGTCTTTGAGGAAAACACTCTTGACCTCCACCTTGAAGGGAGCCATGTAACTGATTGGACCTGTAGCTCCATTCTTGGAGAATAAGTAAGGATGTCTCTGTTTGTACAAAACTACTGTAAGCCCTATATTGTAGTATAAAGGCTGAAAATAATGAGAGGGCACAAGGGGTGGACTGTGTTGGACACAAACTGGTTCTCCTCCTGAGATTCTTTTCATTGACTCTTTACTTCCAAAGGGCTGCCTGCCTTCCAAACCACTGCCACCTTTATCAGAGCCCTTCCTTGTGGCCTGAGCTGATGGAGTCCAAGCTGAAGGCCTAGAAATACGTGGTCTTCACACCCGACATGTTGAGCCTATCTCTCTGAGTCACCACTCCAATTCCGATTAATATCAAATACCATACCATGGGCCATGGAATCTGGCTTCCTAAGTGGACACCAAGGTACAGGGGATGCAACCTCTGCCTATGGCATAACCTTGAGCAATGGGAAGTGGGAAGCAAGAGAGAGCCGGCAAGATAAATTCCTCCTCCTTTCTGCCCTCTGAGAATTCCTCCAAGGGGTGGTTTCACCTTGCACCCTGTCTGGAGAAAGTCCTCTTTGTCAAGTGAAAATGCCTGTCCGGCAACTGGCTGCTTCTCTTTGCAGTTCGTTTTGAAGTGGTAACCAATGCAGTAACATTGTTTTGCATCTTTTTTTGCTTCACTTCTCTTTTCCTCATCCTCCCCACCCTGAGCTCATACCTCCCAAAGAAGGTATCATACTTTGATTCTTGCCTTGGGCCCTGCTAAGACACTTGCCAATCTTGTCCTCAAGACTGGATACTTGAGCTGGGATGCTTCCCTACTCTAGTAGTCATGATTGGGACTCACCAATATAGCTGGCTCTCCTCCCCTTCTGGGCATATAAAAGAATACACATCTCTGACTCTTGAAATGAGGCATGACCGTGTGACCCGCTTTGGCCAATGATGTGTTAGCAGAAGGAGCGTGTTTCATTCCCAGAGACAAGAAGAGCATTTAGGAAGCAGTGTGCAGTTCGTGTTCCTCTTCCCCTGCCACAGCGACTGTGGAAAGGTGTGTAGATATAGCAGCACCACAATATTCAGGCAACCTCAAAGGCTGAGCCACCATCTGGGCAACAGCTTCCCTGAAGAAATGCCCAGATCTACAGTGTAATTCGCAGAGGTGAGAAACAAACTTCTGTTGTGTTAAGCTGCTGAGATTTTAGGGTTCATCGGTACCTCAGCATAACCTTGCCTATACTAACTGATGTTACACTTCCAAACCATATGAAGGAGGGGTGCTCAAGGAATCACTGTCATGGGAAGAGGGCTTGAAGAAGAGGACACGAGCATCTTGCTCCCTAGCTGATATCTGCTGAGCCTTCCATGCTTTCCGTGCAGAGCATGGTGAAGGAGATCATTCATCATCCATTCACTCAACGAATTACCATGGAGCACCTACAACATGCCAGGAACAGTTCCAGGGGCCGGAGAATCAGCAACGGACAAGACAACTGATACTACAGGTGCCCTGTAGAATTTGACTGGCTTTCGTGAACCAAGAACTTCTTACCTGGAGGTTTCTGAAGGTTGGAGAATTGCTAGAGCAGCCTGTGAGAACAAAAGAAGAGGAATATGGTGCAGTGGACCCAGAAAAATGAGGATGGGCAGCCCCGCCTCCCCACAGATCTTGGAATGCTTAGAAGGAGACCCAGCAGTTTCCATGGCTTCAGGAGAGGTCAAAAGCAAGAGCCACAGGACTGCCCTGCTGGCCAGGAGAAGCGATGTATCATTCAAAGAGGGATGGGATGGGGCTCTTGGCTGGGCTGAAGGGAAACCCAGTAGGCTGCCCCTGAGAGGATTCTGGGTGATGGACCCACACAGATCAAAGCTGAGCAGTGCCTCTGGAAAGCAGAGGCCACCACCAGCCACAGGCCAGACCGAGGTCAGGCCTCTTACACTCCAACAGGTGACTAGTGACATAAGACATAAGACATGAATCTTATGTGACAGACAGACTCTAAAGTAGTTCCCCATGATCCCTGCCACCTGATGTTCACGCCCTTGTGTAATCCCATGAGTGCGGGTAGGACCTGCGACTTGCCTCTAACCAATGGAATATGGCAAAGGTATAAGTAATTACGTGTATTCGATCACATTAGATTGTAGCGTTCATCTTGCTAGAGGCTCTTTCTCCATCTGACTTAAAAAAAAAACTAGGCAGCTACATCAGGAAGCCCAAATGGCAAGGAGCTGAGGACGGCCTCTAGGAGCTGAGGGCAGTCTCCAGCCAACAGCCAGGAAGAAGCCGGAGACCTCAGTCCTGCACCCACAAGGAAATGAATGCTGCCAACAACCTGAGTAGCTTGGGAGAGGATTCTTCCCCCGTCACACCTCCACATGAGAACGCAGCCTGGCAGTCACTTTGATTGCAGCCTTGTGAGACCCTGAGCAGAGGACCCAGCTAAGCTGTCCTCAGACTCCTGACCCACAAAAACTGTGAAATATTAAATGTGTGTTGTTTTAAACCGCTGAGCTTGCAGCAATTTGTTACATAGCAATAGATAACAAACAGATGCCCCTCTACCTCCTCTCCTCCCAGTTCTGCCCCAGCCTCAGAGGGTTGGGGAGGAGGAGAGCAGACCATGTCCCCTCCCCACTCCAACTCCCTCAGCCACTGGCCAGGGGAACAAGGTGGGAGAGGGGAGGAAGGAAAAGAAGTTCAAATCACAGATACGTGATTGGTTATTGGAGTTTTAAAATGGACTAAATTGAACTCTCAATGCTTAAAAGTGAGTGGAAATTATAGCATCTGCTCAAGATGTTACAGAGTAAGAAAGAGAGCAGAGCCTGGTTGAAAGTAGTGACTGCAGAAAAATAAAACCATGTCAGATTTGAGCCCTACTGAATTGAGACTACTCAATAAATTGGCTTTATCACTGATTTTCAGGAGGTTCAGCTCCTCCTCTAACTTACTGTGAATGCTGGGCAAGTGACTTTCCTCTGCAGGTCCCAAACTCTGAAGCGTTTGCGGAAGATCTTTAAGGCACCTCTGTCTCATTTCCAACCCCTGGGGGCTGGAACCAAGGGTAAGGCCACAGTTTATAAGGAAGGGAAGAGGGAGCAGGCAGCTCAGGGAGGGGCGTGGGTGTGACTGCGCCAGTGGTTCCCTGCCCAGAGCTGGTGGGGAAGTAGCTCTCCAGGCTGAGCATCTGGTGTCCAAACTCCTTCCTGGGCACAAGGCGGCATGTAACACAGCCCTGGTCCTCTCCAGTTGTGTAAACTACTGCTGGCAGCCACCAAGCAAGCTTCTGCTCTAGTCACACACTCCCCGGCAGCTAGCCCATGCACTATGCCATTTCCTTCTTGCATGCATTTGCACACACTGGTCCCTCAGCTAAAACACCTTTCCCCACCTTCTTCAGCCTTACTCATCCTCCTCAATTCAGCTCGGTCTCCTTTTCTGACACCCCAACCCCTATACACACATGCACACACGCTAGGCTAGATGAGGAGCATCTGAGGTGGGCTCCCACAGCAGCAGCCCACACCATGAACTCACCACAACCATTGACAAGTGTCTGTTGGCAAGTCATCTCCCCTACCTGACATCTTGTGGCAAGATCCTTTTTCTTTCTGGGTTCTCAGCCCCAAGTACCGGGCCTGGCACATAGCCACGGACTATTGGCCTAAACCACAGTAAAATTAGTAAAAGAAGATCTAGTTTCTAGTCCCAACTCCGCCACCAACTTCTCAGACACTGAAGGACCCTGGCCATGGCACTTAACTTCTCTGAGCTTCAGTTTACCCTTCTGGAAAATGGGGATAATATTCCCTGTCCCCTTCTCATTTGTGAGGAGCAAATGAGAGAGAAATGGGATTGGTCCCCTGGTGAGGCAGGAGGTGTAAGCACAGAGCAAGTTTAAGACGTCAGCACTAATGTTATTAACAACTACTAAGAGTGTTGCTATGAATAATGACCAGCTTAGTTGGAGGAAATTCCGCCTCCCTTCCTCCAGGATTGCCTGGTTTTGCCCTAACCCAGCTCCATCACCTGCTGGAGGACAAAGCCAGGACCCCTCCTCTCTATCCCCTTGTCTCACAGATTTCGTATGACCTCAAAAAGTCCTTCCAGAAGTCTAACCCACATCCTTCCTGTTGCAGCCCTGCCCCCTTCCCTCTTCGTGTGTCCTAAGAGTATAATCCTGAGTATGAACTTCAGAGGAACTCGAAGCCCAAGCACCCTATAGGGCTTATCGTTCTGAGGTTGACATCCCCTTTGCCACTGCTCAGAACAGAAGCCGAGAGAGAGAGACAGAGAGAGAGAGTGAGAGAGAGAGAGAGAATGAAAGGGAAGTCCCAGTTTGGAGTGAGGGAGTGGAGAAAGAACCAGGAGGGCTAGGGTCAGATAGCAGTAAGGACTTCCCAACACCCAAACACAGAGTGACACAAATACCACCACCACACCACCACCACCTTTGGCTGCCTGGCTTCCGGGGGAGGGACAATTGTCTTACGCTTTCCATGACGTGGGTCCTCCAGCAGAGTTTGGGCTGTGGGCGAGGTGACACTTCCTGCCCTGGGGGCTGGGGTGAGAGGAAAGATGGGTTGCTGAGTGTGCACACCTTTGAGAGCACACTCACACACACCCTGCTCCGGGGCTCCCTTCTTAGGTTGCCCCCATGGAGTTCCCCCTGACCCAGATATGCCCCCAAGGTAAGTGTGAAGTTGGAGAATGTGGGTGGGAGGGGACATCAAGACCCTCGTCTCCCCTGCTCTCTTCCGTGCCTGAGCCCCCACTTCAGGGGTGAGGGGCCACACCCCAAGCCAGAGCTGCCAGGGTGTCCACCACCCCTTCTCTTTCTCTGGGGATCCAGGTCCACTCAGGCCTCAGGACCAAGGTGACAGGGGCTGCTGAGCGCTTCTTAGAGGGGCGAGAGGAGGGAAAAGGAGGATGAAGCGGGGTGGGAGGTAGAGGATCCTGGGCCAGAAGAGGGGCCTGCCCTGAAGAGATTGCCTCCTCTCCTCGATCGTGGGACTTCCGGGCCACCAGGAGGCCAGCTGAATTCCCAGCTCTCCTTCCTGGTGCCCAGTTTCCCTGACAAGCCCCTCTGCCGCCCCAGCCCCTTTGGGCCTCCTAGCTCCTTACTCCTCTGCCCTGAGAAATGCCCCCTGCTGTCCCTCCTGCCTTTCTCCTGCTCTCATGACCGTCCGTGTCCTCCGGGTCCCTGGTCAGAGGCATGCAGGGCCCCTCTGGGCCCCGGGGCCGGGTGAGAGAGGCAGTCCCTCACTGAGAAACCCCAGCTGTCCTCTTTATGCTAACAGGGAGTCGTGAAACCCCTGCCCCAACCTTCAGCACCTTCCAGCCCTTGAACTTGACCAGCAGGAGCTGCCAGGGCCTGGGCTCACTTCCGGGGCCCAGATTCCAGGCCCCGAAGGCAGAGGAAGCCCAGCCCAGCCCCAGGGCCCCGGCTGTCCATGCTGTGGTGAGTGGGAACCTGGGGGGTACAACTCCCTCGTCTGCTCCCACCCTCCCAGGGATGAGGACTTGCAGAAGGACAGAGGCCAACAGGGAGAAAGCAAGAATGATCCGGGGCTGCCAACAGGGCTAAGGGCACAAAGGGAGGGAAAGGAGAGGAGGGTACCTCCTTCATTTGCTGAATTGCCAACTCACTCTGTCCCCGGAAGTTCTGGCTGAGTCCACAGGTGACCAGGGTACAGCGTATTGGGCCCCAGAAGCAGGCGTGTGCATCTCTGTCATTTGCCCAGTGCATCCACATCTCAGGCCTTCTCACCCACCCAGTCATCAGGAAATCCCCTCTCCGAACCAGCTCAGTCTCTCCTACTGTAGGATGAGCACTCCCTCCTTCTGGCCCCCGTGGTGACCTCCTACATCATCTCCCTTCATCCCTCAGGTCAGGAACGGACTTTCTGCCCATCTGGAAGGCCCTACCCCCATTTAAGCACAGTTTAACGGCTCACTGCTACCAGATTAAAGGCCCTCAGGACCCAGAAGGAAGTGGAAGGAAATTCCCTGGAAACCAAAACAGCGGGAGCTGAAGAAGGGCTTTAAGTTAGATCTTGGGAAGGACTTTCTGGACAATTATACCCTAAAATAGGCAACTGGGATGGGGGTGGGGAGCTTCCTCTCTGCACCCAGGAGGGGCTGGGTATGAGGATGAGAAGGCTCACTAATTGAACTCTAAGGTCCTCCTCCTTGAACTCTTCCCCTACCCAGGCCCTGGGGGCTTTCTCAAACCCAGAGAATGCTGGGAAGGCTGAGGAGGTGCCGAGGGAAGGAGGCCAGTCCCTGCAGGCCGAGATCCTGGCTTGGTTCCAGAAGACCCAGGCCCACTGGCTCCTGCAGCACGGGGCGGCCCCTGCCTGGTTCCACGGCTTCATCACCCGGAGGTGAGTCACAGAGGAGGAAACAGGCCCAAGGGGGGCAAGGGCAAGCCCTGGGTCCTGCGGCCAGTCAGGAGAAGATTGAGGCTACAAGTCCAGTCTGTGAGTCCTGCAGGTTCCCAGCCATTCACTAAGGCATCTCCCCTGGGGGAGATCATTGGAAAGGCTCTGGGCCAACCCTTCTGTGCCTCAGTATCCCTTCTCTAAGACTCAATTACCCTCCTGTCTCTAAGGCCTCTAGTCCCCATAGTTTTCCCGTCTGTCTCTCGGTCTCTCTCCCTCCATCTGAACCTCGGGCTCTCTCCAGCCCTCCCCTCTTTCTTCCCTCCCTTGCAGCTCCTCCCTCCTCCTCCTCTTCTCAGCTTTGCTTCTCCTGTATCTCTCTGTTCGCCTCCTCTGTTCAGCTTGTGACTTCTGAAATCTAAAAGTCTATTACCGTCCCTGTTGCCACAGCCGAAGCGCGCACACACACGCCCTGCAGGCTGCCCTTCCAGGATGAGGCCAGGAGGAGGATGCAGGGCTGGGAGACATCCTGGGTGGGAACCCTGGCCCCTGTCCATGCCCCGTCCCTGCAGTGGGAGAGCAGTGTCCACATCCTCTCTCTCTCATCTCCCCTCTTCTCTAGCCACTTCAGCCAGCTTGGTTGGGGGTGGGGGTCCCCTAGAAAGCCAAGCAGACAGGGGGCAAGATTGGAAGAGTCAGAGCAGCGTTCTGTCTCTTTTCCATCACCCACAGGGAGGCAGAGAAGCTGCTGGAGACCAAGCCTGAGGGATGCTACTTGGTGCGGTTCAGCGAGAGTGCTGTGACCTTTGTACTGACTTACAGGTGAGAGGCGGGGCTTCGGGCTAATCCGAGGGACTGGACTTGGTGCCGACTGACTGACTGACTCGTGAGGGGCAGAACTTCATGCTGACCCCCCTCAGGAGCGGGGCTCTGCTCAGCCCCAGGGCTACTGAGGGTGGGAGACCCTGACGCTGGGCAGGTGGAGGTCACGCCTCATGCTGGTGGCTGGGGCGGCGAAGAGGGAGTCTGGCTGATCCCAACTGGCGCCCTCCAGGAGCCGGACTTGCTGCCGCCACTTCCTGCTGGCCCAGCTCGGGGATGGGCGCCACGTGGTGCTGGGCGAGGACAGCGCCCACGCTCGGCTGCAGGACCTGCTGTGGCACTACATGGCCTACCCGCTCAGCCCCTACGGGGAGACGCTCACCGAACCCCTCGCCCGCCAGGTATGTCCCCTCAGCCCTGACCCTCACCCTGACCCCAGGGACCCAGGCCAGCGCCCCTCCCCACGCAGAGCCCAGGCTGCAGGACCACAGCACCAGACGCTTTCTCATCCCAATAGGTGACCCAGCCCTGCCTCCCTTGCCCACACATCTCTGTGTAAAGCCCTTCGAGAATGATGCGTGCTGGGGGAGAGGTCCTCTAGAGACCAGCCCAGCGACACAGAGCTGCAAGGGGCTGGGAGTGGCCAGCTAGGCACATGGGCCATTTGTTTTTCAATCTGAGATATTTTCTGGGTACCTAGCATGTACCAGGTACTGGCAGTCCCTGGAAATAGAGCCATGGACAAGACAGACGGGTCCCAAATTCACAAAGCTTACTTACCAGCAGCAAAGTCAAACAAATAAGAATCAAGTGTGAAGAGCGTGAAATGAGAGGGAATACAGAGTGGGTGCCATGTAGCTCACTTGGCAGGGAGCTGTATCAGGGAGCGCCTGCCGGAGGAAGCTCTGGCAGAGCTCAGGGGCCGCCATGTGCCAGGCATTGGTCTGCACATTGGGAAAATAGCAGTAAACAAAACCGACCAAACTTATCCCTGCCTTCACGGAGCTTACATTCTAGTGAGAGAAGACAGAGACAAAATGTAATACAGATAAGACACAGATAAGGCATCCTCTGTCCAGTGATGAGAAGCAAGTGCCAAGAAGAAAAACCAAGCAGTGACAGGGTTGGGGCTGTTTTACACAGGGACGTCAGGGAAGGCTACTCTGGTAAGGGGACATTCGAAGGGAGGCCTGAATGAAGTAAGGGAAGGAGCCATGCAGCTGACTAAAGGCAAAGCATCCTAGACAGAAGGAACAGCCAGTGCAAAGGCCCAGAGGTGGGAGGATGCTTGATGTGTTTGAAGAAGACAGAGCAGTGAGGAAGCTAGCATGAGTGGAGAGGCAGGAGGTGAGGGCAGAGAGGTGAAGGAAGGGGGCCCTGTAGACTCTTTTTCTTTTTTTAATTTTTTAAATTTTTTACTTTTTGGAGGAAGATTAGCCCTGAGTTAACATCCACTGCCAATCCTCCTCTTTTTGCTGAGGAAGACTGGCCCTGAGCTAACATCCGTGCCCATCTTCCTCTACTTTATATGTGGGCTGCCTACCACAGTGTGGCTTGACAAGTAGTACATAGGTGGGCACCTGGGATGCGAACCCTGGGCCACCGAAGTGGAACATATGAACTTAACCACTACACCACTGGGCCGGCCCCCTGGTAGACTCTTGTATAGATTTGGGATTTTATTGTGAGTGGCATGAGATGGCACTAGACAGTTACAAGCTGAGGAGTGACATGACCTGGCAAGTTTGGGGGAGAGGGGAGCAAGCGTGGCCAAATGGAGGCCACTCGAATACTTCAGGTAGGATGATGGCAGCCTGGACCAGGGTGGTAGAGGCGGTGGAGGGGTCGGGAGGTGGAATGCGGGGACTGTTTTGAATGTGGAGCTCACAGGGTTTTTGCACGATTGGATGAGGAGAGTGAAAAGGTGGAGTTGTCGTTGACTGAGATGAGGAAGGCTCTAGGGGGAGCCAGTCTGGGGGGTGGGAGGGCGGGGGGATCAGGACGTCAGGTTCCACAGGCACAGTTTGAGATATCCATTCAGTATCCCAATGGGGATGTTAGGTGGGCAGTTGGAATATGTAAGTCTGGAGTGTGGGACAGGTCTGGGGTGGAGATGAATATTTGGGAGTCATCAGCATGTCATTGATGGATTGATTGCAAAGCCTCCAGGAGGGGTGAAATCTCCCTCAGGAGTAAGTGTAGGGGGCCCACCCCGTGGCTGAGTGATTAAGTTTGCACACTCTGCTTCGGTGGCCTAGGGTTTTGCCAGTTCGCATACTGGGTGTGGACATGGCACCGCTCATCAAGCCACGCTGAGGCAGCATCCCGCATGCCACAACTAGAAGGACCCATAACTAAAAATACACAACTATGTACCAGGGGGCTTTGGGGAGAAAAAGGAAAAATAAAATTTTTTAAAAATCTAAAAAAAAAGATTGAGTGTAGATGGAAAAGAAAGGAATACCATGTCTCCAGCAGTTAGAGTTTGCAGAAATGAGGGGGAACCTACAAAGAAAATTGAGAAGGAGCAGCCAGAGAGAGAGGAGAAAAACCAGAAGAGTGTGATGATCTGGAAACCAAGCAAAGAAAATGCATCCAGGAAGACTGAGTGCCAATGGGTCCAGAATTGACCATGGGATTAGCGAAGAGGAGGTCACTGGTGACCTGGGCAAGAACAGTTTCTTGGAGTTTGGAGTCAATTCAAAGAAGTGTGCCCTGTGGAACTATGCTTATGGGCAACTCTTGGATGGAATTTTGTGAGAAATAGGCAGAGACTTGAAAATGCTCCAGCAGTGGGAACAGGGTGTAGGGAAGTCTGGAGGTGAGAGGAGCCAGCTGGAGCTGAGAGCTGTGACCGGGTCTAGAAGGGGTCTTATCATTCAAGTTCTCTGGAGTTTGGACTTTATCCTGGAGCAACAGGCAGCCGCTGAAGCATTGCTGGGGGAATTTCTGCAGGCTCACTCTGCCCCCTGGAATGGAGAATGGGTTAGCAGGGCAAGAGGATGCAGGGGGAGGAGTTAGACGGCTTGCACTGGGGTGGTGGCTGTGGGCACGGAGAGAAGTGTGTAGATATAAAGATAGGCAGTGCAAGGAGCAGACCTTGTGTTCCATTAGATGTGGGGCAGAAGGGAGGGAGGGAGGTGTCAAAGATGACTCCTAAGGTCAGGAGGGTGGAGGTGCTGACGTTTATTCATAAAGGGAATGCTGAAAGAGCAGGGGGTTGGAGCAGGGAAATAAAATTCTGATTTGGACCCCTGAAGCCTGCAGTGCCTGGAGACCTCCAGATGGAGACTGCACTTGGCGGATTGCAGAAGCACGAGAAAAGCCCTATGGCCTGAGCACACCAGAAGCAGTGGGCATGTGGGGAGCATCCATGAACCCAGGGCTAAATGCTGAACTAAAAGCATACGTAGACCATGGGAAGGAGCCTGCTCCTTGTAACGCTCATCTCCCCTGAGGCAGTCTCTCTGCCCCCAAAATATCTAGCTTATATTTGCATAAAGCACTCCTCTGGCACCTGCACAAATAAACACAGGCACAGCAGTCTTGGAGATCTATCCCTAGGCCTAAAATTTTTAGGCTAAAGATTTCTAATGGCTTGTTGCATTTTTACAACCACGGGCACAAATGGAGACCGGCCTGGCCCTGTGTTTCAGATGAAATTAAGTTTAATGCTAGATATGGCTTTTGATCAGAGCTACTTCCCTACCCCTTGGTCTCCTTGCCATCTCCATCCCCTCTTCTTCACCCAGGGAACTCAGCCTAGGCCAAATTTCTATGCCCCTCTCCCCTACATCCTCCCCATGGACCAGATTACTTTGTCCTCCTGGATCACCTGCCCACTCCACCTGCCATCCCTCCTGCACCAAGTCCCTGAGGCCTCCTTCTTTCCCGTCAGACTCCTGAACCCGCAGGACTTTCCCTAAGGACTGAAGAATCAGACTCTGGAAACAAAAGCCAGGACCCACACCCTCAGTATAGCCCAATCCTCAAAAAGGAGCAGACCGCAGCTTTCACGCAGAAAGACGGTCCCGGGGAGCCAAATGAGGTACTACTGGGCTGGAAAGGCCGAGGGAGGAGACAGGGCCTGAGGAAGGGGAGGAGCCCAGGATAAAAAGGAGGGAGCGGCCTGCGATAAGGGGCGGGGCAAGAGGGAGGGCGGGGCCTACAGGGGACAGAGGCTCGGGCTGGGACTTAGGCACCCGCTGTGACCTGGGCTCCATTTCTCTGACCCGCTCTCCTTCCCGGCCTCTGCTTTTCTCCTAGCCCTTCCAGCCGCCCAGGCCTAAACCTCGTGTCCCCGCTAAACCTCAGCTGCCCCCCGAAGTCTACACAAGCCCGGCTCCGCGACCCCGCCCGGCCCCGCCCCCCAAGCCCTCCAACCCCATCTACCAGGAGCCTGACGAGCCCATAGCCTTCTACGCCATGGGCCGGGGCAGCCCTGGGGAAGCCCCCAGCAACATCTATGCCGAGGTGGACGTGAACGTCGACGTGGAGGCGCCGGCAGTGGGGGAGGGCCCGCCGTCTCTCCTCCAGCACCTGGTCCTACGGAAGTGCCGGTCCAAGCCTGTCCCAGGAAGCCAGGTGAATGGGGGTGCAGGGAAAAGTTAGACCAAAAGAAGGACTTCCTGAAAGCTAGATCTGGGAGGGTGGAGAAGGTGTTCAGATTGGATGCCTGGTCTGGGTGAAGGTCAGAGGGTCTGAGCTGCTGGCAGCCCTTTTACGGGCCCAGAGATTGCTCCCTCTCCTCTCCCTGGAGTCATTGGGACCTGCCCCTCCTTTGTCAGGTCCCCACTCCCTCCCTCACAGAGAAAACAGAGGCCCCAGGCGGGGGCCCCTCAGCCTTCCCTGACCCGAGCCTGCATTTTGCTGTGTCCCTCTCACCCAGCGGTCCTCTTCAGACCCACCTGACATTGACCCCACGTTGTGCAGTGAATCGTGGCTCCTCCCATCCTCCCCTCCCCAGTCTGCATCTGGGCCTCTCCTGCCCTGGCTCCCTCCCCTCAGCCTTCATGGCCTTGCCGTCCTGAAGAGGAGGGTTTGGAGTCCCTTGTGTCATCTCAGATGAGCTCAGGGGAGAGGCACCTGCACACCCTCCCCCTCGTTCCACACACTCCCCCTCTCCCTCTTCCATCCCCTCACCTCCCATCTTCTCACTGATCCATGATCCCTTCAAGTCCAAGTAGGTATCTCATGTCATGGACTGTGTTAGCCCCCCCAACCTCTGTTCCCCTCCTCAGGCCCTTCCCCACCCTCCCTCCCTGCTGGTGCCCCAGGCTCCCCCTCAGCCCTTGTGCCTGCTCACAGTCACCCACAGCCCTGCCACGTGCTGCCATCCTAGAGCTGATGTCCCCAGTCATGTCTCTGTCCAAACCTCTCCAGGCTTCTGCTCAGCTCCCCAGCATCCCACAGCCTCTCGAACTCAACACAACCAACACTGCCCTCACCCTTCTCGCCCAGATTGTTCCCCACCATGTTTCCTATCTGGACTGGTAACTCTCCAGCCACCCAGCTATCGAAGCCAGAATCCTAGGGGTCCCTTGACATCTCCCCTTTCTTCACCCCTACTCCCCCACAAGCCAGATTCCTTCTGGGTTTCTTCCTAAATATACTTTTCCTTTCCGCACTTTCAGCCCCATCATCTCTCATCAGGACTTTTCCAAGAGCTTCTTAACTCGTCTCCTAACCACCAATCTTGCCACTTCTGATCTACCCCTAAGGAAGCCAGAATGGTCTTTCTAAAACAGCTGCCTGGTCCAGGATACCCTCCATACTTGGGCAGTCCCATCTCCTAAGTGTTACCACCAGCTACTCCCGTCCTCCCAGAGCTATTCCCATTTCTCCAAACACACCAAGTGGTTTCACCCTCCTAGGGTTTGCACAGCCAGTCCCTCTCTCTACAGCGACTTCCCGCAAGCTCACCCTCCCACTGCCCGGCAACCTTTTAATCATCCTTCAAGACCAGCTTGCCCTTCTCCTCCTCTGGAAGGACTTCCCTGACCTGAGACACTGCATCCATTGTGTGCTTTATACATACCTGCCATGCAGGTAGTCACCTGGGTCACGTGTCTCCCCTTCCCCAGCAGAGTGTGAGCTCCCTGAGGGCAGGGGCTGGGACTGATTCATCTGTTTCCAGAGCACCTAGCACAGCGCCTGGCACAGAGAAGGTGCTCAGGAAATGTTGAATGAATGCATGAATGAGGGGGTTTAGACCTCCTCTCTGCAGGCCTCGAGGCTGCAGGTAGGCCTAAGAGGCACAGGGTAGATGATGTGACCTAGGACCGTCCTTCTCTCTGCAGAATCCAGGTGGCTGGCAACTGCATTCTGAGAACTCTATGGCAGGACACAGCCCTCCCGCACCCCACCAGCCCCAGCCCCGCTGGGGAAACACCCTCCCCAACAACCTTTCTAGACAGGTGCTTCAGGACAGAGGACAGACGTGGCTCCCCCTGGGGCCTCCACAGTAGTTGGTGAGTCTGAGCTGGGGGAGGATGCTTGGAACATCCTGTCCAGAGACCTTCACACACACCCAGCACCCTCTCAGGACACATGGATGGAACAACCAGGAGGTGATCAAAGCTAGAGAGGACCTCAGCCATCATCGATTGCAAAGATGGCAAAAAGATGTCACCTTGCATGCCAACTCCAATCCATTGGTCGTGGCTGCCTAAGGCGCTGCATTGGAAAGGACGTTAAGGTCATATCCAAACTCAGCAGAAAAGAGCATGATTGATTAGTGATGTCTGCCACGGGTGAGGGGGGAGGAGGAACAGTATCTCCTTTGTCCTTACTGATCCAGTCCAACTCCCTAGCTGTGGAGATAAGGAAACAAAGCCAGAGAGGGCTGGTGACCCGGCCAAGGTCAAGGCTTGGTGCTCTGTTTCCTTACCCCACATCCACTAACTCTTCTCCAAGGAAATATCAGAGATTTCCTCAGATGGGAAACCTGGCTGCTTTTCAGAGCTCCATCGCATGGGGACCTGGGTGCTGGTTCCCGTCCTCTGGATCCCAGCTTAGCCCTGTCCCCCTGACAGGTCTAGGCCCCCCACAAAGAAGCCTGGAGGTCGGACGAACAAATGTGGAGTCTGCTTCCTTGGAGGGATGCACCTGCTGGTTCCCTCCCAAGAGTCCCCAAGAATCCAATGGCTCAGTGCTTGGTGACCCTCTAAGGGAGCGGGCTGGGAGGGCCCTGCTACCTCCTGCTGCCCTGGTTTCTCCTCCTGGAGTCTAATTGCCTTGGCCCTCTGAGTCTTTGAGTCTGGGCCCTGGTCCAATGCTGCTGTTGTCTGAGGAATGGTTTGGCGAGAACAGATGTTAGAACTTGTTTGTTGATTCTTGTCTGGCTAATAAATCATCGCCAACCACCTCCCCCCACAGGGATCCAAGCCCTCCAGGCTCCTTCTGTCTGTCTCTGACTCTCTTTCTCTCATATTGTGGAAGGCAAGTGGTTGAACTGCCATTGCAGTGAGGAGAGAGGGGTCTGCGGGTTGAGAGACACCTCGGCAAGGGTCACAGATCTGTGGGCTGGGGGCTGGGAGACACCAAGGCAAGGGACACAGACCTCTATCTGCAAAGTGTCCCTTCCCTGGCTGGGCTGGGCCGGGCTGGGCAGGGAGCCAGGGGTGCCAGGAAAGAAAGAGGGGCAGGGAGGGGAATGGCTGAGGGGTAGCCCCTGCCCCTCCTTCCCCAACCCCCCCTGCCAAGCACAGGACTGGGAAGGGAGTGGGCACTGTTAGCCTGTATGTGAGCCCTTTGGAGGCTGGGGAGCCCCCCTGCAGTGCCCCCAAGACTCTCTTGTGTCTTCCTGGCCTTTGCGTCCATCAGGACCCCGTCCCTCTCCTGAGGCTTCCTCCCTCCCCTCTGCCCAGACCCACTTCAGGGCCAGCCTCCTGCCCCCATTCAAAGCTCCACTCTGGGCTTCAGCTGCCTGGAAGAATCTGCCCTGGGTCTCATTTTTGTCTCAGACTGGGGGCTCTCTGAGCCAGGGTTGTGTCTGCTCCTGGATCACCCTCAGGGCTCAGAGCAGGGTTTGTCCCCTGAAGCCGCTCAGGCCTGGGTACCCCTATGATCCGATCTGTGTGACCTGTTCTTACACTCTACGTTGCTACGGGTTCAGTCAAGGCAATCAGAGCCCGTCAGTGTCCCTCTTCCTGCCAAGGGGGCCCTGTACCTGCCTGAGGCACAGAAATCCCCCAGACCCTTCCCTGAAACGGGGTTCCCTAGGCCCGGGTGCTGCCACCACCACACCACTCCCTGCCTAGCACAGGCGCCAGCTGCAGTGACTGGCTTCCCCTCCTTTCTGCTCCAGTGCTAATCAGCTTAAGGAGAAATATGGTTGCTGAGTCAACAGAGTTGGGGTTCCACTTTCTTCTGTCTGTAGGTCTAAACTGCCTCCTGAGCAAGGGGAGAGACAGGGAGGGAGCTGGAAGGGAGGGGAGGGGAGGAGAACAGATGGCTTTGCCGAAATCAGCAGGAGGCTGAAAATGCAAGAAAGTCTCAGGTTAGACTCAGGGAGTCAGCTCGTGGCTGATTCCTTGTGGCAGGGGGAGGAGGCAGGAAAAGGAGAGGCTTACAGTATAGCAAGAGCTGGAGATCAGTCAGAAAACAGAGAGGATTTCCTTAGACTTTGGGATATAACAGGATGGGCAGATAGGGGGAGAGGCGGAGCCAGATCCAGTGCCCCGCCCCCTCCCTCTCCAGCTCCCGGCCGCCTGGGGTGGAGTCGCCAAAGGGGTGGTGGGAGAATCCAGATGATGGCGTCATGGAGAGCCCAGGTTCCTGTTGTAGTCCTGTGCTAACTAGCAGCACAGCCTTTGGCAGGGAAATCTTTTCTCTGAACCGCTGTTCGCCACTTGTCTTTGAAGTGGAGATAACGTCTCATTTGCACACAGGGCTGCTGCACTGATCAGATGAGACCATCAAATGAAGGGCTTGGCAGAGCAGGACTACTGGGCCTAGAAGGGACTTGAGACCCTTCGTGACTGTTTGGTTCAACCAAATAGGAAACTGAGGTCTAGAGATGGGAGGTGACAGGGAGCTGGAGGCAGTCCGGCTCAGATCTCGTCATCCCAACTCAGTGCTCCCCTTTTACCATGGGGCCCCTGCCAGGCAAAAGGATAACGTCCCATCCTCCCGAGGGCTCCAGCTGCAGACCCAGCCCTGAAAGCTCCGTGGGGGACCCTCCCTTGCCCTGCCCCCCAGCACGGGCACCCAGCACCATCCTGCTGCCTTCACTCCCAAGCTGAGTCCTGGGGCTGGGCTGAGACCTCAGGAGGAGGCTGAGGAACTTGTACAGGAAAGGAGCTGGGGCAATTGCGGGTTGCTCCTCGCCAGCCAGAGACCACTCGTGCCAGGAGGGGGAGGGCATTTCCCAGCCGTCTCAATCTTCCGTGGTCATTCCATCCCGCCTCCTGCCTCCTCCAGGCAGGGCTTTCTCTGGCTCAGCCCACTCTTAGATCTGAGAGTACAGGCTCCCACCCCCAGCCCCAGATCCCCTTCAGAGCCTGTACAAGGCCTTGCTGAGTGGAGGGGTCCAACTTGTCCCTCCATTTCCAGCCCCTTCAGCACCACAGCTGACCCTGATGGCTCTCTGTATTTTTCCTGCTCCTGCCTCCCCTTAAGCTGCCCCTTTTATCCTTTGTGCTCCCTCAGCTAATGCAGTAGACAGGGTCAGTAAGGGGCCCTGTAACTCTGGCTCAGGGGCAGGGGAGTTGAGAAGTTATTAACCCCACAACCTCAGCTGTCCCGATTCCACAGTACATCACTCCCCAGGAACCCACTCAGGGAGGACTGGGGCCAGTCGTCACTGAGGCCCCAACTACAACCACCTCTAGTAGCCTTAGAACATCTGTCCCCACCTGAAACAAAGCTGAGCAGAGGGAGGCGGGGAGAAAAGGTTATGAGCAGGCAGCACAGAGCGTTCCAGCATCCTTGCCACTTCCCCAGGCCCCACAGAACTTCAACCATCCCCTCAACAGTGTGGCTACTTGGACAGCAAGTTCAGCACCCAGCTGGGGTGAAGACCTGGCCGGGCCCCTCCCCCTGGGCCAGAGTCTTTGGGGTCAGAGCTGAAACTAACTCCTTATGACAGCTTTGCCATCTCTGTGCAGTTTCTAAGTCTGATCCTTATAGACCTCAACTTCCTTGGCCCCACCATCCTAATGAATCCAACACTGCACACTCAGGCTTTGCCCCGACCCCTCTGACATCTTCCAGGGCTGTTTGGATCCATTTCTGACCAAGGCCTTTGCCGCTTCCTCCCTCTGCCCTTTGGCTGTTGCTGCCATGAGAATTTTAGCCAAGTATCATTCCTTATTCTTCTCTCTCCCTCATCCCTGTCTTCTTTCCTGCTTATCAGAACTTGTGACTGCTACCTCCAGGAAGCCCTTCTAAATGAAGTCTGTCCATTTTCTAACCTGTCAGTATTTCTCTTTGTGACCAAGAAATTCCAACCACCAAATAAAATGTCATCTTTGGTAGGACTAAAATGTGGCTTAAGATTACTTGCAGCAAACCAAAGGAGGTGGGAGGCAAGAGGAAGCTTAAAGATGTCTGGCCTAACTCAGTCCTTTCCCAGAAGGCAGTGGACTCTCTCTACCCCCCATTTCCTGCCTCCCAGCCCAGGGCACTTCCCACTCCATCGTTACGCAGCCCCTAAAATGAGACCGTTGAGGAACTGTTGGATCCCAGGAGTGCAGCAGCTGAGGAGGGCACAGCTGCACCCATGGCATACTGGGTACAGGAAAGAGTGTCTGACTCTGTGGGATCTCAGACGTTTTGGCCCTGCTGAGCCTAACCCACCACCTAAGACAGCCCAGAGGGACAATCCCAGCCCTGGCCCCCAGGGCTGCTGTGGAGGGTGGGAGTGGTGGTATGGGCTGATGCTCCTTGCTGAAGGCTGGCTGGACGTACCAATTTGGACAACTACAGCCCAAGTGTCCCTGAGGGATGCACGAGTCCCGTCTGGCTCCAACCCGAAGTAGGTCAGATTTCAGATAAGCGGGTGGTTTTCCTGTAAGTGATGAAATCTTCCTCTGTCCTTAATGAGAAACAGACTCCTCAACTTACCCCAGCAAAAGATCAGAAGCATGGTGAGATTCCTCACTTCTGCCTCTTCCTCCTTATGCCAAAGGCCCCACCACACACTTCTTCCTACTGCCCCTCTGGCCTTCGCCTTCCTCTCTCACCAAGACTGTCAAACACTAATTCCTCCCAATGTTTCCCTGTTCAGAACCTGCAACAACTGGAGTCAAGCATCTCTGTCCAGTCAACACTCTGCCTGGCAACCAAGGCCTTTCTTCTTGCAGTTTCTCAAACACTCCCTTCCTGCAGGAAGCCACTGCAGGTGAGCCCCACTCGAGTCCCAGAACCCTCAGCAACCTCTTTCAGTAGGATCTGCATGCTGTTTTGTAACCAATATTTGTATCTTCCATCCCTACTTGGACCCTGCCCTGACAGGGAGGAATCTGCCACTGAACGCTCTGGGATCACAGATCCCAACAGCTAACTGAAGTCCACAGACACTGCCACTTCCCCTCCCCAGTCACCCACCCAACCTCGCCCTCCCTCCCTAGCAAAAAGCTGGGGGTCCCCAAGTCTCCAAGGAGATCTGTCTAGCCCCCAAGCTCAATGCAAAGCTTCCGAACCAGTGCAGGCCAGTGACTACCAATGTAAACCTGCATTGTCTGTCGGGTCAGACATTTCACCACTTCACCTCCTGCTGTGCTGAATTTTATGTCTGACAAATCTTTCATGTCACAGCAAGAACCTCCTTGAATTCCCCCCAGTCTTCACAGATACCTGAGACCAGCAGTGCTTCTCATAGGGTTTACAGGCCCCTGCCCCATACAGAATTATACGTACAATTCCCCAGGTTTTCAATGGCCATGAACCCAGTTTAGATGGTGGGTACAGAGAAGAAAAGCAAAGCAATCAGGGAGGCAGCTCACGATGGTGTGGAGGGTGCTTTACACAAGGTAATAACTGAGATCCAGGGACAGGATTACAAACGAGAAGGGTCCAGAATGGAAAAGGAGACCGCATTAAAAAGCAGGAAAGGGGTCAGGGCAGGCAGTGTCTGTCAGACTGAATGTTTTATTTCAACAGACATCCCTGGTTTAAAAAAAAACAAAAACAAAAAAAGGTGAGGGAGGGGTTCAACATTTCATCACACCCAACAGGGAGCCAAACTCCCATCCAAGAACTCAGAGCCCCTTCTGAGGCATCACTCGAGTCTTTGCTAGCTCCAAGACAGAAAGGAGCTGAATTTTCTAACTTTTGTTAAGAAAAATCTATCAAATATGTTCATTCTCGCAGAGCGAGGGCTGGGTCCTCAGGGAAAGAGATCCTGGGCTTAGAGCAGCTGGGGTCCCAGAGGTGAAGCCGGGAGCCGGGCCAGCTGGGCTCCGGGAGATCCTGGAGGCAGTCAGGTCCGGAGCCCTAGAATCCGTATTTGGCTTGGGTCTGCCGGCGGCTGAGCTTGTTCTCTGACCAGGTGTTCTTCAGCTCCAGCTCCCGCTCCTTAGCCTGCGGCGAGGAAGCAGAGCCAGAGGAGAGTCACTGGGGTTGTGAGAGACACTGCTCTCTTGCCTCTGTGAGCTTCCCAATTTAAAATCTCTCCCATCGTAACAGTTACAGGGAAATAGCAAATCCCTTGAAAGACTTAATTTTCTCTTACTCAAGCAGAAAGGGAAGACCCTGAGAAAGCAAAGAAATCCTCTCTTTGGGGAGCTAACAGGATTTAAGCAGAACAGACTGAAGAATCCTGGTCCTTCATCTGCTAGAATTAAAACTGAAAAGCTCAAGTGGAAAACGGACAATGAGAACTAAAATTTGGTATCTGAAAGGAAGACAAATCAGCTGCCTTGGATACCCGACCAGCCAGGTCAGCCTCAAAGACTCGGACAAGTCCAAACAGGACACCACCCAACAATAACTTAGTCTGGGGATGCAGTTTTGCTGTTGTGCTGACTGCAGTGTATGTGGGAGCCGAGAAACTCATGCCATTTTAAAGTACAAATTGAAGCTGTGAAAAACTGACTGGAAGGCACCAGAATTATGACTTCCCCCTTCTGACGTCAACAACTCCTCGCCCTATACTGCATTCTGGGAATGTACAAGCACCACCCTAGAAAACAGGCTCCTCACCCCCACCCAGTTACCTCCCACCTGCTCATCTCCCCTGGCATAATGAGGTGGGGAGGGCTAAGAGTTTGGCTTTCAAACAAGACCCTACCCTCAACTTCTTCCCTACAAATAACAAGATAGGGTAAGGGTACAAAAGGAGTTCCTGAAAAGGAGGGTGAAAATATGACAACAACGACGAAAGCAAGATTTGCCGCTGAAATCATCAACCAGCATGTATACTCCCCAGGGAAAAGGCCAGGAAAGAGTCTTACTTCTGTCTGTATCTTTGACAGCATTTAGTACAGTAGGTTTCAAAAAGAGGTTTAGGGGCCGGACCCATGGCGTAGTGGTTAAGTTCGGTGTGCTCTGCAACAGCAGCCCAGGTTAGTGGGTTTGGATGCCAGGCATGGACCTACACCACTCATCAGCCATGCTGTGGCGGCAACCCACATACAAAATAGAGGACTGGCACCGATGTTAGCTCAGGGCTAATCTTCCTCACCAAAAAAATACAAAAAGAGCAGCCGGCCCCGTGGCCGAGTGGTTAAGTTCGCACATTCCACTTCCGGCAGCCCAGGGTTTGGATCCTGGGTGCAGACATGGCACTGCTCATTAGGCCATGTTGAGGTGGTGTCCCACATGCCATGGCTAGAAGGACCCACAACTAAAATATACAACTATGAGTTGTTAGCTCAGGTGCCAATCTTTAAAAAAACAAAAAGAAAAAAGAAAAACAAAAAAACAAAAAGAGAGGTTTAATGATTACATGAATATCTGAAAGCTGCTAGGTCCTATCAAATAAATACCAAGACATATTCTAATTCTAAAAGACATTTTTGGATTATCTGTAATTCTGAATTATTTGTGTTGATGTTTCCTGCCACAGAAGTGGAGAATACAAAACCAAACTCTGGGGCCAGCCTGTAGCATAGTGGTTAAGTTTGTGCACTGTGCTTCAGCAGCCTGGGGTTTGCAGGTTCAGATCCCAGGCCCGGACCTAGCACTGCTCGTCAAGCCATGCTGTGGTGGCATCCCACATAAAATAGAGGAAGATTGGCATAGATGTTAGCTCAGCAACAATCTTCCTCAAGCAAAAAGAGGAAGACTGGCAACAGATGTTTGCTCAGGGCCAATCTTCCTCACCAAAACAAAAAAGAAAAAGAAGAAGAAGAAAGAAAAAAAAACCAAACTCCTCATTAGATGAATGTTTTGCTAAAAGTCGGTTACAAATTTTTTCTTAAATAGTTTTTTAAATTACTAGATAAACTTGCTATTTAAAGGAATGCTCCAAGAAACCATCCACTCCCCTCTTACATTTATGTTTTGGATGTCTGAATTTTCACTTACAGAGTTTATTTCAAGCACCTGTACTTGAGTCTTCTTTGAAGTGAGAGGGATGCAGGGCAGGGTAATTCTGAAGGATACATCCCCCCCTAGTGGCCACATGGAGAACTGAGAATGACACCTGCTGGGGGCTGGTGCCTGGCACCAGGGCTTCAGATCTGAGCCTTCAAATCCCCAGGTTTACAGGGATGCAGCCTCTCACCTGATGAATCAGATACGTAATCTGGTGTTTCCGCCGCTGCTGGCCTGTTGGTTGCTCACCTTTCTTCTGCAAGGGAAGAAAACAAAATCATTAACCCCCAGGAAGAAAAGCAGAAGTTTCTCACATGCCCAGGTGGTGCAAGGTTGGGGATTGAGAAACCAACTACACAGCCCAAATCCTGAGGGAAAGAAGTCAGCTCAGAGCTGGAGCTGTTTTTATGTCTCTATACTTACAAAACAGTTATTTCTATTAAAGTCATTATGCAAAAAAACCAAGCTCAGACTTGCCTGAAATAGCCTGCTAATAACTTCATTCAACTGGCAATATTCTGAGGTCAGGACTGTGTCTTCTGTTTCTTTGGTAACTCCACCCCACCCTCAGCACCAAGCACGGGGCTCTGCCCACAGTGGACATCTGATACCAGCTTTACTCCTGCAGTCCGTCTAAAACAGCTTAAGTGCCAGGGCACAGGCCACCTTCCTTCCTCTCTCCCTCCCTCCCTCCCTCCAGACCCTTTCACAACTCCGCTGCCCATCTCTCCCTTAAGCCCTTTTCATCTCTGTCCCCTTCTCCCCAGTCAGGCCAGATGTCTGGCCTGTCTCCTACCTACTTCCTACCAAGCTCTCTCCCATCAGTCATCTTTGGCTGAAGCCTCGCCTCCCTCCTCCTAGTAAGTGCCAAGAGCTTCCCTGGATTCAAATTTTCACAATCACTGCACCTCTCTCCAATCTTCCAGCCTCCACCCGTAGCTGCACTGAACCCCTAACCAAACTCTGATGCAAATGATTTACTGTCCAAGTCTATATTGGTCTGGGCTTTCATTCTGTGGTTTTTCTGTCCCCTGCCAGTGTTGTCTCAGACTGGAAGCTTCCTCATCAGCCCCACCCAACTCCCAAAACTCCTCTCTGGAGCCTCCTCAGCACTTATGTAATCAATTTGCACTGTAATCATTTACACTCAAGTGTCCTTAAACCTCTTTTCCCAACTACACTCTAAACTCCTCAAGGACAGGAACTCTATCTTTTTCTTCTTTTTTAAAAATCTAGCTCAATACAATGAGATGGTGGAAAGAAAATGTGGACCTGGGAAAAGAGTAAATTCCAATTCCTTGCTGCTATTTCACGTCATTTAACGTGACAGTTAAAGATGACAAACATAACCCATCCAGCTCCACTCCCGGTCCAGGGTGAGCAGTAACGACAGCAGCTATTACTATGTGATGATGCCTCCCGACCCGCAGTTAGTAGAGCATGCTCTCCTAAGTGGCTTTTCCAGTAAACAGTGATGGATCTATGCTGATCTAACCACAATCCTTTGCTCTGTCCTGTATGACCGCCAGCATTCAGTTAAAATAAACGGCTGGGGCTCAGATGGCCATCTGTGACCACAGAACAAAGCAGAGAAAATGGGGGGAGGAGAAGGGACTAAAATGCCCGACCTTAGCCTTGCTGGTGCTGGGCTCGAATCCAGGGCTTCCCCACACTTTCCCCGCTGTGGCAGCCTCATAAATGTCCACATTTGCTGTACTCAGCTACTAGGTGAAGAGATGTTCATCATACTGACTGAGGAAAACTAGCACAGAGAAAGGAGGAGTGTGGTGTGGAAATGTGAGGAATAAAGCATTTGAAAAGACCACGGCTGGCTGCAATGAATAATGGAAAGGAAGGAGAGAAGGGGCTGCAGTCCTGAGAGAGGACTCCAGAGGCTCTGCTGTGCTCACGCCTCAGAGACGTGCTGAGCCAGGTCCCAGCCTCTCAGGATGGAGAGGGACGTGAGCGTAGGGAGAGGGCAGAGCAGCTGTGGATTCTGTCCAGGCAGGGAAGGAGCCACAACACGTCAGAGAGCTTCCAGGTGCAGGACAGGAAACTGCTCCAACCGTTCAACCTCAGCAACCAGACTCCACCATCCAGATGGAGGGCAAAATGCTGCAAAGTTCTGGAAGGCAGCAGCTGTATCTGTGAGGCTCGGTGCATACTCCAGTACCATTGGCAACAGGTGCTGTGACAGTAACAACGGGGTGTGGGGTCAGGATGGGGAGTAGGACCAGATTCTGCTCTAGGGCCTCCCAAGTTGGCCACCTGATAAACCTTTGCCACTTACTTTGCTGAATGACTTCATGGTTTTCTCTTCTGTCAAAGACTTGGTCATCCACTGCTGGGCCCCACTGAGCTGGTCATCACCTTTGATCTCCACAAAGTTGATCTCCTCCCTTCCTCGGTTCCTCTTGCCCTGCAGCCGCTTAAACTGAAAAAGGGAAAAACAATGCAGGAGTCGGGAATCTGGGTAGGGGATGAGGAGACGTCACTAAGGATCAGAGTTTATGGAATGGCTTTGGGACTCCCCAATTCCATTGCACCCTCAATTCCCCTCTGTGCACTATGTCCTTTCACCCTGCCACTTTCCAAGCTCCCCTGATGCTAGATAAAAGGCTACTTCGCAGAACTTCTCCTGGACTCAGGGAAAGGGAGGCCAAAAGGTAGTCCCAAACCTGAGTGAGTGCAGAGAATCACTGGTATGAATTTATACTCAAATTATATATAAATTATATCTGCCTAAAAGAACTGCATACAATTTTCAAATTAAGAATTAAGGGTAAACAAAAGTCCTGTGCACCCCAATGTTTATTGCAGCACTGTTTACAATAGCCAAGACGTGGAAGCAACCTAAGTGCCCATCAACAGACGAATGGATAAAGATGTGGTACATACATACAATGGAATACTACTCAGCTGCAAAACAGAACAAAATCATTCCATTTGCAATAACATGGATGGACCTTGAGAGAATTATGTTAAGTGAAATAAGCCAGTGAGAGAAAGATAATCTGTGTATGACTCCACTCATATGAGGAATTTAAAACTGGGGTGGGCACAAAGGGTGAAGTGGTGCACCTACAACATGACTGACAAACATTAATGTACAATTGAAATTTCACAAGATTGTAACCTATCAATAACTCAATAAAAATAATAATAATAAAAAAAAAAAGAATTAAGGGTAAAAAAAATCTGGGATTTCGCCTCTAAAAATAGGTTCTTCTTACATGTCTGTTCCTTCTCATTGGTTTGGTATCAACAAATCAGCAGACCCCACACCAGAGCGGGCATCAGACAGGGAGAAATGTGGAGCTGGGGAGAGGGAGCCTCACAAAGAAAGGCCTGGTCAGTTTCCCAGGAGACCAAGGCTCTTTTTTCCTCCTCCTCAAAAAAATGCAGCTCACATAAGCCAGCAGGAGATGTGCCTGGGAGGGAGTCCGGGTGAAGGTGAATCAAAGTAAAGAACACTCAGAAACTCAGCGAGACCCAGGTCCTGGTCTGAGCACTAGTGAGGCCTCCTGGGGTCACTTTACCCACAAGAAACTGACTTTCACCACTGGGTGAGCTCTCTGCTGCCTCCTAGGCTTAGGACAAAAAGAGCCCGACTATCCAACTTGAGAAGAAGCATATACACAGGGGAGTGAACACAACATTAACCAGGCAGAAGTACGCAAAGGGATGGACACCTTCCTGTGAAAAGGTGAGCAGAGAATTATTTTCTATAAGAACCTGCATGCAAAGATGCAGCACCCCCTATTTCTCCAACCCTCTCCTAAGAGGCTGTGGCCTCCCCACAGATGGAACAATACTTTATACCCTGAGCGTGGCCTGACGGCCGCAGGACATGGGGTCTGATCTCCCTTTGCGCTGAGGCTGGGGAGAAGCTCAGCAGCAGGGGATACAGTTACATGAGACACAGGTTATTCACTGTGGCTGCTGTTCCCTCTCAAAATCCATCCTCCCCCTCTCCTTTAGTGTGAATGAACCCAACATTTTAGCTAGGCATACTACTACCCAACTAAAAGACTACATTTCCTAGGCTCCCTTGCAACTAGATATGGCCACGTATCCACATTCTAGTCAATGAGATAGAAGTGGAAGTATTCTTAGGAACTTTCAGGACGTCTCCTAAAAGGGGAGGTGGGAGGTGACTTTCTTTCTCCACTCTACTGCCTGGAATACAGTAATGGTGGCCGTAGCCTTAGTTGCTATCACTGACCTTAAGAATAGAGGCTACAAGCTAGGGATGGCAAACTAACAATCAGAAGGGGACTGGATCCCTGACAACGACATGGAGTTGCGACACCAGCCCTTGTCTGCTTACCTCTAGCCTTCCCTTATGAAGAAAAATATTAACTTCCCTTATATAAGCCACTATCAGTTGAAGTTTCTCAGTTATATGTTGCCAAGCCTAATCCTAACTGAATATGGTTTAAAAAGAACAAAAAAAAAACCTTCCTTTAGCTTCAGATTTGAAACCTGGTGTCCATGGGTCAAAGACACGTGCTTTGTTAACTTACTGCTTCGTCATCGATGAAGGAGGCATCTGGGGCAATTTCCTGGGTGGGGACCAGGGCCGGGTCCTGTGCAGGATAGTAGCCACCACTGTAATAATCCTGCAGCCAAGGAGGGAAACAAACACACCAACTGAGAGAACAGTGCAGAGGGGACAACAAGGTCTGCCCGGAAACAGAGGAAACCCTCATCACGGAGGCAGTGGTGATGCTCACACTACAGACCCCTCCAAAGGGCCAGTTAAAGCACAGATCCTAAGGACCCATCCCAGACCTCAAGACCAATCCCTGCAGCTTTTCTGATCTGCACCATCCAGACAGATGGGTATTTTTTAGGGACAGGTGACAAGAAATAAAGACGTTCTCTCTTGCTTCAATTTACACACTGCTCCCTCACTGCTTCCCAGGAGTGACTCCCACTCCTTACTTCTCCTGAGCCCTCAGCCTGCTCCTGCTCTGAGGCTCCAGAAGCTCCACCATGAGCAGGGGTGAGAAGGTGGGAGGGCGTGCTATTCCTGCCCCTCATCCAATCTAGGGCCTCCGGACACAGGGAGTCTGCCTGTAACAGGTGGGGAGGTTGCGGATCTCTGATACAAAATAAACCACTATAAGGGTGGTATGGAATTTACAAAGCTGGGAACAAAACAGGTTTGTGTTATCAGCTTTTTAGTTCAGGAATCTGATGATTCCCCTTAGTGGTGAGCTGTCTGGATGTTGCTATGGACCCTAAAAGAAGAGGAGTGAAGGCAAGAGCAAGGCCCGGCTGAGGCCAAGCTGGGGGGCCAGAGGCTGAGAAACTATTTCCTCCCTGCCTACACTTTTTCCTAATTCTACCACCTTTGCCCAAAACTCCCAGGAATGCCCCTCTAAGAACATTCATTTTATAATGAGCTAAATGGAAAAGAAGGTTTAACGTTGACATAAATAAAAATATATAAAAATCCAGAGTGATTAGACCATGAATTATCCACAAAAATATTCACAACAAAATACATTTAAATTGCAGGGTTCCCTAGTGTATTTAAAGTGCTTTAATTTGCATAGACTGCCTCAATGGTATTTATAACTGCATACAGAATTACAATTTGTTATTCATTTGCTGGATGTAAACCAGTAGTTTCTTAGATTTAAATAGTATCTTTTTTTTTTTTTTTGCTAAAAAGGTCAAAACACTCTCATCTTCCTCCTTCCTTCTAACGACATTGAGGGGAGATATACTATCTCTGATCAGCCTACAGGATACAAGGTTTAATGGCAAATACTTAGGAGACATAATTGTTCTCAAAGTCTTTGTCTTATCTGCAGTCTGGGTGTGGGTGGGGCCTCATGGTGAGTGGGCTTTGAGGGGACCCTGTTCTGATCAAACACTGACCATTCAGGGAATCACAGTGGTTGAAAGGGACTTGAGTCTGCCAACCATCACCCGGCAGGAAAACCTTCTACAGCTGTCCAGCCACTTCAGCCGGAGTACCTGAACTCCTGGGAGCCCTCTCCATCTAGGGAAGCTCTGACTGCTGAGAAAGTCTTTTTTTGTTTGTTTGGGTTTTTTTCAGTGAAGAAGATTGGCCCTGAGCTAACATCTGTTGCCAGTCTTTCTCTTTTTGCTTGAGGAACACTGTCACTGAGCTAACATCTGTGCCAATCTTCCTCTATTTTATGTGGGATGCCACCACAGCGTGGCTTGATGAGCGGTGCTAGGTCTGCACCCAGGATCCAAACCCGTGAACCGTGGGCCGCTGAAGTGGAGTGCACGAACTTAACCACTATGCCACCAGACCAGCCCTAGGAAAGTCATTCTTAAATCTCTTTACAATCTGGCATCATATACTCCCACTCTCTGAGGCCAAAGACAAAGGTAAATAGCTCTTCCAAGTAAGTGTCTGAATAAAAAGTTATCACACCGTTTACTGGGCATTTGCTGTCACTACACTAAGCCAATGCAATTCTCCGAGTAACCCTAGGAGGCTGCTATCATTCCCATTTCACAGCTGAGGAATCTGAGACTCAGAGAGGCAGTTAAATAATTTGCCCAGACTCATGCAGCATGAGATTCAAACCCCCAACTGCCCTCAGACCTCATTCTCCATCCCTGCCCAAACTACGGGCCCCTAGTGCCTCCTCTCCAGGGACTGGCCTGTCCTCTCCACTTCTCAGGACTCAGTCGAGGCCTTTCATCATTCTCCTTATTCCCTTCTGCATTCAACTCAGCAGGTTCCCTCCTTGCCTCCTCAGTCCCACCTCTCTCTTCCTGAGAGAAACTCTTCTTGGACTCACTAGAGTCTATCTAGAAGTCTATGCCAGAGTTCACTCAGCCTCGTCACCCACAGTCACGAAGGCCATCTTGGATCTCTAAGACTAGAGACCAGTCCTCTCCCACCTTCTCCCTGGCCCTCTCACCAGCTCCCACAGTACGATTTTGTTTTCAGAACAAAGCTGTCAATTATGTGGTTCTACCTGTCAGGCTTTAAGACTCAGATAATTTTAGACCAATATGGTTCAGAATAAAGATAGTATGTTTTGAGGCCTGATACATATAGGAAAATTAAGACGCTAGAAGATGCACTGATCCAGCCAAAGTGACGCCACAGAGCCCATGTCACTGGCTCAAAGCTCTCCCTGACTGCCATGCTCCAACATCCCTCTGTCTGCCCTCTATGCCTCTACCCACCTGATAATAAGCACCAGCGGCATTGGCATCGCCATATGTGGAAAACTGATTGTAGCTGTAGTCGTCCCCAGGCTTAGGCATCCAAGGGGCCCCACTTGAGCCTGCTGCCATCTTGAATTCAAGGGGGGCATTGGCTGCATCGTCCTGGAAGGCCGGCTCTGGTTCCGTGCCTGGAGGCAGCTCTTCAGGGACGGTGGGGATGGGGTAAGGGTATGGCTCAACTCCAGGTGGCTCGGCCTTGTCAGGGAGGGAGAAAAAGTTCTCGGGGGCGACTTCCTCATCACTGTCGTCCTCCTCCTGTGTGATTTGCTTCGTCACCTGCAGGGCAGCACTCTTGGCAGCAGCCTTGATGGCAGAGGGTGACGGAGTGGTGGTTGTGGTGCCCACAACAGGGGCAAGAGAGGAGGGCTTGGTCTTAGAAGCCTGTCTGGAGGGCTTAGTGTCAGAGGAGCCATCCGAGGGTTTCCGGGAGAAGGCATGGGGCAGGAGCAACCTGTTAGTCTCTTTCACAGTCAGGTTTTTAGGTTGGGGAAGCAAGGCAGACAAACCAGTCCCCTCACCAGATCCCTGGTGAGCCGGGGTTTGGGGAAGGAGGGAAGAAAGACGACAAATGAGATATTAACACGAACTATGGACATCAAGAACAAGAACTACAGGTATGCGCTCTAGCCTAAAATCTTACCAGCCCTTGTTTCCTTCTTACCCCTGCCCACTTCGGACACCCAATCTGGGCTTGACTCCTCCTACCTGAGGCCCTTCTGCTTCTTCCAAGGTAGGATGTCATCCATGTTTTCCTCAGCTCCATCCCAACCCAGCTCCACTGCCCTCTGCCACAGAGCCTTCCTTAACTCTGTGCTTTTGGCAAATACGATACTCTTAGTCTCACATCACCCTTCTTCCCAAAAAGCCCAGGGCTCTCTCTAGCTGCTCACTCAATTCTCTCCACACCCTGAAGGTTCTTCTTCCTTTTTTTTTTTTTTAAAGATTTTATTTTTCCTTTCTCCCCAAAGCCCCCCAGTACATATTTTTTAGTTGTGGGTCCTTCTAGTTGTGGCATGTGGGACATGGCCTCAGCATGGCCTGATGAGCAGTGCCATGTCCATGCCCAGGATCCGAACCAGCGAAACCCTGGGCCCCAGAAGCAGAGTGTGCGAACCCAACCACTCAGCCACGGGGCCAGCCCCTGAAGGTTCTTCTTAACAGGGAACTCTTCACTTCCTTTGGATTGCTACTCAAAGTTAAGAACAAGGTCCTGTCTAAAAGAGACTTTCACATGTTGCCAAAAGTCCACAGGGGTGGTATATTCAGCTTGTTTATGCCTGAGTCAAGCATTTGACTTACCAGTTTATGAGCTAATTGGCTCAGCCCATCCAGAGTTCCTACTACTCGTAAGAATCACTCAGATTCTGCTTTCTGTACACTACAAGGCCAGCCTGGCCCGACTGCAGGGCTGAGGGAGTCACCAGTTTGAAAAAGGAGAACTGAATAAGGTCACTGTATCACTATCCTGGAGTACCAGTGTACTTCAGCCCTCTCAGCCAAGAAACGACCAGATTGAGTAAAATAAACACTTTTGAGTCAAGCAGACCAGGCAGAAATGTTTATCTGGAAAAAGGGGTCCTCTCCCCGCTGTCTGTGTTCACAGATTTGAATCAGGCCAACCTGGCAGACCACAGGGGCTCAGGCTCATGGGAACCAGACTGAGGTGACAGGTGGAGCACATCCTCAGGCTACCTTTGAAGTGGCTGACTTCTCAGATGACATCTGGGATGACAGCTACATTCCATTGCAGTGCTGGGTCCCAACTCTGCCTTAACAGCTCAAAGTTTCTCTATCCACTCATCTCTTCCTACTACCTGGAAGACTGCTCTTTCTTTACTCCTGGGGTGCCTTCTGAGCCAGTGTCCTCCCCTCTCTTTAGTTGCCAGTCCACCTCCTCCAAGAAGCCATTGTGATAACAGGAGATGACTGGCCTCATTCAGTCTCAGTATGCCAGTTTCTTCCATGACTCCTCGTTCATCACCCACTACGAATACGGACAGAACGTCACTCTCACCAGTTATCTTTCTAACTTCCACACAACTGTGTGGAACTTCTAAGACCTCCCAGCGGTGAAAGAGGCACCTTAACAGAGCCAAGGGAAGGGGCAGCTTCAGCACTGGATACCCGAATCACGAGACCACCTTATAAAGGCAGGCCCGCTTTTGCTTTGCTGAGACATGAGGTCTCAACATGAGGTCAGAGAGTGTATAAATCACCAAGTGCAGAGTGGAACGGGAAGAAACTCCTAGGAGTCAGAATAAAGGCACTGGGACAGGGGGAAACAGCAAACAGCAGAAAGATCATCTCCTGGCACTGTCTGGTTGAGACTTCTGGTCTTGATTAGAGAGCAGCAGCCAAATGCAGCAGGTAACAGTGTGGACTCTCAGTCAGACTGCCTGAGTCTGACTCCTAGCTCTGCCCCCACTCACGGTCTCACCTTGGGCAAGTTCCTTAAGCTCTCCGTTTCCTCATAGGTAACATAGGGATGATAATGACACCATGACTTAGGCACTATTACGAGGATTAAATAAGTTAAACACTGGTAAAGCACTTAGAATAGTGCCTGGTACACAGTAAGTGCTATTTAAGTGTTTATTTTCCTGGTTAAAAATGAGACAGGGAGGAGATGGATAATTTTAAAATAGAGGTTCCCTAACATCATTTTGACTAATCTATTTATTCTACTCTTCCTAAATAATCCTTTTACCTGAGATGTAATGAATCGAATTGAGTTCCGATTCATCTCCCTACCACCGCCTGTCCTCCAGGAGAGGTAACCCTAGCACGCTACGGCCCAGGCACAGTGAGGAGAAGGCAGAGAAGCACAGGGTCTGATGTCATCAAGGAAACAAACCCACACCCAGTCAGTCCTCAGATCCTTGGATTTGCTCTGGGCCTGATCTGGAAACTGCTGGCCGTCGTGAATCCTGTCTTTCAGGAAACAATATAAGAAAAAATGGCTCTATTATGTCACAAAGCTTACCTGAAGGACAGTTTTCTTCTTTGTGGGTTCATCTTCCTCAGAATCTGACTAAGAGAAAAAGAAATGGAATAAGGCCGCACTGTTTCAGGACAGCGGAGGAAGCACTCACATTAAAGGAAGCACACATAAGGGAATGGATGACAGCAGCCATCTTGTCTGTGCCCCTCCTCTATACCAGGGGTGCACCCACCCGAGGCCCAGCAAACGGTAGAGCTCCCTTGGTGCTCTCAAACAGCTTCATAGAATGGGGATGCACTGACTGCCCCTGGTCACCCACGGACCTACCCCAGGACCTGTTGCACAGCCTTTTGGCATCAACTTCTATTCCTTTAACTTAAGACTATTTCCTCCCATTTAGTCTTTGGTAGAAAGAAAAAGCTATACCCATTCTTCTTCCTATAAATCTGTCCACAAGAAGACGAATGGGATTTGGCCCACAATCTCACCCAATCTCAGCTTCACTTCTAAAACCACTTACATAGACTACATAACCACAGGGCTGGGGAACTCCACCGGGATTAAGTGGTGTGTTAACTACTCTTCTATGAGGCATTAAAGGTCAAAGCCATTGGAGAAATCCATTCCCTCTCCAAGTATGATCTATTGTCTGCCAGACAGAGTTGTTCGTGTCCAGGAAGAAGGCAAGCAAATGATGACTGCGAGAATTTGGGGCAGGATGGGAGGTCATCTGTGTTATCCCTCTGATTCATCAGGACTGTTTCTAATACAAACTCTCACACTGAAAAATATCTGAACTTTTAGCTCAATACCAGCTCCTGAGCATCTCCATCTACCAGAAAGATGCAAGGCATATGAACAGCAAGCTTTAACATTTTATTTAAAAAAATTAATCCCCAAACCAGGAACCTTAAAAGCCTTCTATTTGTTCTCAGGACCTTGTTTTGGGCATCTGTAAATAAAGGTGATTAGGCAGGAATCTAAGACCTCGTTCATCTCCAAGACTCTACAAGAACCCAAATCCTCTGCCTGTCTTTCTCAACTGACCCTCATATCTCACAAGTTCCTTTTGGGATTCATCTGCTACAAGGACTTGTTGATCATTATTACTAGGAACCCACTCTACGCAAGACACTGTGCCAGGTACTGTAGACAGAGGTTCCCAACTGTCGTCCCACGGCTGGGTCACAAGTATGAGGACACTGATCCACTCAGCCCACAGGACACCAGGCAGAGTCTGGACCAGGTGGAGTCCTGGCCACAGGGCTCCAGAGGCATAACCTGGACCATCTACCCCCGTGTATTTCAAAGATTTCCTGTTTGTGCCACCACATGAAAAAGGTCCCTGATCTCCAGGAAGTTATAGTCCAGTAAGAAGAATGACAAGTACCCAAATAACTGTAACAAAGGTAGCAAAAGCTAAGGGCATCAAGTGTGGTTCAAAATCCCCTCAAAGAATCAGCTGTTCCTACATTTGTGCTTTCTTTTACCTAAGTCCCTCGCCTTCTCACTCCCTCTCCTTGTATCTGTGTCACTGCCAACTCTCACTCTCCCGTCAATGTGCACTCTACCTCCTGACTCAAAATTCCTGACAAGTCTTCCCGAGGAATCCCACCTTGCTCTTTTCCACTCTGTGTCCCTGCAGGACTCATTTGTTCGGGGTGGCATCAGACTAACACTGATTCACCTGTGCTTGCTCTGTAAATGTTACATTTTTCATGTGTATTCTTGCCTTTACTCTGACAGCAAAGGCCCTATCTTATAGCTCAGTATTGCCTCACAGCAGTCACTATACAATGATTTTAATTACTAACTGCTGCCAAATGTATAAAAAAAACCTATAAGGGCAATCTGTCTTGGGACAGTCATGCATCGCTTAACAACATGAATATGTTCTGAGAAATGCGTTGTTAGGTGATTTCGTCGTTCTGCAAACATCATACAGTGCACCTACACAAACCTAGATAGTATAGACTACTGCACACCTAGGCTATATGGTGCTAATCCTATGGAACCACCATTGTATATATAATCTGTTGTTGACTGGCGCATGACTGTACATAAACGTAGGGGATAAGAGAAAGGGCAGTAAAGGAAAGGACAGCCATCTGCTGAGTGCCTACTATGGGTCAGGCAGTTTACTCACAATTTTACATTTAATCCTTACAATAACATTTCAAGGTAGGCACTGTTATCTCAGTTTTACAGGTAACAAGAGTAAGGCGGCTCAGAGAGGTTAAATGATGGCCAGTACTTGGCAAAGCCAGGACCTGAATCAGTTGAGGCTCCCATGCTTTTGCAGTGACACCATGCGGAGCTGTCCGTGTTTGTCCAGGCCTGAGATCCACACTGACCAGATCCCACTAGACCCCACGTGATACAGTTGAGAGACCATGAGGCTCAAAATCAGAAATACGGCTTTGAGTCTCGGCTTTACCACTTACTGGCTGGGGGATCCCAGTGAGCCATTTAACCCCCTGAGACTCAGCTGGACATACTACTTATCCACCTTGCTAGGATGTTCTCAAGACTGCGTCAGCTACTATCCACGAAAATGTACATAAACTAAAACTCTAAACAGAGCTCCAAGATTATTATTGTCTCTGGCCTGCCAAAATGTCAAACTCAAGCAAAGAAGCCTTAAGCTGCAAACACCTAAGCATTTTCAGCCTTTTCTCTCTGTTCCAAACTCCACTGCCTCAGGGGCTCCTGACCACCTCCCTCTTCTTTTGACCAGGAAGACTTATCTCCTTTCCAGCAGACCACACAGAACCACCTCGCTATGGGGTATACAGGTTTTCATGAAGTCCCCAGGCACGTTTAAACTTTAACATCTTAGGCAGGTAGGTCCAATGGAAACAATCTGAAAATAAACAAATTTTATCCAAGTTTAAGATGATTACATTTATAAAATGATACATGCATATTCTGATTCTCAGATCCTGTGACAAACATAAAGTGGTTCCTGTGAAAGTGTAGGCAAACTGTCCTATGGCTAATAGAATTGGAGGCCAGATTAGCTGTGGGAAGAAAATTCAATTTCTCTAAATGTCACAGATTGTTCCTATTACACTGACAACCTAAGTTTAAAAGCACAAAAAAAAACTGTGCAAAGACTTGAGGAACATCTTATCATTTCCGGATGTACAGGACTGCTATGGCTACTCACAATCATCCTTCTCTCTGTGAACATCTTATACTCATCTACTGAACTCCATTATAAATCATCTCATGATGGGCACTAAATATGACAGACTCCCTCAAACAGAACACTAAAATAAGACCCTCAAAAATGTGCTGAGTTCCTAAACTCTAGGTAAGTCATAACTATTCATCTTTGAGGGAAGGGCAGAAACAAATCTTTACCTCTTAAAGTGACAAACGGGGCTCAGAGACATTCAGAAATCTACCCACAGCCACAGAGAGAGCCCAGGAGAACTGGGAGCTGGGGAAATAGAATGAGAACCTGCTTCTTGCCCCCGGCACTAACTTTAGCCACCTCCATCCTAGAAGAGGCTGGAAACATAGAACTCACTGATTCACTATGACGAGGTCTAGATGCCACTCAAAGCACTTCTGGGCATGTGGGGCCTGACTAAAAACTAACAGGAAACAGAAGAAAATCTCAGCAAGAAATTATCCAAATCCGTCATAAGAGAAATTACATTTCAGTTTAGAATACCAAACAGCAGAGAGGTGAGTAATCCAAATGCTACAAGATGTGCCCTATGCATTACAGTCTTGGGGAGGGGAGCGCAGGAATACAGCTGTCTTAGAGCATTTAAAAGGAAAATCAATTCAGCTTCTATCAAGAACCAGGCTAGAGGCAACAGGCTTAGCCTAAGCACACAGCATTTAATTTAGACAGAAGGAGAACCTCCTTGATGGCAAGAAGTACAGGAGCATACTGGGGTTTTTCCTCCTTTATCATGGTAAAATATAGATAACATAAAATTTACCATCTTTTTTTTTTTTTTAAAGATTGGTACCTGAGCTAATGTCAGTTGCCAATCTTTTTTCTTCCTTCTTCTTCTCCCCAAAGCCCCTCAGTACATAGTTGTATATTCTAGTTGTAGGTCCTTCTGGTTGTGTTACACGGGACGCCGCCTCAGCATGGCCTGATGAGCAGTGCCACGTCCGTGTCCAGGATCCAAACCAGCGAAACCCTGGGCCGCCAAAGCAGAGTATGTGAACTTAACCACTCAGCCACGGGGCCAGCCCCAAAATTTACCATCTTAACCATTTTTAAGTGTACAATTCAGTGGCATTAACTACATTCACAATGTTGTATAACCATCCCCACCATCTATTTCCAGAACTTTTTCATCATCCCAAACAGAAACCCTGGACCTATTAAACAGTAATTCCCCATTCCCCACCCCGAGTCTCGGGCAACCTCTCTTCCATTTTCCGTGTCTATGAATTTGCCTATTCTGGGTACCTCATATAAGTGGAATCATACAATATTTGTCCTTTTGTGTCTGGCTTATTCTACTTAGCACCATGTCTTCAAATTCCATCCATGTTGTAGTACGCATGGAGAATTTCATCGCTTTTTGAGGCTGAATAATATTCCATTGTATGCATATACCTCATTTTGTTTACCCATTCCTCTGTGGATGGACACTTGGGTTGGTGCCACCTTTTGGCTATTTTCAGTAGTGTTGCTGTGAATACTCGTATATGTATCTGAGTCCCTGCTCTCAATTCTTTTTACCTACGAGTAAAATTACTGGATCATATGGTAATTCTAATTAACTTTTTGAAGAACTGCCAAACTGTTTTCCGCAGGAGGATATTAAATGAAGGCTGTGGAGGCAACTCTGAGAGAGCACTACAGCAAATGGCGATCTAAGGGAGTCTGTGCCATTCGACCCAGAGAGAAGGACAATGCTAGAAATAGCAGAGAACCCATGGCTGGGAGAGAGTATGCTGGACCAGAACAGGCCCTCCTAGCTTGTGAAGGCACGAACTGGTTGGGTCTCTTAAAAACAAAGTATTATAGTTTCTCTTGGCCTCACAAGAGCCTGAGCCTCAATGGCCACCACTGTCCTCTCTGCTCCAGCTGCCAAGAGTGACAAGACACACACCCTGCGACTGCTGAGCAAGAACGGAAACAGACGTTTTCCATTAAGCCAGGCCCAGCGGGATCTGCTCATCTATCAGAGCCTCATTCCCCATGGCAGCCTCCCTCTTATCTTCCCAGGCTCTGGTTCTGACAGACTCCCTCTCCAAAAAGCAATCACTAGCTGCCAGGGCCAGGAGCCAGGCAGGAAATAAGGGCCCAAGAGCAGACCCCCCCAGGCTCCAAACTCTAATCACCACCACACTCCTCTCGGCTATTAGCCCAACTTGCTGGATTCATCGACATTTTTTACTCTTTGGTCTCGAAATCTTCTGCTTACATGTGCCCTTCAGTTAGGATATCGTTTTCTCTCCCATCTTCGCACTCCTCATTGTATCCCTTTCATATTTCTGGTTGCCTATGGCTCTTCTATCTTTTCAGTAGGCACTAGTACAGAACAAAACACACCAAGGTGCAAATATGACTTCTGCTACTCCCAAACTGTGTGCTTTTAGGCAAATCACCTCTGTTCTCCACCCTCCTATTTCCTCAAGTGTAAACTAGAGATAATACGTGGCTCACAGAGTCACAGAAGTGCCTGGCACAGTGGCAGACACAGCATTAATGCACTGTACCTTGCCTCTCCATCTAGGGCTAAAAGTTAGCTAAACCCACTGTAGTCAACTCTTAATTACCTGGTTAACAGAAATGATCAAAATTAGTGAAATCTCAATCTCACAGCTTCAAATTCTCCACTATCTGAGTAAACAACCTGAAAGTAAGGGTCATACTAATCCAGACAACCCTAAAATTTCTATTTGCTTTGGAATGCACATTCTATGACAGAAAACTCTTACAACAGACTGACTCTTCTCATTTTGGTTTTTTGTATCTTGATTATAGAAGTCTGCATCCGCTAAGCTCATGAAATCGACAATCGACCAATATTTGGAGGTAGTTTAGGTCCAAGCAAGAAGAGTAAAAAGGGAAAAAGAGAGGACGACTATCCATTTTATGGATCAGTCCTAATCCGTCACATAAATCAAAAGCTGACTGAATCTGACTCTGCGGTGCATCTGGAGAGAGAATTTGTTACTATCCTGCCCCCTGACAGCAGCCGACTGATGAGCTGACCCAAACCATGTTCTCTCCTGGAAAACCAGAATTGGGACTAACATTGTAGTTCAATCTGGGCTGAGCATTAAAAGCAAGGAAATAAAAACCAAGAAGGTGTGGGCGGCCATCTTCCACCTGCAACAAAGGTTAAGAAGCAGAGAAACCGGTCAGCAGACAAAGAAGAGGGAATCTAACACGCAGAGGAGCTGTGTGAGGCCTGGATAGATCTCCACGTCCCGACTCCAGGCCCTTTCTCAGGTACTTCAGAATAGGACGAGGCGTTACTATTCAAGCTGGCTGAAGTCGGTTTCTGATACTTGCAACCAATTAAATGTAACTGATCCCCAATCTGCTCTGCCTCCCATATTCCCTAAATAAATGGCATCACTATCCTCCCGGCTGCCTCAGGGTCAACCTTGAATCCTCGCCTTCATCCATGACATCCAATCAATCCCCCAGCCTCATCACATCTACCTCCTAACTAGAATTGGAGCCTCCAGTTCTCTCCACCCCCTGCTACTCCCTCATCCAGATCACCACCATCTCTCACGTTGCGTCTCTGCCAGTCTTGCCCACTCCAGGCCTTTCACCACTCTGCGATCAGACAATTTTCGTTCAACCTTTAAGGGTTCTTCACTCCCCCAGAATTACATACCAAGGCCTTAGCATGGCATCCAAGGCCCACTGTCATCTGGCCTCAGCCTCTCTCTCTCTAGCCCCTCTCTCATCACTCCCCCCGCCCACCCATGTGCTCCAGCTACTGAGCCTTACTCACTTCAGGTTCCCCACGTCTTTTCATTCTCGCCACCACTAGGCTTTTGTACATGCTGTTCCCTCTGCCTGATGTGCTCCTCCCCACTCCACCCCCCTTCCTCTGGCTACCTCCTACTCACCTGTCTTATCTTTATTCAGATATCTCCTGCTTTTGGAAGCCTCCCCAACCTCTGGACTGGAATAGTGCCCGCTAGGTGTGCTCCCACGGCACCAGCTCTCTCACGGTTCTTCACTGACTTAACTTAAAATCCATTTCCTTGTCGGTCCAAAAGCTCCTTTTGGGCAGGGTCTATCATGTTCACTACTGTGCGCTTAGCTCCTGGCACAGAGAAGCAGCTCCATATTGAATGAATGAATGAATGAGAGTTCAGAGTTAATTATCTCTACTTCAGCACCAAACTCTAAAGGGAAATTACTTAAGGAAACCTAATCCATTTCTTTAAATGTGTACTGAGAGCGTGCTAAAGGAAAGACCCAGAGCTTAGAACCAAAGGGGCTGAGAACTGAAGGGGCACAACCACCCTGACCATCCTGAATTCTACGCTAAGGCTACCTTTCCCCAGGAATATTGTGTTCAGAGAACAAAAATATCAACCTGAACAGAATAAAAATGGGAACGTGAACCAGCTAAGGGCTAGGATTTGGCTTTATTTTAATCATCCATGTCACAATTCACCTCAGGAATTTAGTGACTTATACTTACAAAGGTGAGACAGAGTTAGGAGTCCTCAAGAGTTTTCCGCCACTTCAGTCAGACTAAATGGAAGATTCTACAGCCTTTACCAGCCAACTTTTTCTTTTCTTTCTTTTTTTTTTTTGAGGAAGATTAGCCCTGAGCTAACTACTGCCAATCCTCCTCTTTTTGCTGAGGAAGACTAGCCCTGAGCTAACATCTGTGCCAATCTTCCTCTACTACGTGGGACGCCTACCACGACATGGCTTGCCAAGCGGTGCCATGTCCACACCGGGATCTGAACCAGTGAACCCTGGGCTGCCAAAACGGAATGCGCGCACTTAACCGCCGCACCACCGGGCCGGCCCTACCAGCAACTTTTTCTAATGCTACCCTCACAGACCTAGAAATGAACCTTTCCACTGTCACTGTGGAGGGAGGCAGGCTGGCTCACAGTGCCATCTTCTCCCATATATCAGAATGAGACTGAGACAAAGTTTGGGGAGAAAATTGTGAAGAGGAGAGAAAAGAAAATGCCAAGAAAATAAACCTATATTCCTCTGTCTTATTCAGGGACTTCCCTTTGTTCCAAGTTAAATCAAGGCCAAGGTAAGTTTCAGTGGATCAAGAGAAGGCTTTTGGGATCCTAGACTTAGAAACGACAGACTCAGGTGAGGAAGAAAGGGGAAATGATATGGATGAAAATTTGGAACAAGACAGTGAGGGAGATTCTAGAATCTCCTTCCATGAAGAATCCATATTCGCTAGAGTTCATTCACTCAGAAAATATCTTGGTAGTACCCAGTATGTGCCAGGCATCGTTTTAATCACTGGGGACATGGCAACGAACAAAACAAACAATAAGCCCTGCCTTCGTGGGGCTTGCAAACTACGGAGGGAGAGGGAGAGAGGCAAGTAAAACACGTAGTATGTTAGATGGTGGTCAGTGCTGTGGAGAAACAGAAAACAGAGGAGGAGCGTGGGGAGGAGCGGGTGATAGGGGGCTGCAATTTCAACAGGCAGGCGAGGAAGTCCTCACCGAGACAATTCTTTTAAGCCAAGACTGGAAAGAGGTGAGGGAGAGAACCTCAGCCTATCTGTGGGAAGACGCTGAGGGACCAGCGAGCACAGAGAATGAGGAGGTCTCTGGGCAGAGTTGGAAGCCTGAAGAAAAGCAAGGGCAAGAATAAGCTCCTCTCAGAGGGTTAGCAAAGGTGAGCCAGGGATTCATGAATTAACTTTTCAGAGGTGAGAGAAAGGAAGGCACTCCAGATAACTCCAAACACTACCAGCCCCTGACTTAATGTCTCCTTTATCCCCAAAGCACTCACTCCAGAAAAGTCCTTCTATTTTTCTGCTCCAAGACACAGAAAACAACATAAACTTGGCTGCCTCTTCTAGAAACAGTGCCCCAGCATCCTAATTCACCCAGGCTTGACAAGACTTAAATAGCGAAATCGAGGCACAGGCCTGGCTTTTAGGCAGACTCAGCCCTTAACCTTCACTCTGCCCTTTACCAGGTAGGACACCTGTTTCTCATCTGTGAAAATCAGAAATGTTATCTCCCAGAGTTCGGTGGCTGATCTGTACTCAACCAATACTCAATTTCTTCCCCGACTCCCCTCAAAAACAGAACCCAAAATTCCTATCCTTTTCGTTCAGACTCTGATGCTTTCAAGCTCAGAGGCAAAGGAAAGGGTTAGTCCCAAAGGCTCAGCAAGGGCTCAGGAATCCTGTCCCCCCACACTGCTTCAGGCGCCAGGTTTTACGCTGTTCTCAGTAATAAGAGAGACAAAAACCAGCCTGAGGTGAAGATGCAACAAGGGGGAGTAGAACCAAGTGCCCCTGGGCCTGGGTCTGTCAGTGTCAGGTGATGGTATGTGGCCCTCCTGCGGGCGAGTCCAGCTTCAAGAAACCCGCATGGACAAACACCCTAACTCCCCAAAGCTGACAAACTTCATCTCAATTTATCGCACTGTATCGAGTCCAGTGGTCCGGAATCAACGGATGCATTTATAGGAGGGAGTCCCGGAACCCCACAAGTCCCTCCTACAGCTGGGCCCATGGCCAAACCCGGCATGCAGTCTGGGGGTGCCCTCCCCGGATACTCACATCCCCCTTATGCAGCTCCGGCGCCGCTATCTTCACGGGCTCTGTCCTCTTCTTTGGCTTGGGAAGCCCCAGGGGGGGCCCGGCACCGCCGATAGGGGTGGGCAGGCTCAGGCCAGGGCCTCGGGGCGAGGGCAGCCCCAATCCCAGCCCCTCCCCAACTCCCGCCGCTTCAGCTGGGCTCACGCCTGGAGGTGGGGGGAAGCCTCCCAGGCCGAAGGGCAAGGGGGGAGGAGGCTGGAGCCGGGGGTCTCCGGTGGGTGGGGGCAGCAACAGCGGCGGGGGAAAGGCTGGGGCCAGCATCTGGGGGGGCGGAGGCAGCAAGGCCGGACCCTTGGGTGCGGGGAGAGAAGCGAACAAGCCCCCTAAAGTGGGCCCAGATGTAGGGGCCGCCGCCTCCTCCTCCTCCGGCTCCGGCTCAGCCTCATCTGGCTCACTCTCATCGCTGCTGGCGTAAGCAACCAGCGACATGGCGCCTCCCGCCTTTGGGGCGCCCTTGCCGGCAGACGAGGCCTACTTGAGACCGAGGATGCCCGGGGCCTAGTGGGCCCCGCCACTCGGCGGGGCAGGAAACCGAAAAGCCCGCCTTCTCCGTACTCTAGGGCTAGCCCCGGCAGGAGCCCATAGCCACAGCTGATTTCCACCGAATAAGCCTTCCCTCTTCACTTAAGCTCCCAGTCCCGGGCAACTACACACAGCTAATGGCCGCCGAGTCACTCCGCCTCCTCCTCGCCTCACCAATATAGGAACTACAACTCCCAGAGAACACTTTGGACACAGCCCCATTCACCGCCGCAGGGAGCTCAGCGCAAGGCACGGCGGGAGTTGGAGTCCAAGGAAGGATTAAGGGGCGCGCAGAAAGACAGGGGGGAAACCCGCCTCTGATACGAGGACTCCTGGGATGAGTAGTCTTTTTGGGGGGTCTCCTGACAATTCGTAGGTGACTACAAGCCCCATCGGTCACCGCAGTAGTCACGGAGACGGATAGGAGAGCATTTCGGTACTTGAAGTTTCCTAAGGTAGCTGCTTGGGCGCTATGATTTATGGGAGACGTAGTGCCCATAGAAACTGCAAGTGACGTCGGGAAATGAGAGGGAGTCTGGGAAGGTGGAGGATTGGGGAAAAATAGCTTAAAGGGAAAGTGATCTGTAAGTGAACTGATGAAGCTCCAGAGTCGGCAGAAACCGAGAGTTGGAATAAAACACCCCAAAAAGAGCCAGGGCCCAAGAGACCTGCGAAATCGGGCTGCGAGACAGAAAGAAGCCAGACTTCAGGCCTAATAATAAACATCTGAGAGCTGAAATAAATGTGACATAAGAGGGAGGAGGCGATCTCCCTCCTGGTGTGCACATCCAGGAGCACACTTAGCCCTTCCAGCCTGGGGCCTGGCCTCCCTCTGCAGCAACCAGTGAGACAGAAAGACAGGCAGGGCCCTGGAAGTTGGAGCCGAGTACTTGAGGTCAATCCCTTCCGCTCAGCCTGGTGGGGTAAATGGGCCAGCTACATGTTAGCCCCCTTCACAGATGTGAGCATCACCTGAGTCCATCACTGTCTGCCTGTGCCTCCCACCCATCCATCTGCATGTCCTCTGTATCTGTCTCTGTCTGCCTGGTATTTGTTGTGCCTTTGTGTGTGACCTTGTTAATTAGTCTCTGTGAGTGCCCTTTATATCCGTCCATATTTGTGTGTGTCCTTTTCCGGCTCATATGTGTCTGCCCATTCTATATCCGTCCTTCCCTGTCTGTCTGAGATTTTGTGTCCTTTTCTTGTTTATCCATCTTTGCCCCTTTCTGTCTGCCCGCGACTGGGTGTCCTCTACTTGTCAACTCTGTGGGTGTCCTTTGCGTGCTAATCCATCTCTGTGTGGATGCCACCTCCCTTGTCTCAGAATGCAGAAGATTCTACTGAGTTCAGCCCATGAAGGCTGTTGAGGTTTTGGGAGGAGGCTAAGAGGAAGATGGAAAGGATGGCAAGAGGGATGATGATGATGGCAAAAACAATGAGGGACAGTAAAAGGCCCAAGCTTGACTCCTCCATCAGACAAGCTTGATGTGCCCTTCCCCCGCCGCTCCAGCTCTGTGTGTCTAAGTCTCACTCTGCCTTCACAGACGAACTCATATGCCACCGTATCCATGAAGCCTCCTTAAATCTGTTTGTTCCCTGCTCTAGATGCTCAGAGTATCTTTTTCTGTGTACCAATTTTTAAACTTTAATGTGCCTAGGATCACTGGGAAACCTTCTTAAAAATGCAAATTTATGAATTCCAGCCTAAGCGATTCCAATTCAGGAGGTGTAGGTGGGGCCCAGAAGTCTGGATTTTTAAGAAACTCCTCAGTTGATTGCAAAGCAGGCGCACTGAGGACCACACTGAGAAGCCAGCCCTTCCAGTCCTTCCTCGCAGCTGGTGTGCTTTGCACAATGCCAACTTCTCATCCCTCCTTTTCCAATCTAGGTTCTCCAACCTACTTTCTGGTGGCTTTGGGCAGTGACTTCTCTGAGTCTCACTTTCCTCCTTTGAGAAATGGATAGAGTGTTAAGGAACCCTGTCCTACTTCTGTGAGAAATACCTGAAATGATTTAGAACCCAAAGAGAATGAGAAACTTTCAAAGGAAAAGCATGCTTTTTCCTTGTCAACATGTCTTGCTGCCCTGCAGAGAAGAGAAGCCTCACAAGGGCAGGGGCCTGTCTGACAAACATTTTCTAAGCTGGGTCCTCTTATTCTAAAGATTAATGATTCATCTTATTCGGTAGGTACCCTGCCCTCAAAAAGTTGTTCTCATACAAGAAGTTGATGATAGAAACTTCAGGACAGGGATGGGAAGGGGATTTATTTCCCACTGTGTACTCTTTTATACCTTTAGAAACTTGTAACCTGTGCATGTATTACCTATTCAAAAGGAGTAATAACAGTAATAAAGTGTTCCAGTAAAAGATAGTGAATTGAACAGACATATCTAATTTGGTTCCCCCCTGAAATCCACTAAAGCTTCAATAAAGGAATTTTTTTTGGAAAAGGCATTAAAGATCACTTTGAAAAGGTTTAAACCCACAAAAATAGGGAGATGAGAAGAGGAGAGCATGGTAACAACATTTGGGAAGATGGAAAGCAGATGCGCCAATGGTAACTGACTGGGCACAGACAAGAGAGCTGAGGAGCAAGCTGGCCTTGAGGAATGGGGAGAATCCATTGGATCTATTGGAGAAGCTTGCAAAGGCTCAGGAGTGGTGGCAGCAAGCACCTCTGGAAGTGAATGAGAAGGGAAGGAACAAAAATGAGGACTGGTTAAAAGCTGGTTAACTTTTAAACAGCTGGTTAAAAACTGTTTAAGAAACAGTTAGATCCTTACATCCCCTCCCCCACTTCATGCTAATGGAAGACTGTCTCTCCTCAACTCCCCCCAAAATTAAGGAAGGTGGGTTGTTTTTGCTCAAGAGGGAATAAAACAGAGGGTTTCTGCTATAGGGAAAACCAGGCACAGTCTAGGGCAGAGGCACTGCATAGAAATCAGGGGAATTAAAGCAGTATGCACATGGGGTACTTCTCCCAGAAGACTGGCCACCGGGCTTTACCTTCCACGCTAGAAATTGGAAAAAAATCTCCACTGGAAAATCTGTTCAGCCCAAGAAGAAAGACCTATGGAGTCTAACATCAGGGATTCCCCCTACAAACTTCCCAACCAGATAACCCTGACATCAAGTTCTCAATTGACAAGCCCCAACTATACACTCAGATGTGCAAGATGGCTTTTTAGTCCCTCACTCTTAAACATGAGCAGGCACACTGACATGAGTGACGGAGACAAAACAAGCAAGTAAACAAAACTAGAGAAATTGCAGGGCAAAGAAAACTTTAAGGACATCGATAATCTTCTCAGATGAACAAGAGAAAATACTGTATACATGAAATAAGATCAGAATGTCATTAAAAAAAAGTAACATGCAAGGGCCAGCCTGGTGGCATAAATGTTAGCTCAGGGCCACTCTTCCTCAAGCAAAAAGAGGAAGATTGGCAATAGATGTTAGCTCAAGGCAAGTCTTCCTCACCAAAAAAAAAAAAAAGGTAACATGCAGAAAATGAAATAGACGTCTTGAGAAATAAAAATATAAGAGCATAAATAAAATGCTCACTAGAAGAGTTGGAAGATAAAAGTTAAGAAAATCAGAGAACCAGTCCAGAAAGGCCAATATCTAAATAATGAGTTCGAGAAAAAGAACAGAAAAAACAGAGGAGAGGAATAATCACAGAAAACTTCCCAGAACTGAAGTACAAGGGTTTTCAGATTGAAAGGGCACACCAACTGCTCAGCATAATGGATAAAAATGGGTTCACAGCATCATGAAATTTCAGAACACTGGGGAGACAGAGGAAATTCTACAACTCTCAAAGAAAAGAACAGATCTCTCAAAATAGGTCAGGACAGAATGGCTTCAAACCTTGTAAGAGACACACTGGAAGGTGGATGACAACGGGGCAAAGGCTTCAAAAATCTGAAGGAAAAATATTTCCAGCCTAGACTTCAGCAACGAGCCAAACTCTCAGTCAAGTGAGAGGGTGAAATGAAGATGTTTTCAGACATGTAAGGTCTCAAAAAATTTCTGTTCTGAGTACCTTTTCTCAGGAAGCTACTAGAGGATGTGCTCCATCAAAAAAAGGGAATAAACCATGAAAGAGAAACACCTGGGATTTAGAAAACCCAGGAGAGGGGTGAACGGAACCCCCAGGATGGATGCAGGGGAAGGGAGATTCCAGGAGGACAGCTGGGCCCCAGATGTAGAAGGCCACCAGTTAGTCTGGATCTGCACCGAAGGCTTTGGGAGTGATGTTACCAAGAACCTGAAATTGATAGTATATCCGATGTGTGTAAATATTTTGAGAAGAGATTGAAATGGTGGAGAACTTGTGGCTGAATTAGTGAATAAGAACCTAGAAAACTAAACAAACTAAAAACAAAAAGCGTTAACAACTTAGAGAAAGCAAAATGTTATGCATAAAAGGAAAAGAAATCATGGCTCAGATGTGACTGATATGTGGATATTAATACAACAGAAATTACAATGTAATTCTATTGGGATGATGGGAATTTGGGGAACAGTAAGTCTGTGAGGCTCAGTTGGCCAGAGGAAAGAGTGAAATGTATTCCATAGGTTTCCATCAATAGATAATGCCTAAAACTAAATAAGTCAAGAAGTAGCAGAAAAGCATGTTGCTTAGAGATGTGGCGGTCAATCACTAGAAATTAGTTAACATAGTTTGAATGTTGAAATGTTGTCTCTGGAGCAGGAATAGAGAGAATTGGGAACTGGGACCACTGTTTTTCATTAAAACTTCGTAGAATTCTGCTTCTTTAAACCATGTGCATATGTGACTTAAACAACAAAACTCAGATGCACAGAGTTACCATAATCCTTGGTTCTTAATTTACTTTCATCATTGGTCCACACATGACCCTCTTTAATTTACATTTATAAGTATGTAATCAACACCCACATAGCTACCACCCCAACCATTCCCATCAATTTATGCTTTCCTATGTTCCCCTCCCCGTCAGGTCCCCCATCTCCCCCCAACCTAGGTATCCACTGTCCTGAACCTGTCTCTCTCTATATATATTTTTTCCCACACCCATAGGGACTCCTGAAAATATATTGTTCAATTTTACCTGTTTCTAACTTTATCAAAAGGGCATCAAGCGGTAACGACTTACTTTTTCCACTCAATATTTTATTCCTTAGATTCATCCACATTGAACATGTCTGTTCTTTTTTTCTGTTTTAATAATATTCCTTTGTACGAATATACAACAATTTATCCATCCACTCTCCTGCCTATGGGCATTATGAGTTGTGTCTAGGTGTCCACTGTTAGGAACAAACCCCTGATGCTCTTTCTTCTCCATGTCCCCTGGTGCACACATACCATGGCTTCTCTTGTGTACACACTTAGGAGTGGAAATAATGGGTCATAGGGTACATCCAA